CTACACTAATACGAAGATTTACTATACCAACTCAAATTACTCCTATTCCCGTACCTATACTAAGGGCTCCCGTACCAATAGCTACTCTCAAAACTCCTAAAATACTACGAAAAAAGGCACTAGCTAAGAAAAAAGTAGTAATTAAACTAATTCAACCAACTACTTTTATATAAGCGTAAACTCTTAAATCTGCTCCTACGCTATATTCAACATTTAATATAGGAATTCAATAATTAATAGAGGAGCTTACTCTTAGAAAACAAACTACCCCTCAAATATCATCTTTTTAGGAATTACTTTAATAATATTAAACGTAAGTAGCAACATTACTATTCGCATTACTAATAGCAACAATTAGTTCTATTACTAATTCTACTACCAATATTATTACCAATATTACTACTAATATTACTACCGCTAGCATTACTTTACTAATACCTATTCGCAGTTGTAAAAAACAAACCAACAATATAAAAACCCCTATTATTAGCTTACTAGCGCATAAAAATAAATAAATTAAATATAATTATCATAATAATATAATAATAGATTTCAATTTTACTATATCGTCGACTATAATAAAATGGATTATTAAAACAGACCTATATACCAAAACGGGAAGCTACTTAGCGCCCAGACTCTTATCCAAGGGTAAAATGCTAACTTAAATATTACTTACTATAACCCTTTTCTTAAAATTTTCTAAAATTTCTATTATTATCCCAAATAATCCCAAACAATTCCAAATAACGCTCCAATCGTTTGTATAATACCTATCTCCCCTCTCCATTATTACTAACCCTTATAAAGGGGTACCATAAAAGCCTTATAGTATAGCGGGGTACAAGGACGCTCAAAGCACCGCTATTAATATAAATAAAAATTATATATTCGAATCGTATCTATAATTCTTTCTTTCTCTATCTTCTATAATATAACTATTAAAACGCTTTATCCCATCTACGCTAACCTCTCACAAATATCATACAATCTTATCCGAACTAAAGAGATCGAATTAGGGAATCTACTTATAAAAATGCTATAATATTAGTAAAGTAAAGAAATTAAAATATAATTAAAATAAACTATTCATCGGAATAGGCTTAAGAGATTTATCTCTAAAAATTCAGGGTAGGGCGTACTTTATAAATCCTAAACTCTTTTTTATTATTCTTTATATCTATTATTATAATAGTAACTTTACTCTACTATTTATCTTTATTATATGTATTCTTAATATCGTTATTAATATTAAGATCCTATAGATCTTCAGCTCCCTTACTAAATAACCGTCCTCCTTCTTTACTATAATCTATATTCCCATTTTAAGTAGTCAACTTAATAATACCGGGTATATATTATTAGTTAACAACGTTAATAAGGAACGGAATAGCCTCATTCCAATCTCCTAACTTCTTTATTAAATTTTACTATTTTAAAAAGTATATATTTAATATATTAAATATATTAACGTTACTTACAAATCTTATATTCCTCTTTATTATACTATTATTAAATAATTTGAGAATATATAAAATAATATCGGTAAATAGGTTGCTATAAGTATAAATACCCTTATTAATATAGCTCTATAATCTTTTAATACCTTTTCGAATAATAGTAAAGATATTAAAATTCAAAGTAAGGCGGGTAAACGTAGTTTCGATATCGTACGTAGAATTCTTATTATATTTAATATTAATAATATATACGCTATTCTAATATTCAAATATAAGATTAATAAGCTTATGCTTACTTCTAATAATAACCGAATAAACCAAATTACCTTTAAGAATAATATTTCTAAAACTATAATTTATAACGTTCTCGTATAATAATTAGGCAAAGTAGAATATCTTAGGGCCGTAGTTCTATAATCTACTATTATAAAAAATAATAGGCAAAATGGGAATAATATTTCGAAGAAACTTATAATTACTAGCCTTAATAACTTTATATAAAGAAAGAAGGATTGAGACTATCTATATTAATCTATAATAGTTTCGAAATTCGATATCGATTTTTAATAAAGTTAAAATGGGTCTTTCTAATATAAGTCCTTCTCCGCTAATATCAACATTGATATCAATATCCTTATTTATATCTAAATATTTAGTAATCTAACTATACACAAAAATGACAACATTACAAATACAATCTAATATCTTATTTAAATTATATTCGTACTCATTATTTACTTCGCTAAAAACCTTATATATTTTTTTCTTAATACTATCGACCGTAAACTTATTAGAAGCAAAATCTCTATATTCAATAAGCTCGTCAATAATGAAAGTAAGGATTCTTACTATAAAGCCGTATATAATAAGAAGTATAATTTAATAATATTTAATCTTTTCTTTCTTAATATTTTTTAAACGCTAAAAAAAGAAAATATTAAAAGCAATAATCGTAAGAAAAAATAATATATCCTTTCCAACGTCCCAAAAGTAGTAGAATAATATTTCAATATAATTAATCTCAATATAAAAAAGGGAAGGATAGGAAACATCTATTTCTTTTATGGCCATTATTCACATACTTCGAATTTATAATATTAAATATATTTAATTAAAAACATCGTCTTCTAATTACCGTAAATGAAAATCAAACGTTCTACTAATTATAATTTATTAAATTCAAGGCAATTATTCTATAACTCTTCGTAAATACGATATACGCCTTCTAACTTCCCTTTATCTTCGTAGATAGTGCCAACGTAAAAATACGGCGATTCTTTATACTTTACTTACTTTATAATAAGAAAAACAAACAATTTACTCTTATTCTTACAAAAGAATATTACTTTAAAAATAAAATCTATAAGCCAGCGAATAATCGTATTCGTACTCTAATATCAAAGTAAAATATAATTAATTATTATTTTTTAATTAAATTTCTAAGTCCAGTTAAACAACGGTTAAATAAGAGGGCTATATAACTCAGGACAAGAAATTAAGCAAGCCGTAATAAGGTTGACCATCTTATCCTACTTTCCACTAACCAATTCACGGATAATATCCTTATAATTAAAATTATTATAAACAATAATACCGTTAGGATTATATACTATGCGCTTAAAATTTTACTTTACTTAATCAACTATAGTATCAAGTAAGCTGTTAAATATTATATATAATAAGACAACGCCTATACTTAATAGAATTTAAATAGCTCTTCTAAATATTCCGGTAGCGAATAAATAAAGACCCAAAATTCGTCTAAGGAATATACTAATTCCTTCAATATAACTAAACATAAAAATAAAGGCAATAAATATAATACAACTATTATAATCTTTAGCAATATCAAGTTTTTCAACATCTTCTATTATTATATACTATTATCTAATTAATTTATAAATTTTTTTTGGAATATAGCTAAATCACTTACTCAAATTACTATAAACTATAAAAATAATACTACCAAATTCGGAACCGTAACTTTAAGAGACGGCCAAATCCATTTAAAAATATCTTCTAACCAAAAAGAGTTACTCAAATCGGCAATTATAGCTAGCTCATCACCTTAATAAATTTTTTCAACCTCAAATTAATTAAAAGAAAACTCTTATAGTAACGACTACATTTTTTTACAATGAATAAAAATATAATAGATTGGGCTATTTAATATACTAATTTAGAATATTATATTCTAATTATAAAGAAACCTCTTTATACGGTTCCCTTATATAATCTTCGAAAATTATATTAAATAACGACGAAATTTCATCTACTCGTAAAGGAATACCTATATCGAATACATCCTTTCTAACTCTAATTCATTACCTTATTCTATTACTTTTCATCTACACTTATAGTTCCTTAAACGAAAATAGCCCTAGAATTAATAATCTCTTTAATAATATTATAATCATTACTATCATTATCTTCGTCGTTATCTTCATCCTCATTATCTTCTTCATTATTTTCTTCATTATCTTCTTTGTCGTTTTCTTCGTCGTTTTCATCATCATCTTCATCGTCGTTATAATAAGAACAAACCTCTATATAATCTAGGACTTAAATATTAAAGGGAATAGTAAATAAACCAAAGGATTCGCCAACTCCTAATACAATTACTAAAGAAGTACAATAATATCCGGATTAAAGCTATCTTTAGGAGCGATTCCTCCGATATTATAAATACGTAAAGAAACTACGCATAGATTATACGTCGTCGTTTTAGAAATTGTTCTCCATAATAATAGCAATAAAATTAACACTATTAAAAAGCGACAATCTACGTAATTAAAATAAATTAGAAACCTTCGTAATACGCCGTATTTTAGTAGAGTTATAGTGATGTTGCTAGTTACTAGGGGGAAAAGTTGGGTCGAATGCGATTCGGACTGCGGACTGAACTCAGACCACCTTGAGCGGAGGACCAAATATTGCCCAAATTAGAAAAAAAAATCAATTTATCAATAAAATTAAAAACATCTGGTAACCGAGACAATCACGTGTGGCCCGGGAGCGAGAGGTGGTCTGAGCGCTGAGATAATATATAACACGGATAACAGAGGAAATCTCCACGCTAATGGACTTGAAGGAAGCTACCAGTAAAGACCAGGGAGACCGAGAGAGAAAACAATGAAAAGAAGGAGAAGAGTTATCGGAAAATAGAACAAGAATACAAACAATTGCTGGGTATCTTACTCCAGCACAAAAACGAGCCCAAATCGGTGCCCAATGCAGGTGAAACCAACTTGGTTTCATGCCAACCTTTGAAGAATATGCAATATCCTTCCTTGAAAAAGGGAATCCCATGTATCGGAACGTGTCCTGACCATCGCCAAGTCCTCTGTGGCACTACCACCCCTTCATCTTCCCCTTGCAGCAACTCAGAGGCCTTGTCAACGCGAACACTGCGTCCGTAAATCAGCTCACAGATGCAGCTTGCATCTTCCCCAACTACCCACTTCATGTTCGACCTCAGACTTGTAGTCAGAAGCCAAAGCACCGAGGCGCTTGCCTCCTCAGTGACCCGTCTTATCCGTCTTAGAGCTCGTACCAATCGAGATCAACTTCGTACAGATAGTGACCATTGTTGGTAGCTCTACCATCCAGGGCCGCTTGGATGCCGACATCCTCTCCATGGTGACTAGCGATGGGCTCGTGGTGCGCTTCTGCGGACAATGGAAAAGGATTTGCATCCATTTCATTGTTAGGCGGGACCGTGTACCCATTGGGTGAAGGTTGCTCAGACTGTTCGCCGAGCGACTCATGCTGGTCCGGCGTAGGATACTGATTGTTGACGTACGACTGTTCGCCGAACGACAAATCCTGGTCGGGCCTAGGATACTGATTGCTGACGTACGACTGGTCGCCTAGTGGCAGATGCTGGTTGACTATAGGATGCTGATTGGCGATGTTGGATTGTTCGCCGAGTGGAAGGTGCTGGGTGGGCGTGGGATACTGATTGTTGAAATGGGGATTAAAGGCGTCGGGACTGGGGGTGCTAAGTCCATTTGGACCTTCAAGTGCTTCGTATCCGTCGTCCTTCTCGACTTCGCCCACAGCACCCTCCTCTTTTCCTTGAGTTGTGGCCATAACACCCTCTTCGTCTTCGTGGATGGCGGCCATAGCATGATCCTCCTCTTCCTGGGTAGCGGCCATAACATCCTCTTCTTCTTCTTGAATGGGGGTCATAGGGCCGCCAGCTGTGCCCGCGACGGGCTGTTCCGAGTTACTGCTGTTGCTAGAGGCCGGTACAGAAATTGTAGAATCTCCCGTGGCTGCCCTCGTCCTGGCCCGCTTCGGCTTCGCAATCCCAGCCAAGCGGTTACCCAGAAAGTCACTCAGGGGGCGCTTCTCGGGACGGACAAAGGCTCTGACGAGATTTCCTGCCGCGTCGTAAACCGAAGTGATTCGATCAACAGTGGTCACTGAGCCACCAAACTTGCTCGCAGCTTTGACGTCCTTGTTGAAGTCTCGCATTTTGTTTGTATGGTTGTTTGAGAGTTTAGTCTTCGTACGCCAAAAGTCAGTTATACGTCGCCTATCTTACGGAGGGTCAAGGTGACAGGGATGGAGTTCTCTAGACTTACTTCAAGCTCTGTCACTGGGTTGTGCACATACCGATCCATATAGGATACGGCGAAAAGATCTGCTACGGCAGCCTTGGAGTGCTGCCAGTAGAGTTAGCGACCCGCTTCCATGACTTGGTCTTTACGATCCACGCAAGGATGCTTACACGCATCAGTGCCACCAAGGCCTCCCAGCGATCCATAAAATTCGGAAAGTATGCTGTGAGGAGTTTGTGAACGCGTTTGCCTCTCTGGGCGTCGTACGCATCGAACTAAATGGCGAAGATACGTGTCAGAGGATATGCAAGGGTGTTTCGATGAGCCTGGATGGAATTCGACATGTGAATACTGACCATTGCCTCCCATGCCTTCTCTTCCAAGTCGTCGTCGGATTTGGCCCGGATGCAATTGATATGCGCATTGTTATCCGGATTGTCCAGGATGTCGGTTGTATCCTTCATTGCCGCCATCATCTGGTCTACGAGAAAACACTGATCGGTCGCACGTGTGGGGAAATCGGCGAAGTTTCCAGGAACCATGGCGTTGAAGGCCGCTGCTTCCTTTTCAGCCTTGCGCTGGTAGAAATGTGCTTGGCTCGTGATATACCTCTGGCGAGGCGGGGGTGCTATCGGAGGATCCATGTTCCTGTTCGCGAGAATGACATGCAGTTAGTAAAGAGAGTAACATACCTCGACGGCCATGGTACGTGATTCGATATTCGTCAAGAGCGTACGATTGTGGGAGCAAAAAGATGGGAGGAGTGCAAGGCAACGATGCCGCTTACAACGAGGAGAATGAGCAGTAAGAATACCTGGTAAGGTATCTTCAAATGGTTGTTACCCGGCTGCTGCTGTTGCCGAAAAAAACTCGCAGTGGGTGGTTTTTGGAAAGAAGGACAAGCGAGGGGAGGGGACCTTGTAAAGAATGGAGAATATTATAAGCGCGGGCGCGGTGCAGCGCATGGGCCACCTCCAGAGGGGAAGAAATCAGGTGAAGTCGGCTGCGAGGGAATTATCAAAGTCAGAGGGAAGGAACGCCCCAAAGTCAGAGAATCTGCACCCCACAGCTTGCAAACGGGCTTCCACTTGCAACCTTAAGGCGTTCATGGGTCTGTGGGGACTGCCAGTGAGAACCTGGTAAGGTACACCTACCTGTTTTGCCTTTGCCTCCCGCTCTCACACTTTTCTCATCCTCCGGGTCAGAGGGGGTTCATGACCACTGGGGACAGTTTAGAGCACAGACCAACTAACACCCAGCCATGAAGACAAACATAGTGTAAAGAGGCCTACCACTGTCATCATCTCGAGACGGAGAAGGCCCAAGAAGACTGCCAGAAGCCTGAACCGAGCGCGTCCGAACCCTCAAAACATTGTCACGTCGAGCCTCGCGTGCCCCCCAACATTTAGACCCATCTGTAGTCCGATGTCTCTTGCGCCCATCCAACGCTCGTTTTGATCGTCATCGTCCAAAGTCAGCAACCCGCGGTCGTGTCGCGTCAAGGTTCCACGAGACGGACCAGAACATCAATTGACCAGATGCCTCATCATTCGAGTCTCAACTGCCAAGTTTCCTTCGTCGTCTTCGGGTCTTTGTTCTCTTCTTCGCTGACGCCTCTCTCGAGCAGGACGACCAATTGCTAGCGACCGATCCACCGCCATGCCCGACTGCCATGCTCGACCGACCTATCCCTTTTCCACCGGCTGCGACTTGCGATTTTGCGAACGCTACGAGCGATTCTCTCCATGAGCCGACTCGATATTGAACAAGCGCTTGTTGCTCAAGCCGAAATTCTCCCCACCACTCCGCCGCTCCCTCAGCCATCAACGAGCGCTTTCCCGCCGCCGCGCCCGCCGCGATCCTGTCGCTGGAGGAGGCGGTCCGTTGCCTCAAATACCAGGAGGAAGAAGTCCAAGGGAGAGAAGAGGAAGCTTAGCGACGAGAAAATAAGAAGAATAGAGATACACCATTGAACAACCCGGTTTGACCGAAGTCTACATCAAGATGTCTGCGGCTGATGTCTTCGGCATAGTGACCGACGTCAACGTCGGCAGTTGGCGCTCTACCGATGATCCAACAGTCCCCATTCTTGGGCGGCTTTGTAAACTCGATGCGATGATTAGCGGCGGTGTTCTTGACCTTGAGAAAAAGGCGAAAGTCGACATGGTGATACTGGTTGACGTTGTCGAAGAAGGCCGTGGAGGCTTTTCCTCGAAACATGTCGATATCGGAGTACACCTTCTCACCAAGGTCCTCTCCCGCAATGGGAAGTTTGTCGGGAGGACAGAGGTGAGAGTGTCGGGATGCGGCGGTGTCACGACGGGAAAGGAAGAGGGCTATGGACTCATGGAGGTGACGTATTGAGGGGAGGGGAAAGTAGGTGCTTCTGCACGCGGGCATGTTGTTAAACGCAGATCTGCATGTCGGTGATATACATCCTGCGGCATCCGGGCCGAATGATGCATATTACCGGCATGCAGATTTCCGGTTGAGGAAAGACAAGGACATAGTCCGCTTGGCCATCCCCGCCTACATATAACTGTCCAGTCGCCCGAAGACTTCCCCTCTGCGATTCCCTCAAGTTTTCCTCTACGTCGCTTACTTATTGATTGCAGCCACAGAAAGTGAACAATGGACAACCCAACAAAGAAACAAACAATGCCGACAGAGCAGACTGCGGCCGCAAGCCCGCCCCCGGTCACCTTTGTCTTCCACTCGACCTCGCCATCCTCAACTCCAATCACAGACACCTAGCCGCCGTCACACTCAACGCGGAGTACGTCCCGCCGCGCGCGACGGGCGCAGCTCTCTACATCCGCCAACAAAACTTCAGTCTGCCGCCCTTATCGTACACCTTTTGACTACATACCGCCCATTATGGGTGTCCCCCTTGACATGGTCTCGAACATGGCCTTTTCTGGAACAAACAAGCCAAATGGTGGCGTGATCTCACCTCCCAAAGGTCTTCCGATTCAGATAAGGAGAACAGACAATGCCGCCCGAGTACGCCACGACGCCAGTCCCGTTCCCGGCCAACCATGTCGCAGGTCAACAGGATCTATGTTACAAACTCCCGAGAAACGAAGGCAAGACACCAGGAGTTATTCTCCTAGCCAAAATTGTCCTCCAACTCTTGTGCCAACTGCCGATCCACCGCTGCTTGCACCATCTCTTCGCTCAGGCCATCATCCATATCGTTAGCTGGGTTGAAGAGAGCTCGGTCCTGGCGTCCTCGCTCATGAGGCTCGTATGAGGATCTCGGCATCCTCACATTCATTTACCGACTCCTAACCGCCATCTTTCTAATATCGACTATCGAGTGAAAAGAGCGTGTTCATCTTCAACAACGAGCTCGTTTTAGTCGGAGGAGTTGTCTTCATCGGAGTACTAGTCTTGATCGGTGAGCTCGTCGTGGTCGGAGTGATTGGCTCGGGCTGAGAGGGTTGCTTGACCTCGACGTCGGCATGACTGGCCTGGATAGTGGTGTCTTTCTCACTGGTGTTGATACGGACGAAGTTCTTGAGGCAAGAAAGTCTTTGAAGGACACGCTTGGGGGCTCCTCTGGGGCTTGAATAGCGGCTAAATGAAGAAATTTCGATAGCTCTGGGTACCTATTCTTTGGACACTTACCACAGACCTTGTCGACTGTCTCAACCGGCCCTCCAAGCTTCGGGCCTCATCGATTGACTTGCGATACTCCTTCAATCTGTTGGTCTGGTTGTTTGACACTTTCGTATCCCCCGCGGATGGTAGAGGTAGCGAGGCATGCCCAAAGGACCAACATTCGGGTTGAAGTATTCCGAGGCCCAGGGAGGTGGGTGGGCTCTAGGGGCGCCATGGTTGAAATGGCAGAGTGAGAAAGTCATTCGTCTTGTTGACATATCTACGATGGTGCTGGACATGAAAGGAGAGTTGCCGCCAAGGGCACCACCGACCGCGGCGGACCTAGGCCCTCACACGACTGTCCGAAGATCACGGTCCTGTAGCAGCAGCGCTTGTTGCGGGCTGGTGAGATCTATGCCCAGATTCGTCATGAACATTTGAAGGAGAAATCGTGCGCACACTTGCAGCACTCTCTGGAGAGCCAGAACAATTGACAGGGGCGGTTTGGCCCGTCCCGCCAACGGAACTTCGCAAAACCGGGCCATTGATGGTCATCACATACCGTGACTGACCTCTGTTTAAGACGGTAGGCTAACTCCGACCTAGCGAAGCAGTGGATGGTGCGGGGTCGTCAGCAGCGTTGGGTGGAAGAACGGCAGGGCGGGAAGAAGGTCGTCTAGCCCTAGCACTGTCTCGAGCAGGAGGCCTAGCCCGACCACTGCATCGAGCAGGCGGTCTGACGTTAGGTTGAGCCGGCTCGGCGGGGCCGGCGTTTGGAAGAGCAACATCCCGGATAGCAACCCAAGAAGGCCCGGGAGCAGCGAGATTGTGAGGACCAACAGGGTCAGCGGCTGGGGCCGCTTGACCCTGACCAGCGGCAGGAACAATCGCAGCAGGATTCGCCATGTTGTCGTTCTCTGGCACGAGCGCCTTCAAATCTCTGAGCTGCGTTGCTTGGTTGAAGTTGGTGTCCTTCTTATCGACCTTCCTCTATAGACCTGTCAGTACCTCAAGGAGGAGATACTAGCCGCTTAGGACGTGGTATATGGCCTGCTGAAGGCGGTTTAATAATATAATTTCTAAGACTAGCCTGTTGCCCAAAGTTGGGACGAGTAACGCGTTGCCTTTTCCCTGAATGGGTAGCGGGTGTGGCCGGGCCTCCATGTGAATTCGAAGGGTTCGAGCCAGTGCGGCTGTGACGGATGGCTGGTGTTGGCTGGTGTTGGCTGTTGAGCCTCGTCTCACTGCTGGCGCACGACGGTAAGGGCGGTCAAAAACTTGATACCAGGTAGATATGAAGTTGACTGTCTCGGCATCTTGCATGTGTCGCACATTTGGACTTTTCCAAAGCGCCTCTCCCATCCCTGATGGGAAGGTTTTCTTCTTTCGTTCAGGTCCCTAGTAGGTAGCCAGCCTATGGGCCATATCGGTCAGAGCGTTTACTTTCACGCGCACACTGTCCTTCTTTCCCAGCATAGGTCCTCGGGATGTACCTGATTGTGGGCCATATCTCTCAGCGCATGTGGGTTTGTATCGTACGTCGGTGAGAGGAGTCGTGAGTGTGGTTGTTGTTGGTGTCTTGGGAAAATGGGATGGTTGGTTGATGAAGGGGATATGTATCTCTAGGATAGTTCAGTATTGAGCTATACGGTGTGTTTGACAAATATACCTCTATATACTCCGTGTTATAATGCTATTCCATATAACACTCAGTGATAAGAGAGTTGAGGGGACGGAACGGGCCTCTTATACCTCAATGTAAATGACACTTCATTGCCTATGTTGACTGACATCACTCACTGGAGTCAATTCCCCGCTAGTATATGTCATAATCAGCCTTGATGAGTGATTACAACTGTTGAGCAATACTCACGGGAGTCACAAGTCCCCAGAGGACAAACAGGTCAGCCACGACTCACCCAAAATGGGATATCATACGGAGTATGAGCACTATTCCTGTGGACTGTTCTTGATTGGTCGTAATATGATTCTTTTCTATCTGAGTTCTACCTGACTGTAGGCCGGTGGCAACTGCTCCATTTCTTGGAGTCAAAAGACTGCAAAGTCATATACTAAGCAGTCATGATGTTTGAAGCTCAGCCGATCTTTAACAGCAGGAACTGGTCCCTTATGACACATCCTCTGGGGGGCAGGATGCGCTTTCACTGCAGTGGCCATGCTTCTTGGCTCACCCCTAACTCCCAGAGTCAGACCAGTGACGTCGTCCTTCTCTTTTTTGAACTATCAGTTCCTCCCTTTCCCGAACACCATGTACCCCTTTTTCGGTCATTCCAGTGTCCCCTTGGCTTGCTTTGGCGCTTATGCCGGACGAGGACGTTGAGCAGAAGGGTGCTCATCCTCCTTCTCGCCGTTTGTCCTCTTCATCTTGTTACCGGGATTTCCAGCAGTGTCAGAAGTATGACTACCTCTAGAAAGGAAACTGTCGCCAAATAGGTCATCGTCATTGATCTCGCCGGCTTCGTCATGACTGGCAAGAAGACCGTCACCGAACAGGTCGTCGTCATCGACTTCGTCGACTTCGTTACCCTCATCGTTGACCGTGTCGAAGGAAGCTTCCTGGCCCCCATCGCTGTCTCCGCTATGGCCGTGGTCAGCTGTCGAAGGCCCTTCGTCCTGAACGGCCGTGTTGTTGCCCAGCTGGTCGTATGTTACATCGGCTAGGTTGGTGGCCGCCACATCTTCGGCTGTCTGCTGATGGTAGATCGGATTGTTGAGGTGGTTTGCGTTGATGTGGTTCTGGTCGTAGGGTAAACTGTTGAGTCCCAATGGATCGATGGCCTGGTGAATGTTGGTGGCAGAGGTCGATGCATTTTGATGCAGGTTGCTGGGAGGTTCGAAGTTGACATCGGCGAAGTAGTCCTCAACCACATTCACCCTGAGACTCATATCCCCGTTCCCATTTCCGGCCGTGCTCTGTGTCATCCCCACTCCTGGAGTCTGCATATTAGCCAGGTCTTGATAGTTGGAAAGTGCCTCGGCACCAAGAGCATCGAACTCTTCCCCTCCAAAGAACGCGTTGGCATCAATGCCGTTCAAGTTAAATCCGTATTGGTTTGCAAGAGGCTGCTCCATGTATGGCTGCTCTTGCGCATTTGGGTCCTCACAATTGTGACCAGGGGCATCAAAACCGTTCATGTGATGCTGCGGTGGAAATCCCCAGCCGCCATCGTGATTTGAGATGGCATTCGGAGCAACCGGAGCTGTCTGCGCAAGAGAAGAATGAGCAGGTACTGACTGCTGGAATGCGTATTGCGTCTGGTCATGAAGGCTTTGGTGGTTAGAAGGTAGAATGGACATCTCCTGCTGGCTCTGGGGCGGTCTGGGAGATTGAGTCCTAAAATGAGACTGCCACAAAACCGTCCCCGTCTCCGCCGCTCCCGGTTCTATTTCTGCGGTCTGCCTCAACAGCCTGTCTGCTGCGCCTGATCCTTGGTTGCCGCTGGCCTCTCCATTCTAGGGAGACGGCCCGGCGACAGAGGAAAATGGCGTAGTAAGCACTGACTGCACCGGGGGTAAAAGCCTGCGGCCTTCTATCATTGCTGCCATGTTCCTGGAAGCCACTATTACTCTCAAACTCATAGCTTTCGGGAGTGCCATAGTTGCCAGCCGCATGGTTCGAGCTTTCATAGCCTCCGGAAGTTGCATTAAAAGGAGGTGCTTGGGTACTAGCAGGTGATGAGAAACCAGCGGGGGTGAAATAGCCCGGACCTTGTCCTAGACGACAACTTGGATGTCCAATATTTCCCGGTGGTTGAGTTGTACTTCCCAAGCCCACTCTCTGAGCAGAGCTGGGAAAGGCCTGTCTGGTGCCTTGAACTAGACTAGGGTGATGAATAAGTCTATTGACTCCTGAAGGAGCAACTGGCAAAGCAGCACGGGCATTTTCCGTGTTTTGGGTACGTTGAGGGGGAGTAACAAGCAGACTGATAGGAGAAGGTACCAGCTGTCGAGCCCTACCACTGCGAGTGGGGGGTCTATAAGGGGTTTCGCGATCTATCGGAGGACGAGGACGAGCAGATCGGGGAATGGGAATGGGACCTCTAGGATATGGTGGTACCGGACTTGTGCGAAGGGGTTGATCATGACTCGGACGAGCAATGGACCGCCTGGGTTGAGGGTCGGGTACATGTGAGGCAGTGTTCGCGGGACCAGAGGAAGAACCAGGGTTTGTCACTCCAGAAGCCTGGCTTGGGCCTCTTACTGAACTCCGAGGAACTAGCCCTTCGGCGGTCATAACGAATGATGAAGGTGCGGGTTGAGTGGTGCTAGCATGAGCACGTGGTTGCCTCGGATGGGCGCGACGCCGAGAGGCAGGCGTGACGGGCTGACCCTGAGATAAACCCGCCTCACCATGAGGTGGAGCATGAAGCGCCGAGGCATCGACCCCAGGAGCACTGCCACCGGCGAGAGTGGAAGGGCGAGCGATTGTTGCGGCCCTGGCTTGGCCTGAGCCCATACCGCCAGGGGCTTGGCCTTGGGAAGCGGTAGCAACAGGGGCAGCATTGGCCTCGCCATCGTTGGGCATCGCAAGGGCAGCAAGGGCTTCTAATGCCGCCGTCTTTCTCGCTTTGTATCCGTCGGAAAGTCCATTGTCGCAATGATGGTGTTGAACAGACCACTGGCGAAGTGATCACGAAAACAGTAGCCAAATGTCGTGGAGTTGCTGAGGGGATGGTCGATACATCGATGAATCTGCCTCTCCTTGGCCTCGGATGCTGGGCCATTGGCAAACCTCTGTGCATACGGATACAGAAGGAGATTGGCTAGGTACGGCCGCTTTGGAGGTCTGGTAGCAAGTGGGCTGATTAGTACAGGCGCGGAGTCAGTTTCAATGTGTTTCCAATATGAACTAACTGCTTGCAAGTTCACAGCATCGTTCCAACAGGCCTGGAACGTAGGGTATTCTCTGTGATAGAATGAGGTCGCCCATGGATAAACATTTGGCTCCCCCATTTGCGCGGCAATGAGCCAGGACTGCCAGATGTAACGGTTAGTTGACGGGTCAGACAATGTTTGGCGTGTTGACAATAAGGGGGGTTCTCACCACAAATTCCCAACCCACGGCCTGCAGCTTGGTGTAGCCAACCACCTCGATGGCCGTCCGGATGGTAAGGGACTGGTTATGCCTCACTAGTCAGTCGTGGGCGACGATGGCAAAGTGAGGATCCTGGGAACCCGGATTTGTCCACCGGAAGAAGTCGAATGGTTGTATGGCCCTGGTAGCCGGATCCATAATATTTTCCTGGTGTTCGGGTGTGGTGAGTGAAAGTAAAAAGGATGTAGGATTACATATGATATTGAAGCAGGGCTATATACTACACGTACAACGGTTCCATGCCAGAAGTGTTAAGGCTTTGTTAGCCTAGAGGTAGGTTGGGAGAAAGTGGCAGTAATGAGGAACACTGGCCTCTTATACCTCCAAATATGTGACTACACTAGGTACTTATGGTGACTCGACTAGGAGGCGCTTGTACCCATCATTCAGGGAGAGGTACTGAGGTAGTCAGACTATGACCGACCGAGAAGAATTATCGGGAGATTCACAAGCCGCAAAAGGGCAAACCACACGATTCACCAACATGACTTGGCACAGGCACATCAGGAAATACGGGCAGTGAGAAAGATAAGCCTTATTGACTATCCGTCTGTGATGAAAGACGTGCTATCTACTGATGACTCAATGGGTGAGACAATGACGCTTCACTTCATAATGTATCGTTCCTCTATAACCTGGTCATCTCAGAGCTTGGTATCTCGCCTAACCACCTTTCCTGGTGACATCCTCCAAAGGATGGCTTATGCAGATCTCCTCGACCACGGACCAATAGCCCTCTTCTCGTCATCCCTGAACCATCCTCCTTTTTCTCTACGTCATAGGTAGTCACATTATGACCCTCCTTGAGCGACTTTGGCATGACTTCCTCACCCCTAAACCTGACGAGACCTCTGAGCATGAGCCGCCTCATCCTCGCCGTCCTCCCTATCTCCCCTCTTCCTCTTCTCACCAGTGCCGACAGGATTGTCCGTGGTATAACTGGCGAACAGATGGTCTGCAAACAGGTCATCTTCGTTATCAACATCTCCGAAGGTGACTCCCGAGTCTTGCTCATAGCCATCGTTACTAATGCTGTGAAACATCGAGCTTGAATTGCTGGGTGTGACTGCCAGGTCATCAAAAGATGCGCCGTAATCTGCATACCCCTGGTTTGAAGCAAAGAGCTCCCCAAGGGCTTGCTCACTAAAGCCTGGCTCATTCATGTCGAAGCTGTCCAGATTATCAATCTGCCACTCAATCGCATCGATTCGGGATGCAGTGTTTCCTGCCGGTCCCCCGCTGCTCGCTGAAGGCATTTCATGATTGCTGTCATCGAAAAAGCGGTTGGCTGGCGCGGAGTTAATTGCGGTAAATTCGTCGTCAACCGCATCGGCGTGGAGCGTATCACCGCCGTTCTGGAAGCGTCCTGTCCTTTCGCTGAACTCCTGATTCATTCCCTGGATAGTACCAACTAGTTCCTGAACATTAGTAGCGGCATCGTCGACGAGTGAGGCGAGGTCCCTCTCCAGGTCGTAGTCGTCCACTTGAACATCATTCCAGCTAAACTCGACCTGATTGTCCCTGGCCTCAGTACCGCTGGATTGTTGCGGCACGAAGGAGAATTGCACCGCCTCTCTGTGCTGCTCATCGATCACCAGGGCTGCCTGACTTGGGCGGTGAGATGCCATGGGACTGTTGAATGACCCTGTGACAAGATTCGTGCCGACATCTGCCGTTTCATCATGCTGCTCTGCCCCCGCTCTCAACAAGAAGTCCCCCATATTGTTGCTCTCTTTGGCGCCGCCCTCTCCACCCTACGGAGAGGCGCAAGCGTCAGAGGAGGTAATCTGGGTTGTGGTGCGCTGAATGGGTGCAGGAGACTGCCTAGCAGCCGCAGTACCACCGGATGTAGGATAGCTACTAGGCTGACTGTATCCGAAAACTCCGCTTGGAGTAGCAAAGGGGTTTGGGTGTGCCACGGGAAAAGCAGGCGGGCCGGTACGGGGGCCGCTATACTGACTGAATGGAGTATAGACGCTGCCTTGAGCTTCACCGCGTTGGGAAGGACGGATGTAGGCGCCGCTTGGCGCAGCAGCCCGAGCATGCCGACTAGGACGTGGCATATGGCCTGCTGAAGGCGGTTCAACAACATCATCTCCACGACCAGGCTGTTGCATAAAGCTGGGACGAGTAACGCGTTGCCTTTTCCTTGAATGGGTAGCGGATGTGGCCGGGCCTCCATGTGAATTTGAAGGGTCCGAGCCAGTAAAGGCGACGGGCTGACTGAAGCTAATCGGAGCGTTGGAAGGCATAGGGTTGAGAGAAAGAACAGGTCGGGCTGTCTGCTGAAGTGAGCCATTCACTACAGCGGGCGTATCGGGATGAGAGCGTGCCACTGATTGTCTAACACCAGTAGCCCGTCTTACTTTGGGCGCTTGATCGGGGGTACCGGGGCTGGTATCAGAATGATACCCAGCTGCTTCTACCGGCTGGGAAGGCTCGGCAGGAACCGTTGAGTTATCGATGTGATCCGAGGGTGGGGAAAGGTTGTTCACAAAAGCCGCTTGACCTTGGTTGACTTGAGCCTCCATCGCGGCAATGCGAGCCTTCAAGTCTGCGGAGAGGTTGTCCTTTCTCAGATTCGTGTCTTTGTTGCTCGTTTTGCTCTACAGAGCTGTTAGTGATATGTCCGGAAGAAGAATGAGCTCTAAGTATTGGGAGATGACTGACCTTAAACTCGCCATCAGGGTCATTGGCGAACCGCTGGGCGTAGGAGGGGAGCAGTAAGTTGGCGGCGGCGGCTTTTGATACCTGATCGAAAACCCATTAGCTGTTGGTTTGGCAAGGTGAGAGGAATATGGGCAGTAAAACTGCCTGATGCGATCTGCGCTTACCATGACGAGGGCCACCAAGTCATTCCAACGTGCGTTGAACGTCAGGTATTCTTTGTGGAAAAATGTAGTCGCCCACGGATAGACGTTCTGCTTTCCTCTCTGCGCAGCTATCGCAGCCTCCTGTAAGGGCTGAAGTTAGCTAATGGTTGAACAGAACGGAGCCAGTACATGTAAGAAACGCACCAGCAACTCCCAAGCCACGGCCTCTAGTGCCCAATCGGACGTGCACTTGATTAAGGCCTCATTCAAGTCTCCACGCAGCTTCCGGGCCATGTCCCTAAGAGCATCCACCATTAAGCGGACACACGCCACTTTTGCCTCATATGTCACTGGGATGTCTCTCGTTGTTGCGGGGGCGACCGCAGGATTGTTGTTGATAGATTTGAGGGCACCTGTGGTCGCCCAAAATTCCGCATCAGAATTGATATGGGCAACGAAGGCCTGGTTGGGCCGCATTCTCCGTTGCTTGCGGCGATTGGTGCTGAGCTCATGCCCAGCGAGACCTCCATTGGGGGACAGAAGGGCATCTAGAAGGCCCGGCTTCGTGTGTCCAATGGTCTCCAGACCAGCTCTGCTCGTCCGAGATTCCTTGTGGAACTTGAAGTATTCATACGCCTTTCTCGCGAAATGCTGATGGGCGTACGTTTGCTGACCGAAGTGTTCAAAAGGCCAGATGGTGCCTGACGCGGGATTAAGAAGATTGTTCTCCATGTAGACTGTACGGCGTGTGTTAGTTGCGATGCTACGGTATCTGGTGCGCTGATGAATTGGTGGCTGCAGTTATAGCGAGAGAGTGAGATGACCTACGGAGTATCCGCCACCACTCTGAGAGCCTTGGGTCATTCTGCTCAAAAGCCGTCTCAAGGAGTTGCACAAGGGTCGGGCCGTCGGCCATGTTTGGTACGTGACCTGGTGCTGACATCTTCGATAGTGAGCAAGGTACGATCGCTCTGAGAAGCTAGTTGCCGGAATGACTTAATGGAGGAACCGCAATATTAGCAGATGCTCGAAGTATCAAGGTATGTATATAAGGACGCAGAATCATATGAGTACATTTGGGTCAGATGTCAAGGTTGGACCGAGGGAAATAAGCTATGAGATGACGGAAGAGGATGAAAGCAATCATGATGCCAAACGCGTGACAGAAAAGAGCTAGGTTTTACGCCGTCTTCGACTACTTTGAGTATGCGTGAACGTGTTGCGAGGGGGTTATGAACACGAAGGTGACAAGAAAAGAGTCCGAATTGTTAGGAAAGGACGCGGGCGCGAACTTACTGCGCGTTTTGAACGACTGAACTCCAAGACGAGACACGTCCGATGCGCTTAGCTGATGTGCCAAGAGATACCGATGGTCTGGTCGCTCAATACTTGATCGTGAGGTCGCCGTGGTTTTCAGGGCGCTCGTCGATCGCGATGTTGAACAGGCTCAATTTTGAGCTCAAGCTGAGACGGTTGCGAAAAAACCGGCGAAGTGCAACAGCAAAAGGCTTGAGCCCAATGCCCGCGGTAGTGGCTAGCTAACGGCGTGCGCTGCAGATGATCAAACCGAGGCAAAGGTGATCATTGGCTGTGTGTACCGAGTCAGTTGACGAGAAAGGAAGAACAAAAGCAAGTCCGAAGAAGGGTGGAAGAGAGCGGCAATAAATAGGTAGGTGAGAGGTGGCAGAATAAAATAATAAAAATCAGACCTGAACTGCGATCCGGCATTTGCTATTGTGGCAAACCGCGCTCTCGACGCGCTTCACTTCACGGCAGCCCCAGGAAGAATGAGATGAACAGAAATGCTGCAGACCGCTCTGTTACTGTGGAAACTCCGCCGAAGGCACTGAAGCCTCCTAAATCTGCCTCAAACACAGCGCACTATAGTAGACGCGATGAGGGGCCTATCACCTACAGCACAGACCCGTGAAAATGGCGGGAAAAAAAGACGTTCCTCACGAAATATTCAGCGACATAGTCCGTTCTGGACAACCTTTGCACGTGCCGCATGTTGGAAACGAATGTCAAGATTATGAAGGCAACGAAGGATGAGAGACATGAGACTGAGGATGATCATGAACTTGACTGATTTAGCTGAGGTCGAAAAAAGCCTGGGGAAAGCAAACGGAAGGTTCGGATGACGAAGATCCTTGAAAAGGTTTAAAAAGCGGGGGAGTGATGCGATCAATCCAGTCCGGGTATTCGTACAGTCCCCTCCGCAGGTTACATCATCCCAGGCCTTGCCGCAGTCCCGCTGATTTCCATCGACTTGGGCACTGGCACTCAATTGCTGCTGATTGAAGTTGAAGGATTCGTTGGTGAGGTCAAGGCGAGTCCCCAATGTTGGTCCAGCAACCCGGTGGTATCGTGAAGTCCTGGTCTGGCGCCGGCCCCATCTTGACGCACGGGCCCCTGACCCCCGCAACTACATGGGTCGATGTCAAGCTGTTAGCGGCAGCCCGCTGAAGCGCCCTAAGCAAGGCCGTGCACTATCACTTACACATCCATTCCATACGCAGCCTTGCAGAAAGTTTAAAATGACGACCAAGGTTCACTTTCAACTGCAAGAACAACATCATGACATTCATCAAATAGACAATCAGTGAGCTGCGGTCATTAGGCATATTTATGTCATCTAGAAGACGATCTGTTAAGCACAAGATTTCACATGAGTCAAAGCGAAACATTTTAGTGTATGTTGCATGTTGTCATTGCAAACTATGACCGAGGGCGTCTTTTTATGACATGGATGCCAACCATTTAATGTTAAACCCCGATATTCCTTTACATGACTCAAACAATGACAGATTCTTGTTTCTGTCTTACAGGTACCATTCCCAATTCTCCCAAGTGAAAATGTCATTTTATGACTCCCATACCCGTTCTCATCAACCATCTTTCCCAGTCCCAAGTCTCCCAAGTCATCATTCATCCTCCATCATATGCATTGCGTATCTCTGATCCTTTCACCTAATCCAGCCGAGCCCGCTGCGAAGGGCGCTTCCCGTCGTCCCCCTCATCAACATCGTCCCTTTTTCTTTTGTTCCCGGTGCTACCAGTGCCGGTGCTGTCTTGACTGTCAATGCCCTCAATGCCATGGTTCTCGACATATTCGTCGGCGAAGAGGTCATCATCATTAACGCCCTCGTCGTGGTCTTCATTTTCGATGTTGTTGATTTCGTCTGGGAAGTTCACGAATTGGTCGAAGAAGTTTTGCTCCTCCACGGCACGATTCTCCTGCTCCTGCTGCTGGTTGTCGCTGATGAGTTGCTCCTCGTTGGTCTGAACGGGCTGTTTCTCGGCGGAATTATCGTTCATGGCCTCGTCGTTCATGGCCTGGCTGCTCCCGTTCCCCTCTTGTTGAATCACGACACCATTGAAAGCATCCAAGCCGTCCTCTCCAAACCCCTCGATGTGAAAGCCCTGACTGGCGGCATGAGCCCGAAGCTCTTCCTCGCTCATGATGTTTTCAGGCGAAAGTTCCAACCAGGCCAGTGGATCAATGTCGACTTGCTGCCCCGGAGCTGGCGCAATCTCCTGCGGCGGAGCTTGGCCGTTCATGAGCTGTTCGCGGAATGCCATAAGCTCATCTTGTGATGGGGGTTGTTGTGGAACATCGCCAGCAGCTTGCTGGACTGGCATTTCTGGAGCATGTCCTTGGTTATTGATGTCGTGTTGGAGTTCCTGGGCCCACTGCTCAAGTTCTTCTGGAGTGGCTTCCAGGATCACCATTCCAGGGAATTGCTGACTTGGCTCCGGTTGGTTGTTGGGCTGCTGGTTAGCTTCCGGCCCAGGAAGAGGCTGCTGGCTGACCATTGGTTGGGAAATCGGCTCGTTTGGTGCGGAAATGGGGAACATCTGCTGTTCTGGCGCCGCCCAGAGTTCAACAGAGTTGTCCAGTGCTGTCGGCACCGCATCATGCATGGTCTGTCTCACGTTGGCCTGTCCATTCTATGAAGCAGGACCAGCGGGGAAAACAGACTGGCTATTGGAAGGCCGTGGTTGTGTTGCGGGTTGAAGGTCAGCAGCTTGCTGAACTGGAACGTTGTGAATAACGGGTGGAGGGAAACCCATGATCTGAGCTGGAGAGATAGAGCGAGCTGCGCTGGCAGCTTGTTGACTCTGTCTGAGGAGCCTAGCTCTTTCGGACGCGGGTGTGATGATACGCCTCGGGGTGAAAACTGGGCCAGCAAGAGCCGGGGGCTGAACGTGGGCCGGAGGACCAAAGGGCTGCGAGTGAACAGCTTGTGCCCGCTGAGGTATGGGAGCGGCTGGTGGGTTAGGACCAGGATATCTAGTATTTGGACCCGGCCTAGCGGGTGTGCCATAGCCGGCAGGGCCATTGCGCTGTGCAGGGACATTGTGCTGTGCAGGGACATTGTGCTGTGCTGGTATCGATGCGGTCATGGGTTGAGCCTGCATAGGGAGCGCGGGAGTGGCAAAGCCCACAGGAACAGCAGCCTGCCTCATTGGAGTATGGAGAGTCCCTGGAACTTGTTGACTGTAGACAGGTGGCCCAAAAGTGCCTTGATGGGGGAAGTTCATGGGTCGGTTGTATTGAGGAGGTGGTTGCATGGGACCCTGAGGAGCTACCTGCGGACGTGGAGGAGCTGGAATAATAGGGCGTTGCCTTTGGTCAGCTGCCACACGCTGAGGGACGGTAAAATGAGTCGCAGGTTGAAGTTGTTGACGGCTGTTTTGAGGAGCAGGTGGAATACCGGCCGGGCGAAGAGCGAGTTGTCCATTGTTACCGCGGGCGGCGTGTTGCTGGACATGACCGCTGAGGACAGGAGCGTTAGGGGCTGAGCCCGCCTGGATCGGAGGAGGGGCCCATTCCGCAAAAGGGTTCTGCTGATGAGCGGGATGCGGCAGTGCGGGGCCGGCCATGGAGGGACGAGGACGGTTCATGTTGACCCGGTTTACAGGAGCAATGGCAGCCGCATTCCGTCTTCTTCTCTTCTCACGTGACTCGTCGTCAGAGACGCCGTAGATATCGTCTGAGATCTCACTCTCGTTGTCTCCTCCATCATTACCGTCATTAGGCGAGTAGCCGTCGTTGTCGTCAAATAAATCGTTACCGTCAACAGCCTCATTGATGTCGTCCCATGCGGCACTGCCATTGTCATCTGCTAGAGCCGCATTGTTTTGGGCATGAGCTTCCATTTGGGCCTCGTGAATCTCGTATAGAGTCTCGAAGTCGTTCTCCTGGTAGGGGATCCAACCGTCATCTGCAACCTGGATATCTTGGGGCCGGATGAAGGCGGGCTCCTGGGGTTGCTGGGCACCTTCAGCTTGCGCACCAGCGGCGCCGGCAGCAGCCACGATGTCCTGTGCGGCCTGGTTGGCATTCTGGTCAGCATTGGCCTCGGACTGGGCGTTCTCCACAGCGGCGTTGTTGGCCTTGGCGGGCGGCGGGTTGCCAGCGAGGGTCGCAATAGCTTCCTCGCCAGCTTTCTTTTTGTCGGCCTTGCCGTTGTTTGTCTTCGCATTCTGCTCCTTCGTCGACCGTTCCTTGTAGGGGTCGGCCGCGAACCTGACGAAGTACGAGCTGAGGAACAAGTTCGAGACCGCCGCTTTGTTTGTGTTGACGAAGCGGATAAGGTCGTTCCATCGAGACCGGAAATTGTCGTATCTCCTGTAGTAGTAGCTGGTTGCCCAAGGCGAGACCTTGGGCTTCCCTTCCTGGGCTTGACGGCAGGCGATCTATGAAATGGGTGGTTAGCTGATGGTTCATGTGTGATGTCTCTCACGGAGGGTGACTTACAAATAGGCGCCATGCCAGAGACTCGAAGACTGAGGCGGATGTTGCCTTGACCTGCTTGACTTGGGCCTTCATGCCCTCGTCCTTGCCAATCATGTTCTCGAGCGCTGTGACCATCTCGTCGATATACTGGCCCTTTTCTCTCTCACTTGTCGGGATGTCGGCAATTTGAGATTGCAGCACCCGCCCGGTAGGATAGGCCAGGGCCTCCATCACGCCCTCACCGACCATGAAGTCGGCCTCTGTCATGTAAATGCGTTTGTACGCCTGGCCAGCCGGGTGGTTCTCGCGGGGGGTCCTCTTCCGTGCGTGGCTGATTTCGTGCGAAGCAAGCGTCTTCCTCAACTTCTCAGCCAAACCGGGTTTGGTAGGCCCGATTCTGGCGAGTCCTTGGGCAGTCAGGTCGGCTCTATGGAGGAATACGAGCCAGTGGTACGCGCTTTCGGCGAAGCGCCAGTAAAGCGGGTCGTAAGCACGACGATGAGTGAATTCGGCGAAGGAGCGGATGGCATTGGTGTTTGGATTGACGAGATTGACTTGCATGGTCACTGTGTAGAGTTTCATTAGCACGAGTGTTCTCGTATGTGTTGTAGTCCGGGCTGGAGCTAAGGGAAAGAGGGACAGGAAGGGTGTAACTTACTTATGATTTGCCAATACACAGTAAGATGAGGATCCCGGCCCCGGGCAGCCGCCTCCAGGAACTCTGGGATCTGCTGTGCTTCTTCGAAAAATACAGGCATTATGAGAGATGAAGAAGGTCTGGGGTAGTATGCAATGTTAGTGGATTACTTGGGTGCAAGGGCGAGAGAGGTCGTCATTGATAATCGAATGAAGTATATAGTGGTGGTAGAATGTATATAAGAGTGATGGACTTACTTGGATGTAAAGAAGTGATGTTAGAAGTGTGAACGATCTTGATCAGTCGTTCGATGACGTCGGGTGCAAGTTGCAATGCTTGTGAGAGAGCAAGTGGTAAAGCACAAAGTCGATAGAGCGAGCGATGTGTCGATGAAGTAAGGATAAGGTAGGCGATAGGTCGCGAAGGTTTTTGTGAGTAGGTGGATAGGGGGTAAGTTTTTAGCTAGCAAAGCTGGGTCGCGAGTGTCGTCGTTGGAAGAGGCTCGTTGCTTGCAGGAGGAAATTTTTAAGGTCAAGCTTGGGATCTGGGGGAGGAATCTTATACTGGTTGGAGGGTAAGCGACTGTTGATGCGACGGAGGATTTTCCCTGCCCCGATTTATAAGATCAACGGACTTGTGAAGGGCTTTGCAGCGCTGTTCGTGATCAACCTTGCTGTTCAGGGCTCGATGGTGATCCAGGTTTTGGTGTTGTGGCCAAACGCGCTCTCACCGCGCCTTACTTCAACTCATCCCAATCCCATGCTATCGCATCAGGAGTGTTGCTGGAGCGACCGATGGATTCGGCCATTGTAGTCAGAACAAGGTTTGTAGAGTCATCCCTTACTCGTAGCGTAGTATCTATCCATCTGTAGACGTTCTTCATCTTCCGTCTAACTTGCTTTCCAATCCAGTCGTATGGTCTTCATCTGACAAACCCCTGCATGTCGCATCTTGCTCCAATGCCAAGCTGTTAGCCACTACCCCTGTAACTCCGCTAATTGGGTGCTCACACTATCACTTACACATCCTCGACCTAGTGCACGTGGCGACCCATGAACTCGGGATAACAATCAACGGGGCCGGCCCGTTCGTGAACAGCAAACGTGAGGACGTGTTCCTGAACAGTATCGCTGCCCTGGGTGTTTAGGAAGAGTAATCCTGGAGTGCATCTTCATGAACAATATAGGCAAGTAGGATTGAACCATGAACACGTGAATGTGGTAGTATGTAGTGGATGGAACGACTTCCGTGCGAAAGATCCTGAGTAAAACGGGTACGACAAACGAGAAAATGACGGATCATGATGATAAAAAAGGAGATTGCTACCTGCCACCCTTGTCTGTAAGCAGACCTTCCTCTTTGTTGGTCGGGATGGAACTCGACCTAAGTGCCGAGGTCCTCTTATACCCAGACGACAAAGAAATACCGGCCCACTTGCGGAAAAAGAACCTAGATACTTCGTACGTAACTCTACATTCAAGCTCCATCCCGCTTCCATGTCAGCACTTCTACATGGAGTACTTGCTCTCAAAAGTCTTGAATCTTGGGCTGACCCTAAGGCCTATTAGCGCAAGAAGTCCTTGCAAACAAACAGCCCCCGAGATGTGACCTAGCACATCTCTAATCATGAGAAGACAGGTTGCCTGTTAATAACGGAATTCCCATGGTAGGAAAGTGTGAGCGGACGTGTGCTTACACATCCGTCCACCAGCCCCGAGATGCCTTGCATCTCAGCGCCTGCGCAGCCGCTTGGCACGAGACTCCTCAACCTCTTCATCCTCATTAATATCCCGACCCCTTTTGTTCTGGGCTCTGCTGGAGCCAAAGTCGCCGTGATTGTCAACTGGCATATCTCCAAGGTGTTCTTGATCGTGTTTGTCGTCATCTTCGAAAACAAGAAACTCGCCCCTGAGTTGCTCATAGTCATTGACCGCCGGGGCAGCTTGCGGAATCTCCATGTCGCCTTGTTGGTTGCGTGGAAGCGCAACATTCCCGTCATTGGCAATATCTTGCTGATAGGCGTGATCGAATGGGTCTACTGGATATGGAGTGCAGACCATTTCATCTGCGGTAAGGATAAAGTTGTCTGCAGCGTTGTTGTTGTTGTGAATCGGAGTTCCGTTGAGGTTGACAGTCTGCTGGGCAGCCTCGGCCTTGGGGGTGTAAGCGACCCAATTACCGATCAAGCTGTTACCACCTCCAAGCATGCTGTTGCGTCCCCAACCATATCCATGCCGGCAGCGACCATATTGTTGCCGGTCATGTCGTTACCCGGAACGTTCATGCCATGCGCACCACCACCTCCGTTGCCGTGGTCAGCTTCAACCTAGGTATGAAGCGTGACCGACGGCAACCGGAGCGGGCAGAGCACGCATGGGCATTGGTTGGACACTTCCGATTTCACCATTTGACTCCCTGCCCTCGCTGTCTGCGCCAGAACCAGGGCCATCGTCATTGGAGCCCTCGCTGTCAGTGCTGCTATCGGCGTCGGCGGCATTGACTGCGTCTTCGTTGGCGACCTCCTGTTCCTCCACAGGCACGTCCAACACTCGATCAAGAACCTCGTCGGAGTCTTCGTTTGCGGACTCATAGTCGCTGTCATGATAATTGTCATTGTCCTGGTCATCGCTACTCTCTGGCGCGCGAACAACGGCAAACGCTTGCTCACATTCCAGGCCAGGCGGATAGGCGGGGCCGGTGCCAGGGGCAGAAGACTCGCCCATGATGTCCCCTGCGGCCTGTCCAGACGAGACGCTGCTATCGGAAATATGTTGGTGATCCTCACTGGGGCTAGCATGTTCTGTGACATTGTCCCCATTGGCGACAGGCTGGGGCAAAGGCTGATTGACATCGGTGGGCTGAATCGCAACATTATCTCCCGCGTCGTTGTTGAGTCCGGGGTTGTTCGCCATGGCCGCCTCGAGCTGTGCGAGGGCCGCTTCGGTCGCTGCCTTTTTGGCGGCTTTTTCGAGATTGCCCTTCTTGTTGATCTTTTTCCTTTCGAGTTCTGATGCAGGGTCGGAGGCAAATCTATTGGCATGGGGACAAATCAACAAGTTCGCTACTGCGCCCTTGGAAGCCTATCAGCAAACCCGGTTAGCATCAATGGCTGTGCCGCAAGAGGGAATCGTGATGGATGGGACGCTAGGTGTCGTCTGCTTTTCCTCTTCCATGAAATCGAATCGTATCTTACCCTGACGAATGCCACAAGATCGTCTCATCGGGCGGAGAATGTGTCGTACCGTCTCCAGTACAAACTCGTGGATATCCGCAGTTGTCCCGGGGTGGGGCGTGCTCTCTGCGACCCAGAATTCCGCCAAGGATGTGATCGTGTTGCCTGGGCTTTGGTCGGCCCCCTCCACGCGAACCTTTCTTAGATTTCTAGACAGCTCATGCTCCGCCATTCCCTCGGTGACGGTACTAGTCAACCCGGGATTTGTGTGGCCGATCCTGCCGAGTGCCTCCCTGATTGTTCCATGTTTATGGTTGGTTACCAGCCATTCGTACGCTATGGCTGCGAAGATTCGGTAGCGCGGTTGTATGCTGTGAAACTCGGCAAAGGGTCTGATGGTTCGTGTTTCGGGATGTATCAGATTTGTGTGCAGGGAAACTGTGTGAGGAGAGCTTGTTAGCAAGACGTTCGTTCCCTTGAATGCTCCCTCGTTAAACTTCATAGGAGCTCAAGCAAGAAAACTCACTGATGATGTTCCACCATTCTCCAAGGTTTGAATTGTCGAATCCCGCCGCTGCCTCGATATTTTCGACAAAGTCGCGGACGTCGGCCGCGGTCGGCGAATATTCTGCCATTTCAACGGTTCGTAAGAGGACAGGGTCGGTTACTGTGTTAACATGATGCTTGATCTAATCTGCCATTCTGCATAGTCCCATTCGCTCGGGGGTTCTGGGCAGTATATACGGACACTCCATCATTCCGACAGAGCGGCGTCAGCACAGTTACCGCGTGAACATGGATGGAAGGGATGGAACGACGCGATAGATGGGATCATAATCGACATTGGAGGATAGAGGTACCTTTTGCGTCTCGGTAGAAGTCAGGAATCCGACTCCTATCAGGGCTGGTCAAGAGTCGTTCGAATACTCGTTGGTCGGTGGTTGGTTCGGGCTTGACACGCAGGCGAGCGTCGGAGCGCGGGGCCATTTGGTGGGCAGACAAGGTGAACAGGCGAGGTCGGTCGACAAAGAAACCGTATAGGGGTGCTTTTCACAGACGCGGAGTATCGGTCGCGGTTCCTGGTACGTGCTTAATGCTGGGTGTGGTAAGCCTGTTTTCTTCCTGCCAGTAGTGGTGCGGAGGAAGGAATTGGATTTCGGGAAGCGAAGATGGCGGGAGGTGAAGAAGATGCGCAAAAGGCGAAGAGTGCGGGAAGAAGGTGAAGAAGGCGGGAGGGGATTTGATATTCGTGGGGCAGGAGAATGGCTCTCAAAAGGTTTCAACTCGCGGTGAGGTCATCCACCGCTCAGGGAAGGCGCGTGATCCAACCCCCGTCGCCCACCCGCAATTGGGATGAACGGAAATGTTAGCGCGCAGCGCTCATTGCTTCGGCAACCCCCCTGAAATACGGCGTTTACAGCGCAAAAAGTCGGCACTCTCAGGGCACCATCTTATCCGAAGTGCTAACGACCCCGCCATGTGGGTCCGATGCAGTCTTGTTAGTACAAACACACTGAGCACACCAAATTCAGGAGGTGGCACTATCACTTATACATTGTCGACATGCCTAGACGTTAAATGTATGTCCCTTCCCCACCTTACCGCCTCGTTTCATCACAGCACCGAGCCGGCGAGCAATCACATGAAAAGTGGAATATAGACGACTTCGTGTGAGAAAATCAGGAATCTTTAACCAAGCAACATGCACCAAGTAAAGAAAAAGAGAAACTGAGAAACCTAATGCTACCTGTGAAAAGTGACCGCTACCTCTTTGTCCTCAATACCGCCTCTTATATGGAGATGCGAGCGACAACCGTCACTGGTCGTATGCCACACCGTCCTCGATGATAACCTCAAAGAGCCACTGGACCTTGGTAAAGAGCCCAAACTTTTTCTCAAATATTGTACACAACTCCACACTTGTTGGAAGGTCTCAAAGGCACCAAGTGCCTATGAGTCCCCATCCCTATGACTCCCCTTGCCCGGGAGCTCCTTGAGCCTGACATTGGAGACTCGGGCCTTGATCGTAGTGACTTCTGATACTGTCTTTGTGACCTAGCACAAGACACTGGGGAAAGGTACCTTACTTGGCGTGATATGATATGCACTCACACATCCGTGCCATCTCAGTGGTGACGGCGACGCTGGGGATGGGAGTATCCGAGTTCATAATCTCTGTTGCGCTTGCTACTGCTAGAGGGGGCATTGGGACCTGTAGTGTCGTAGGTGGCGTCGCCCAAGGTGTTCGCAACCTGCTTAGATTGATCGTTGGACAGTAGGTCGTTGAGTTGGTTGCTCGCCTCCGGATGCTCATTGACTGCCTCGGGGACGAGGTACTGAGCTAATAACCTTGGACAACATTCGGTGACCCATTGTTGTGGATAAAGCCATCAGAAACCGGGTATAGCGCGGCTTGGTTCGTACTCGGATTGTTGGCCATTGGACTTGCAAAAGGAGCTGGGTAATTGGGAGTCAAGGGGTCGTTGGCGGCCGAGTTCCACTGAGAAGCTGGTCCATTGTTGAGAAAGTGCTGTCCAGAACGGCATTGTTGGCCAGTTCATTGTCCACGCGACTATTGTTACCAACCGGGTAAGTGGCTGCCGGGTTAGCAAAGGCCTGGTGCTCTACTTCCTCTAGCCAATTACCCACAATCTGGCCGTTGTTATCGTGAACCCCGAAGTTACGAACGCCTGAAGCCCCTTGCACCCAGTTATGCCGTCCCAAAGCAGAATTTTCCACAGGGCCATGGTTTCTGGTATGGCTCATACTGCCATGAAGACTGCCACTTGCCGTATGATTGAGATTAACTGATTGGCTAACGGCTTCCATGTGCATTGGCTGTTCCCAAATTGCTCCTCGGCAGTTTCTCGAGATATGCCCAGTCATGGCATTGGCGGCTTGCCGAGGGAGGTGATTCGTATGGCTGTTGGTGGGTTGGCGTAAGTCTTTCGTAGGTAACGCGGGGCGAATGCTGTTCGTTGGCTTCGAAGCGAGATTCCCTCTTTGGTCGACTACTGGCGTAACGCTAGAGACACCTCTATGTTGTTCCTGGCTTGTGTGGAAATTACAACACCTTGACGGGCAGCCCTGTGTCGAGCCAGCAGCGGAATTTGCGATCTCGTGGGCATCAGAGAGCGCTGAACTGGCTGGCCGGACATATTCTGAGAGTTGTTTCTTCCTCCATCAACTGCCATTGTCTGGTTGTGAGTTTGCCCGTTACCTTGGACTGTGTCCAAACTGCCGCTGTTCGCTTCGCCCTACGAAGCAGGACCGGCGGCTGGAATGGGTTGTGGAGTCAAAGGTAACGAGACCCCAGGCACAACTGGGGGACGTTTGCGAGATGGACGGACTGGGGTGACGTTAGGGGTTGAGAGGTTGCCCCCCTCTTCGTCCTCGAGATCACTATCGTCCGTGTTGCTATCTTCGTCTGCTTGATCCTCGGAATTACCCTCGTCGCTGTCTTCATCGGGTACAAAGGCTGTGTCATCCTCAGAGTCATGGCCTTCGTCGTCGCTATCATCCGTCTCACTATCGTCGCTGTCATCTGTGTCACTGTCGTCGCTGTCGTCGCTGTCGTCGCTGTCGGTACTGTCGGTGTCACCGCCGTCCGTGTCGCCATCGTCGTTGTCGGTATCCTCGTCGATATCCTCTTCGGCGGTATGGTTCTCATCTGGAGCAGAAGCAGGGCCGGCAGCAACAGCTCCGTCTCCTGTTGCCTCCCCTAACCTCTGCTTCATTGATGTCTTTTCGGTCTTTTTTTTGTTGTTGCCTTTCTTGTTGATATTCTTCCTCTAGAATAGTGTTGTTAGACCCGTCGACACCACAGCCATGAAAAGGATCGTAAACTTACTTTTAGTTCACTATCAGGATCGCCTGCAAAGCGATTCCAATGGGGTGTGAGCAGGAGATTGGCCACCGCAGCTTTAGATTTCTGATTCAAACAGATGTTAGGAGACATGCCATTTCGCGAAAAGACTTGGTAACTGGATGGTACGACATACGCTGATGAACTGTACCATGTCATTCCACCTCTCCTTGAAGGTGGCATACTCCCGCCAGTAGAACCCTGTCGACCACGAAAGCACGGCAGGCTTGCCTTCCTGCATCTTGACGGCGGTGTCCTACAGTTTGACAGAGTTAGCAAGTGTCAGATGTCGCAAAGAGTGTGGCTGAATTCTGTTTGCACTCACGTATAGGCGCCAGGAAACATCTTCGAACACTTCTCTCGAACTTCTCTTGATTGCCGCCACTTGCTGGGAGTCATTGTCGACGATCCCAATGGTGTTCTCAAGAGCCTTAGCCATCTTCTTGACATATCTCAATTGTTGGCGCCGAGTGCGCGGAATATCGGCCGTGCTTGCCGGAGACACAGTCTTGTGTAGGAGGGTCTTTAAAGCACCCTCCGTAGCATAGAACTCGGCCAACGAGGTCGAGTAGCCAGGGAGAACTCGGCTCTTTGGAGGCGAGCCGCGCTTCCTTCTGCGCCTCTGGTCCTTTTCGTGGGGGGCCAGGCCGTCCAGAAGTGCCTTCTTCAAGCCAGGTCTCGTGTGCCCAATTTCCCCCAAAGCAAACTCTGTTGTTCGACCTCTGTGGTGGAATAATAGCCAGTCGTAAGCGAACTTGCCGAATTCTTGATAGGCTGGCGGGATAGTAAAGAATGAAAAAGGCCGAACTGCCTTGGTGGTCGGGTCGCAGAGGCCGTTCTGCAAGAAGACTAGATGGTCGTTAGTCATATCGTGGCTATCTGATTGTGTGGGCAGGAGATGTTAACTTACGAATGAGCTTCCACCAGGTCTTGAGATCCGGATTCTCCTCATGTGAGGCAGTCTCAAGACGGTCAACAAAGCCGTAAACGGCTTCGATGTTGATGGAGTTGAAATCCGTCATCGTGGCGAAATGATGCTGAGATTCTATAAAGAAGCAGTGGAGGCGTTTGTGAGGGTATACACTCCGATCGCACCTGCTCAAAGGTTAGCGGATGTATCTATATACGCTTGTACATATCACGAGAACCTGAGGACATTGAGCAGATAAGATGGTTGGAACAGATGAAGCGAACGGGCAGATAGGATGATATTGGATATGGATTGCATAAGAGCACTTGCTCTCTATGTGATGCTGAACAACAAGGTTCTTGATGTTGTCGTGAGGTGCGATCATGAATGAAGGGTGAGTTGAAACTGAGCGATAGGAAGCGGGCGCGGTGTTTGGCCTTTGCCAGCTCTCCGTCCCTCAGGCCATATTAGAAGACACTTGGCTTCGGCCTGAAGTGCTGTTGATCATGACTTTTGTTCCTGTAAGACCAAGGGGATGGTTGAGGGGTTGGCCTACCAAAGTCGGTCGCGGGGTCGCTGATGAGGCCGAGGTGACCGCGACCGCGAAGTGCGGAAGTTCGATTGACGAACACCGCAAGTACGGAACAAAGTGCGGTGAGAGTTGTTGATGTCAACTGTCAAGAACGGGGAAACAGCAAGCGTGTTGACGGTGGTTGGCGATCAAACACTCTTCTCCGGAGGGGAAAGAAAATCGGATTGGAGATCAAAGAGGAGGAGGGGTTTTGAGAAATGTGGGAGTGGAGAAAAGGAGGGCCTGGAGGTGATTTCGAGCACCTGCAGCAGGGGCACCACCTGGCAAGTGCGTCATGCAGCCCCTGTTGTTTTGGCTGAACCCCCTCGCCCCGCGCCTGCAGTCGCTGCCTCCAAGGGATAAAACAAACAAGAGCACTGCAAAATCCATCGGCTCACTGATTAAAAGCCCTGAACCACAACGCCGCCAGGTTACTACCGTATAATCTTGGGAAATCCGGATTTGGAGATTGGAGAAAATTCCCTTATTTGGACAGACATATGCCCAGCAACAGAGTACAGTGTGCGGCATACACCAGCATATATGCCCGCCCACTTAGTGAAAACTTCTATAATATTGTCCACTACTATCTTGCGTGCGTCTTAATGTATAGGCTCGGACTTGCACATTGCAGTACTGGGCGCTGTATGTGGCCAGAAGAGGAAGATTTCTCCAATCTCCAAATCCGGATTTCCCGAGATTATACGGTATAGGATCAACTCCCACCGCCGATTGCATGTTTGGCTCATCCTATCCCTAACCCTTTCGGATAAAGGAGAACCTTGGCGAACTCAACATCAACGACAATCAAAACAAGCCCCAGGGCAAAAAGGGCAAACGGATTCGAGAAGTCATCAAAGGTGCTCTTCCATGCGTACATCAAACACAGGTTGACTATTAGTAAATATCGACTTATTATCATGTGAGTGAGACATCTGGATACAATAGATCATCTCGTATAATCCTCCGATTATTACTCTTCTCGTGTGCTGCCAAACCAGCCATCAGGGCCTGCTTCAAGCCGGGCCTGGTTTGCCCGGTCGTCCTTGATGCTACTTCTGCTGTCCGACATTTGACGTGGAGAGCCAGCCAGTCGTAGGCATTCTCGAACGTAGTGTAGGCGAATAGTCGCGGACAAGCCAGCGCACCTATGATCTCCCAATGCGACTTGAGTCTCGGGTCATCATGCTGGGCAGCGGACTCGCACTGACATGCATTCTCAGGGTGGTGACCTTCATCGCCTCGACCATCTCCTTGACATATCCGGCCTCATCTTCTGGGAAAATTGGGATGTCCAGAGGTAGTCTGGCACTCTGGCTAACTCGCTTCTTGGTGTAATCGCACATGATCCCGTAGTGGGCCCAGAGACACCAGCGGCCCAGTCTGTTCCTGGTCTTCTTCGTCATCAGGCATCCGCATTAAAGAAGGATACGGTAGGTACCCGGCACTGGGTTGCTTTAGCGGTCCACGGAGGTGGGATACTTTCTCCAGTAGAAGCTGGTATTCTAGGGGCGCACTGGTGGACCCCTTCTTGGTATCAGGGTGAGTGATCGACAGCGTCTGTTGAGGAATTTCTTCCGCTGAGCGGCTGAGGTACCAAATGGTAGAAGTCGCGGAAGTGCTTGACGTTCGTACTGTTTTGGATCTACATACGGTAAGGTAGGTAGGTATATAGAGAGATGAAGTGAGATTCATGATGATAGCTCCTCTGGGCTCGATTGGCCAAGAAGGTACCGCTTCGAATTGCGCAAGACTGCCTTTTATAGATCGTGAATCATGGCTGGAGATATGGCTCTAATCACACGTTGCGCTCATGCTAGAGTCATGAATGTTTGAGCGACTGGTAGCTTGCTTTTGAGCCCAACACTCAGTCATAGCACTAACCTACTCATAGCAGGCCACTCAGTAAAGTAGTCATTGGATTCGGTGACTGGAAACGTTGGTCACATGAAGAGTCACGAGGAGTAAACATATCACTTTCCATGATGACATATAACCATGACAATCACACCCGCAAGCTATGTCTGCCCCTGCGGCATATAAACGAGTATGGACAAAGTCCTTGTTGTCTACTTTGAACGATATCTTTGTAATCTAGAGGTACCCTTTGACTCCCGTGGTGCAGTGACAAAGACTGTACGCCTTCCCTGCTGCCGACCTCTTTGAACGACCATAGTTCCCTCGGTGCATGGATCAAACAATGCCATTATTCCACACCCCAGCTAATTCAACTTTCCATTCCTCGGCTTCCATTCTTTCCACCACTTGTAGAAGCTTGGAGCAGCCGGCTTCCGTCTTGTACCCTCAGCCTTTTTCAGCTCAGCAAGACTCAACGAGTTGGATGTGCTGCTCCGAGAGCTTGACTGAGACATTATAGATGGAGTGATTACTCAAAGACGAGTGGACGTGGTCTCGCCTCATCTGAGCCTCTGTTATCTTTCAACTGGGCCAAAAGTTCGAGCCGAGAGTCGTACCAGAATACTCACTCAGGTCACTTAGCGGAGTTCTGCTTGAGTACCTGACTCTGGGGACACTTGTGCCGCGGTCACTTCCTTGTTCTTCTCCTCCTTCATATCTCCTGAACACCGAGTGGTTCGCTGCCTTCCATGCAGAAGACGGCTTCTGATGGCGCTGATGTGCAGTATCTCCGTTCCAGCGATGGTAACGTCTTTCTGCTGTAGTCTCGGATATTGCAAACTCTCTGGCGGTTCACCGAGTAGCAGGGCGTTGAAACCAACCGCGACACATTTCCACCGCACCGATCCACTGATATCCTCCACGTGGAGCGTGTAACGGTCGTTTAGTTGAGCCGGGCGCGCTGCGCTGGACGCCATCCACCCTCACCGCCAGATCCAGTCCGCTTTCGCTTTCCTTCAGTGGTTGAATCGGCGGGGTAAGTGGCGGACCCACCACCCCGTCCACCGTCCTCTTCGCCATCGTTGTTGGGCTGATTGTTTGCGGCCTGGTAGATTTGAATGTCGTCGTCGCTCACAACCCCAGAGTTCTGTTGGGCAATGTAGTCCGCAATAGCTTGGTCGATCTGTGCCTCGTCCATGATGCCGGTCATGTCGTAATTGGCAAGATCGATGTCGTCAAGGTCCGCGATGTCGAAATTGTCCTGAAGTTGCTCATGTACATTGAAATTGTCGTTCTGTATGCCGTGGGCCATGACCTCTTGAGCGGCGATATTGACCTGGCCGCCGATGACCTGATATACAGCAGAATTATTGTCGAACCCAACATGGTTGAGCATGCCCTGGACAGGGTCTCCAAGCTCCGCCTCTTCCACGTGGTTGTCCTGTCCATTCTAGGGAGCAGGACTAACATGGGCGGAAGCGGTCGGCGTCGGATACTGAGGACTAACTCCATCTGCCATGTTCGGCATGAGGATCGCGGCGGCCATATTTGGGATAACGTTTTGTCCGGAAACGGGAGCGACATTAGGTGCGGCGGGTGCCGGTTGAACGTTGGGATATTCGGGCTGGACAGGGGGGTCTTGGGCGGCTTGATTCTCCGTCTCTGCGGCCGCAGCCGGTCCATTGTGGTCGTCACTCGCATGTTGAGCATCCTGGGCTTCCTGAACAGCTTGGACATCCGGAGCCTCAATGGCTTCATGCTCGCTGGCTTCAGGTGCGGCGGCCCCGTGCTGAGCGGCATCGGTTTCCCCCTCATTCTGTTCAGAATCTCCGTTGCCCTGTTTTTGGCCCCTCCTTCCGTTGTTGTTCGCATTGGTCTTCTTGGTCTATATCACGGTCAGTAAGCTGCAAAGAGGGCCAAAAGGTCCGTCGTTTGACTGACCTGAAGTTCTCCATTTGGATCATTCGCAAACCGCTTGACGTACGGAGCAACTAGCATGTTGGCTGCCGCACCCTTGGAGCGCTGATGAGCAACGGGAGTTAGCAAACCGAAGACCCACCAGACAGTGAAACTGGGGACGTTGACTCACCTTCATAAGCTTGAGCATGTCGGTCCAACGGGCTTCCAAGGATCCATATTCTTTCCTGTAAAAGCTCGTGCACCATGGAGGAATATCAGGGCATCCCGCTTGGGCTTTCCCAGCGTCGACCTAGGAACAGGTCTCATGGTTAGCTACCTCTATGCTATCAAACAGGGTTTTGACGAAGTGGTAACTTACCCACAGTTGCCACGCAATGTTTTCGAACACGTGGTGTGACGATATTCTCAACTGGTTGATTTGGTAGTCTTTTCCATCCCGCTTTTCCGCCATGTTCTTGAGCGCCTCGACCATTTTCCTGACCATTTCAACTTGGTCCCGAGGTAGGCGTCGGATGTCCCTGGTTTCCTCCTCGGTGGTGGCGTGATTGGTCATGGCACGGGCCAGAGAGTCCTGGACCCAGAAGTCGGCCACGGATGTGATGAGGCCTTTATACTCTCGCTCGATTACTTCGTTCTCGTTGCGTGTTGTCCTTATGTTCTGGGAGACCTCGTGACTGGCCAAGTCCCTGGTGGCCCTCTCCATGTACGGCCGGGTGAAAGCGATGCTTCTTAAACCCGACTCGCTGGAACCACATTCCATGAGGAAGTGAAGCCAGTCGTATGCTCTCATGGCGAAGTCGTCCAAGCCATCATCCCAATTTTTCAGCTCGTGGAGGGCCACGACTTGCCCTTGGGGGTTAACGAGGTTGCCCTGGATGGCCACTGTCTCAGACAATAGGTTAGCGGTCCATCGCTTGAAGAGGGATGGATGCCCGATTGGGATAGTGATGTCTGGAGTAGGTAACCTACGGATAACCTTCCACCATTGCTCAAGTAGGTCAAAGTGCCGTGCCGTATGGGCATTTCGGAGTAGGGTAATGAATGACTGCAAAGGCGCTTGCGAATACATGGTAAATGCAGTATTACTGAGATGTAGAAGACGTGTATATATGGACGCCCGAACAGATCGTGAGAATGGACTGGGACTCCAATAGAAACTTGACAGGATCAAATGCGGGACTGGATGACAATGTTGCTAATGTCGGGCGCGCTCGAATATTTCTCGTCAGTCGCGACAGCAGCGTGAATCGCTCAGGTATTGTTGTTCTAATAGAACGCCGAGAGCAGAGGCACCGAGGCCGGTCTTTTTTGGGCTTGTTGATCCGGTCCTGGAATTTTGAGGCGGTGGATTGCATATAGGAGAGTGTCGCGGTAGTCGATTGAAGATGACGAGCTGTCGGCGGGTAGTCGTCGAAAGCAGCTTGCGCTCGTTAGAGGTACGGTACGCAATGGTGCGGTGAGAAGAGATATTTTGTGCGGGTGAGGTCGTGCGGAGAGTCGGGTTATAGATCGATAGAGGTAAAGTAGGTCGTAGTGTGGGGCGGGGTCGGCGGTCGAGGTAATTGGGTCGAGCTGAGAGGATCTTGGTTTCGAAAGACGTAGGTAGAGAAGAAAAATGGAAGCCTCGACCGAGAGGTTAGGGAATCGTACAGTTCAAGGTCAGATGGACCAGGTGCTCAGGTACCTTACCAGACAGATCCATGGGCACTGTCAAGTGTCCATCCTACTCTGAGCTTATCTCGAACTGAACTCTTCATCGGGTGCTTCGGGTAGGGAATTTCGCGGAAGACTTGCTGACAGGCTTCTTAATAGCGTGCCAAACATCGCGTGCAGTCCTCAACTTGGCTGTTTGCTCGAACGGCTTAGCTTACACCGATGAAGGTGGGTGTGGTAATGTGATCATTTGTCATATGTTGGTGTCATAATGAATGAGAGGATCAAGCAAGGTGCGGCTGTTGAGTGAAGAGATTTCTATGAAATGATGCTATTGCCCTCGATTCTTTGTCTACGGTCTTCTAATACCCGACAGACAGTGATTTGACTATAACCCTGATCGTTCCTTGACTGTGTTTCGAATCTTATACATGAATCGTACAATGACAACCACCGACCTCTTCATTCCCAGTCCTGCCTCCCTCTCGGTGAATTTGTTGAAGAAGTCCTGTTTCGTCATCTTCCTCGTCTGAGTCATGTCTCCTCCACTTGTCTTGGAAGAGTCAATCAACGGATGGCTGTCGGCACTAATCTCATTACTATGAGTGTGGCGGGTCAGGAGGACCACCCTAGTGGTGGTTAGCAGCTCCCGAGCCAGAGGCCTGGGCAGCAAGCGCCGCCTGCCCATCTCTGGCCTTCATGGCCTTGGTCTCGTTGTTGTGGGCGTTGCCCTCCTTCCTCTAAGAAACTGTTAGCGGTCTGAAGAAAGTGCGCTGAAAAGAGGCGGTTAACTTGCCTGGAGCTCCGTATGGGGATCGCACGCGAAGCGCTTGAAATACGGCGTGATAAGAAGGTTGGCAACTGCCGCCTTCGAGACCTGTTCGAGGATTTTAGAAAAACCAAGCGTTTCACAGAGGTACACGGGCATCAACCTACTTTGAAGAGTGCCGTCATATCGTCCCAACGATCCCAGAACGACTCGTACTCCCGGAGATAGAAACTGGTACAGAAAGGCGCAATTCCGGGTCTGCCCGCCTGGGCGAGCTTGGCCTCTTGCTATTTATCTCGTTAGTTAGGTCCTTGTCAGTGCTGAATTAGAGGGACATGACTCACCATGAGGACCCAGGCGAGGTGCTGGATGACACCCTTTGATGCCTTCTTGACTGCATCGATCTGGTGAATGTTACCATCTTTCTCGCCATCCATGTCGACAATTGCCTCCACCATCAGCTTGACGAAATGACACTCATCATCTGAGTAGCATGGGATATCCCTCAATGTCTCGATGGGCATTCTCTTCGAAGTGTGGCTGAAGAGAACTTCCTGGTGGACCCAGAACTCCCCTTCAGTCTTCATGCGGGCATCGTAGGCCTGGTCGGCTTCGTCCTCGCCCTTCTTGGGTCTCCTGGCAAGCGACAGCTCGTGGCTGTTCATGTCCTTGAAGGCATCGTGGCGAATGTTTGGCTTGGTCCAGGCAATGCGCTTGATGAACTGTTCGGACGCTCCCATCCGGTACCCGAACTCGAGATACTCGTAGGCGTGTCTCGCAAACTCGTCATATCTGTCTTCCCATGCGAGACCCTTCTGTCGCTTGATCACGGCGAGCGATAAGACGGCTCGGTCGCCGGGCTGTGCAATGTGCTCTTGGATATATAGGATGATCCTCCACCACTCCTTCAGGTGGGGGTTGCGTTGGTGCACTGCGGCCTCCATCGCGGGGACGAATCCCTTGAGAATGCTGTCGGACATGTTGGCGAAGGATTGGGTACTGAGGAAGAAGTTATGAAGATCGGACGCGAAGCTTGAAAGGGAATGGAGGGGGTTGTCGAGGTTTGGCTGTCGGTTGTCGGCGACAGGAAGCGAAAGGGGATAGAGGGAATGTGCGACGGTGACATTGTTTGCTGTTCTGTCGGTCGGTGAGTTCGAGGGAGACAGGTCCGTAACGGTTGAGTCTTGCGTCGCTAGTGTCGAAAGCGCCGGTGGCTGGCTGTTCAGCAGAGCACGCGCGCGGGGCCGTCAGTAGACGAGCAGGAGTAGGAGTTGTCGAGGTGGCTCTGTCAGTAGCCGAGCAGGAGTAGGAGTTGTCGAGGTGGCTCGGTCAGTAGACGAGGAGGAGTAGTAGGTGTCGACGGAAGCGGCGTGATGTTGTGCGCGGTGGTCGCAAGTTGAAGAGAGGTTGTTAAGTTGTAGGTAGGTGGGTTGCGCGAAGATAGATCGGTTGGTCAACAGTCGAAGTCGGTCGCGGTGTAGGTTCGCGGTTGAGTTCGGGGGTCAATTTTGTGGGATCGGTTTACGATGCAAGAGAGAAAAGTTCCCAACCCCGAAAGAAAAATCGAGCAGGGGATCTTATACTGCCAGAATATCCAGCGGGGCAGCTCTAAACCTTTGCAACTGTGGAAGGTGAAGCGGGAGGAAAGCTAAACCTGGCAGGTGCTATTCAGGTTCCAGCTCAACCAGGAAGGAAGTGCTGAGCTTTAAACCTTTGACCACCAACAACACTCTCGTAGCGAAGCTTTCTTGACCGGTTGGTGATCCGACGTCGTCAACCACAGCCCCGTCGTTTGCGGACTGGATTGAAGATGCTTGGACGGCTTGGAAAGTTGTCGAGGACTCTGGAGGTATGGTTGCAAGACATGGGGGTGTCATGGTTTCTCAGAAGTTATGAATTCTTCATTCACAGTTTATAGTAATGCAGGACGGACGAACGGAGACATGAGCGTCAATTAGAACCCCATGATTGACTTTGGTATTGCCTCCTGTTAAATTGAGATGTGTGGTAAGCAATGAGCGGATCGAGTGACTCTCCTCAGATCCAGTTTCAAACATTACCTCCTGGTCATAATAGGCAGAATCGCATTGTTTACTCATGTTACACAATGCTGAGTGCTTCTACCTTGTTTTCACACTCCTTACCCCTGCGTTCGGGGACATGCATCATGCAGGGGAAACAACAAAGGTAGCCAGTGTGTCACATATGCCATGAACGCTCATATTGCAATCAACTTACGAAACTAAGACTCTATTAAGACTACTCGTACATCAATCTTTTGTTAAATGTTTGGCTTGTATCGTAGGTGGTGGTGGCCCAGATCCTAGTGGCGGCTCGCTGGTAGCGGGAGAAGGGTACGGCGTAGAGCACCTCTCCCCCTCTCCCCTTGCGACCCTCCCTCTCGTCGACCTCTTGCAAAGGTCGCGGAACATGCGTTGGACTCTTCGGCCTGACACCTTGACCTCTCAAATTGGCCAGATCGAACGTTCTGATGAAATAGGTGATTCTGGTAAGGACTTTTTGCGGCAAATATGCCAGATACGAATAACCACCTCCGCGGATGTTCAGTTTGGAGCTGCACGAAGGAGAAACGGATATCAGCGGTCCCTATAATTCAAGACCAAATAATTCAATTCAAATCGAGCTCTTTTTTCTCAATTCAATTGGGGGGTAAAATCTTCAAGTGTAATTCAATCGTAACCGCATTTTAGCTTAAATATACCGTTTCATTATATAAGTAAAGTATTACTAGTAAACATGCATTTAACCTATTTTTGCTATAGAATCTAGTCATTTCTATATATATATTAACTTTATATCTACTTGTATAAACGTATATCCGGGCCTCGGATCGGTATATACCTCGTAAAGGTAATGTTAATTATTAACTTATAATAGAGGTCGCTAGTATTAAAGGTACTAGAGTTCCCCTCCGCCAAATCCGTTAAATTTTAATTAATTCGCCCGATTTCTATTAACCCCAATTATTAATTATACCCTTTACGAAATTAATACTAATAATACTACTTGCGGAATCCCCTATCGTAATATCTATCCCTACTAGCCAAATTAATTAAGTAAGGTTAAGCCTTATTGCTACTAAACTCGCCCCGCCATCGATAAACTTATTACAATTTAACTCGCAATTATATCTAGCCCTTCGCCTGCCGCGATAATTATAAACGAAGGTCGCTAAATTAAAGGCGATAGATCTAAAAACGCTATTAAGACTATATTCCGAATACCTTTATATAGTTATCGAAGGATGGAGGCACATACTAGACGCTTAATTATTACGTCCATAAAATAAGCGGTTATAGATATACTATTATAGTATAGCTCTAGGTTCATTTAGCTATAGTAACTAACGAAATATTATTAAAAAAAAACTAGATTTACTAATTTTACGATTATTGCGATACCGTTTATAAAATGATTTCGATAAATAGCGCTACTAATTATTTTGAGGGAATTTATCGAATATACAACCTTAAAAAGGAATTATCGAATAAGAAGTGTAAAACTATTTATAATATTTTTTAATCTATAGTATTTTAGAACTCTATTCCTAAAATTTATCGTAAAATTATTAAGAAGGCGCTATTAAATTTTACCGATACTTCGAATGTTATTTATATTATAATTAAAAATAATGACCTTTGCGGTTTAATATTATTAAACTCCGCTATATTAGAAATCATTCTTAAAGGTAATTTAATAATCTAATGTTAATTAGAAGAGAAATAGCGGTTTAAAAAAGTAAAGTTAATATTAATAAATTATTAAATCCCTATATAAAGTATATTTATCTTTCGATTTCTAAATATTCCTAAACGTCTATAATATAATAGCCGTCGTCGATTATTTCGCTAATATTATTAATATACTATATACGCGCTTATTCGTAATCACCTACGTTAAAAGTGATTATAATGGCGAAAATATAAGCGCTATCTTCTATAAAATTATTAATAATTATAATATTTAGAAGAAATTCGGTTGCTTTTATTATAATAAAGTAACGTCAAATAATAAAGTAATTAAATATATATTAGCGAAGGCGGGAATAAATAACGACGAGGCAATAAAAGAGTAGCGGGTTTATTATTTAAATTATATCCTTAATTTAGCAATAAAAGTATTTTTCGATAGTTATTACAATAATATTCTTGATAATAAGGAAAGGGGGAATTCTAATACCGATGAGGAGGAGACGTTAGAGCGCTAGAGAAAGAGAGCTATACTTAATAAATTATATAATATAATATAATTTATTAAAAAGTTACTATAGAGGAGGGAGAATTTTATTTCTATATAGTATAAAAATGTACTGCCCTATCTACTTTAAAAATTTAATTAATAACTTTCTCCCTATTATTTTTATTAATATTAATTCGTATTTCTTGTATCGTAGGCAACGTAGTTATCGACGACGAAAATAAGTACTTTACCCTTTTATAAAATAATTTAATGTAATAAAATTCCTAATATTTTATAATGAATGCGCTATTCGATTACGTTCCGCTATCGAAGTATAATTATATATAAATTGTAACGTTTCCGACCCGGTAAAGTGATTACTAAAGAAAAATATATTTACTTTGTATAATTAGGATATATTTAGATTAATTCTTAATATCTTTGTATTATTTAAAGAGGTAATTGAGTATTTTAAAGGATTAGAACCTAAATTGAGCGAAATTTTCCCGGCCCTTAAAAGATTAATTATAAAATTAAAAAAATACTATTTTTTCTATTTTTCTCGTTTTAAAATAAAACCCTTCGACGGTCCTTCTATCCTAACCGCTATTACTAACCTTACTGGTAAATTAAATATATAATGATCTAATACCTAAATAGTTATATCGAAGCGCTACCTTACTCCTTTAATACTATAATAATAAAAGAGATTTATTATAATTAATAAAAAACGAACCTCGTCCCCAAAATTAATTACGTATTTTAAAAATCCCTATTCTTAACTTCGGTTTAAATAGGGATTTATTTATCCGTAGTAATATCGATCTCTCGCTAGCAAAAATAAATAAATATCTTAATATTATAGAAAATTCGTTATTATATTAACTAATAATAATTCTCTTCCTTAATTATTGCAAACGCGGCGTACTTATTTACTTTAATACTTAGTAGGGTAACGAAATATTCGATACTTTTAAAGAATTATTATATAGATAATATAAGGACGCTGCTATTATTTATATAAAGGTACTAATTAGTACCCTACCCCGCGATATACATCCCTATCGTATTAAGTATCTTTAAAAGGAGAATTTCTATAACGATCTTAACAATAATTTCAAATTAAATAATAAGGTTAACCGATACTTTCCCGTCGTTATTACTAGAAATAACCTAATCTTTAACCTTATTAAATAGTAGGTAAACATAAATAATAAAGACCGCTTTCTTCGATTATTACGTATAGTTATTAATTTCCTAACTATATCTACTAAATTATTAAAATACGAATATATTTTCAATTAAACCCGCTACGTAATCGGGTTTATAAAATATCGTATAAATTATACGACTATTAAAATCATTACTTTACTTAAAAACTGGCGCTGAAAACGGTTTTTTTAATATTAATAACGGTCTGGAAGTTTATATGTAGTTCCCAGCGGTCCGGACAAATTATCCGCCGATTCAATTCAAGATAATAATATAATATAATTTGAGGGTCACTTTAATCAATTTTGGGGATTTTTACGTAAGATAATCCAATTTGGGGGCCATCTTGAATTATCTTAAATTATGGGGATCGCTGACGGATATGGACGAATCTCGATCTCGCAAAGTCGGGCACTTGTAATCTTCTCTTACTTAGAGTTAGACGACACAATATCAGATGCTCGACATCGTATCGTCCGCAACCTTCTGAGTAGCCTACTAGGGCCTAAAGACGGGGACGTCTTCTGGGAGGAGCGTCAGTATGAGTCTCGCCACCGTCCTCGAAGTTGTTTCTGTTCCTCCTAACAGGAGGACAGGAATGATTGGTGCTATCCTGCGGATCAGTGTTGTTCTGTGATCCTCCACCGACGGCACTGCTGCCTGTGTTGAGCGGCATAGGGTGAATGTGAGAAGCACCGACTCCGGTATCGATTCCTCCGCCCTCTTGCGCCTGGCCCATGAAGTCATTCCCACTAGGGAGCTGGGAAGGGCTCGTGCCAGTGTACTTGTCTAGCATCCGTTCCACATAATGCATCGGTTGGCCCGGTAGGGGTAATGAGCTGTGGTCGTTGCCGTTGAGATAATCGATGTATTGAGGGTGAATGTTTGGGCCCACCAAATCGCCAGAATAAAAAGGGTGGTATGACTCGTCATCATTGGAAGGCATGATGCTAGAAAGATGGCCTTCATTGAGGGCTATAGCTCGGACCTCTTGCCGGCTGCCGATCGAGCCGGGTAGTGGTTGGTAGGCCGGTGCATGCGGCTGCGAAGATCCTGCGAAGGGAACCGCTGGAGCAGCAGCATCGCCCATTGCTTGACGTGACTGGAAGTTCAAGTTGTCGCTGTCCTGCTCATCCTCGTTGTCATCGTGACGGTCCTCATCCTGTGCGGCCTTCTCCAGGGGATGCTTTGCTTCGTCGTCATCGTTGTCTTCAAACTCTTCAGCTTCGCCGTCTGTCTCTCCCGCTTCGTCTTCATCGTCCGGATTCTCACTGGCTTCGTCTTCCGACTCCTCCTCATCTACGAAGCTATCGTCCTGCTTCTCCTAAACAGCAGGCTTAGCGGCCGCGGATGAAGTGGTTGGAGCCGGAACAGAAGCGCCAGCAGCAGTTGTGGCCTTGCCTGGAGCACTCTTCGCAGCAGCAACTTTGCCCTTGGCACCTTTCACTACTTTATCGAGGGTGGCCGCCTTCTCCTCGTTGTCCTTCATCTTGGTCGCTTTCTTCTTGTTGCCCTTGTCGTTTTGAGTCTTGCGTCGTTTCTCTTCAGTCGGGTCACCGGCAAAACGCTTCTCACTGTGGGCCACGATCAAATTGGCCACTGCGGCTTTGGATGTCTGAGATCCATTGACGCATTCCATTAGCTACGGCATCGGCCCAGACGACGGATGTGAAAACTTACGCGAAAGAAAGCAACCATCTCGTTCCACCGAGCTCGCAAGGTAGGGTACTGCTTGTACATGAATGAGGTGCACCAAGGGTTTACATCTGGCTTGCCTTGTTGGAATTTCCTGGCCTCTCTCTAAATGAAGTGGAAAACCGATTAGGTTAGTCTGCATTCTGCAGCGAGTGCGGGCCTTGAGGCTAGAGGAACAATATTGACTTACGTATAGAACCCATGCAATATCTTGGAACACTCTTCCACTAGTTGACTTGACGATGCCGACCTTGACGTTGCTCGCTTCCTCAATGATGCCCTGGGTGCTCTTCAGAGCATCGAACATCTCTTGGATGTACATGGCTTGCTGTTGTCTCGTACGTGGGATATCCGCGATTGCCGAGGCCACTGGTCTTGTGTTGTTGATGCCCTTGGTTATAGCCTCCTGAGACCAAAAGTCCACCTCGGATTTGATTGTGTTCGGGTATGTTTGGTCAACAGCACCCTTCTTTCTGGTTGTCCGATTTACCCTTTCATGGGAGGCCAAGCTTTCTGCAATCCGTTGCCTAAGCTGTGGCCTTGTATGGCTGATCCCGGCAATGGCGGCCTCTGACGAGTTACTTTCGTAATGGAGAAGAAGCCAACTGTAGGCTTTACGCGCGAACGTGTCGAAGTCATTGCCCCAATTCTTCAATGCTTCCAGAGGACTCACGGCTCCATTGGCCATGGCCAAATTCTCTTGGATGTGGACTATGTCATCACAGTTACAGTCAGTCTTTGTCGCGTATCTTGTTTCCGACGAAGTAAGAACTCACGAATGATCTCCCAGTATGTCGCCATCTGGGGCCTCCTTTCCGCTGCAGCCCGTTCAAGGGCTCTGACGAACCCAAAAGGGCTGACTATAGCAGGTTGGTTCGCTGTCATAGGTTGGTTCCCCGCCATCGTTATTCTCCTGTCGACTTCTGGAACTTGTCGAGCGAACCCTTTGTTGTCCTTCAAGAGTTCGCGACTTGTCGTTGTGATCAGATTGAAGTCTGTGTCGCGACTGGCCGAGGATGAGAAATATTGCACTTCTGGACATGATAGAAAAGTCAGTAATTAATCATCATGTTCCTTGACTGGAATGATTGAGGTGATGAAAAGCGTATTGTCCGAGCAAGCATGGATGTATATAGCGACGCGGCAGCATATTATGGAAGTCGGATCCAAATTTCAAACCTTTTGGGCCGGATCGAAATGATGGATGGGATGGAGAAGATGATGGTTATGATCGTGATCAAGGGTGAGAATGCTCTTACCCCTAACCGTGTCTTCAGGACGGTCAGACCGCAGTCGGGCCAGGAGCGTTGACGCGGTCGATCAACTGTGCTGGGGTTGTCTCTGCGACCGGCACCTTTGTGCTCTGGCTGCTCTTTCCGACCTCTGCAAATGGCGTCTCTTGCTGAAGTGGATGCGATAAATAGAGGTGAAGAGTTGAACAAAGGACTGTGTACGCTTCTGTTGAGAGAAGCAAACGGCATCCGTCACAGCCGCAGACGCTTCCTAGCCTCCGTTGGCTGCAATCGTTGTCGGTGTCGGTGTCGATGTTGCTTATCGCTGTCTTTGAAGCGACGCTCCAGATTCTTGTTTCCGACGTGGAATGTGCGGTATCGGTGGTCGATGCACAAGTGAGGAGGCCGAGTAGACGTAGTAAGATGGATGGAGCGGATTATTGAGCGTATTTCAGTAGAGGGGCAAAAGGAAGGTGTTGACTGGTTGACGGTAGGTCGCTTAGCGGAACACGTTCAATTCGCTTTGTGGAGGGAGAAAGTGAGAAAGGAAACCTCAAAGGAGCAAGTGTGTTTGGACGCAAGAGGACGGAGGAGGAATCAGGGATGTAGTGGGGTGTTAATTTCGCCGGTCGGTGACGAACGGAACCTGTCGCTTCGCGCCTGCTGATATGGAACAGATCAGGGTTCTACAGAACACCTACTGATCGGGAGGGTCGTTTCGGGCAATCTTTCGATACGTATATGGATTAATCTTGTACATACTTCTATCGAGGGACCCCGACTCTCTCCATGTACTGCCTTTTTGCTCGGCCTGAACATGTTCTTGACAAGTCTTTTGCCTCTTTGGCTACGTTCACTCGGTTCACTTCGACTCAAAGCCCTAGTTGTAGGGCTGGTGACTTCCGAGAAAGACATTCGTACCTACTATCTAAAAGTGTGAAACATTCATGTTGGCCACCCTTTTCCCTTAGTTCTCCTGCTCACACTAATCCCTTCTGATTACACAACCCGATTCCTACGATCATTGAGCCAAGTCCATTCCATACTCGTCTTCCCCTTTGAACTCTATGTCAGCACCGTCTTCGTCATAGCCAAGGAAGTCGCCCGCATCGAGCCTGTCTGCCGTAGGCCGATGCAAGGTAACTGCGGTTACCAGAACCCCTGGCGCCGCGGCGGAAGAATCGGCCACATTGACCATGTGGATCAATAGGTCCTGTCTTCTTCGTCTTGCTGATGCAACCGTTGGTGATACGGCCGTTGGTGGTGTGGTGGTTGGCGACTCTGCCGCTCGCAACTCTGCTGACGGCAGAGAACTTCTGGCAGCTTTGTGATAGTGCTAGTACTAAGCCTTGGAAAGGGAGACGTCCAGTCTGGGAGGATCCCAGAGTAGACCTTGTGACCGACTTCGAAGCTATTTGTGTGTCGTTCTTCTGGTTAATGGAGATTTAGGTGGACACCGACTGGTTGTGGTAGTCACTGGTGGAATGGATGTTTCTACTGCTGTTCATGCTGTTGTTACTACTGCTTTGGTGGTTGATGTTGACCGCAGCGCCGTTTTCGTCTTCTTCGTCGGCATCGTAGGAAGGCTCGGAATATCATTCATACTCGTCGCGCATGCGCCTTGACGAGCGAGCTTGAGGGAAGAAAGAGATGAAGGTTAGTTGCGAGCTTGAGGGGTTGTTGTTGCCCGTGAGTGTTGCAATTCTAGTTGGTCATTCGAGGCCTTCTGTCTCATCTCGCCCTTAAGGTGCCAACATGGACGAGATAGGGAAGCCCGAGAAGTTGAGCATACTTTTCATAGCGCAGTTATGAAGGTTGAAGGCACGTCGGGTTCCAGTTGACATACCCTCGCGAGACGAGCCTCGGCTTCCTCCTTGGCGGTTTCCATCTCCTGGGCGAGGTACTCCAGATCAGAGCAGCGGTGTAACCATAACTTTCCTCCTCAATGGATTCTTCGCTTCTTGCGCGAGTCGCCGACCGGGTGGGCTTCCCTCTCAGTCTGCATGAATCTGTCGTGTCCGGTGAAGGATCCTTCAGGGGTCGGCAAATCGTTGTCGTTAATAGTGCTGGGCGTCTGGATGTAAGCGCCATGTGCCGGGCCGTTGTGTCGCTGGTCCACCGGACCACCTACACCAGGGAATCCGGGCGGAGGTGGATAGTTGTAGACCAACAATTCTTCTGGTAGAACAGGAGGCGCAGGATCGTGGTTGACTTGCTCCCTGCCGCTGATGTTCGGGTTCCGGGAAATGTGCTGTTGATCGTAACCCCCAGGTGCTTGTATGGGCGCCGCTCTACCGACTCCCTCCTGATGTTCCTGTCCATTCTATGGAACAGGACTCACCATTGATGAGGTGAGCTGAGACGGAGCTTCCTCAAGAGCGCTATTCTCCGAGCCGCCGGCTGCAGCGTTTTTGAATTCCGGAATGTTCTGGCTCGTTGGACTGGGTTGATCAGACGCGGCTGTCGTATTCAGCGCGGAGAGGTTGCGAGCCGCGTTGACAGCCGGGTGTTCTGCAACTGGAAGGTTCTTGGCTTGAAGGTAGAAGGCTTCGGGGACTTGTGCCTCCTCTCCCCTGTCTTCCTGTTCCGATGCATGCTTGTCCTCCGACGCACCCTCATCCTGTTTATTGTCGTCCCGTACGTGTGCTTCGCTGTCTTGCAAAGGCTCCTCAATCCCTGCCTCCGGTCTGGCGGGTGGCTCGCTCTTCGCCATCAAGATGGTCTCCTTCACCCAAAACTCTGCCTTGGACTTCATGATCCCTTTAAAAGTTATATCGGCCACCAACTCCATGTCCCTCGTTCTCTTCTGTACCACTTTTAATTCGTGCTCGGCAAGTCCTTCAACGACCGACTGTTTGTTTGGGTACGTGAGGGCGATACCCCTTATTGCGGCCTCTGAGGTCTTACACAGGTGATGAAGCTCGAGCCAATCGTATGCTCTGAAGGCAAAGAGGTCGTGGTTCTCATGCCATGGTTCTATCGCTTTGATTTCGCGGAGTGGTTTCACGTGGCCCTGGGGAGCGACCAGGTTGTTTTGGATTTGGACTGTAATGGGATCAGCATCCTCTGTACCTCTTCTCATTGCCCCTCTGTGTCTACTAAATGGCAGAAGGGTGACTTACGAATGATGTCCCACCAAACCTCAAGGAAGGGGCTGTTTCTGGCAGCTGCATCCTCGAGTACCCAGTGGAACGTCTCAAGGTGCAAGTCAACAGGTTGTACACTTCGTTATCAGCCATGGTGACTACGATCGAATGTCTCGTGGGTCGCGACCAGGACCAATCGGTCTTTTTATGCTGTTTTGTGACGATAGCCGTTTGTGATTGTAGTACGGGATCGCGGGGAGGGTCGCGCTTTTGCTAGTAGTCTGGGCCCAGTGGCAAATCAGTGTCATGTCAGATGGTGAACTTTCAATGTATGGGAGATGCTTTCTGTCTGTGATTTTGCCGAGATACAATAAAGGTAGAGAGCGACAGAGGGTCATATCAAGCAAGCGGGATGGGAAAGGATGCTTTATAGGCTGGATGAAGAGAAGGGACGGGACGGCCCGACCGGGATTGGTGGTCATTCATGATGTGCGTACCTTTGATCTTATTTTCAGGATAGCAGACCGTGGTCTCACTGGGGATGTTGGCGGCTCTGAGCACCTGTGCTGGGTGGCTCTTTGCGACCTTTGCAATGGACGTCCTTTGGTCAGAGGAAGGTGAGCAGTACAGCGTCAAAGTAAACGAGGTAATGAAAGGAGGTAAAAGGTTTTTAGTAGGTAGAGCGAGCAAAGAAGTGGTGGTGATTGATGGCTGATCGTTCGGTTGGTTCGACGCGCTGTTGCAGTTTGCACATTGCTTGAAGGAGGGGAGAAGATGAGAAAGGAAATAGTGCGGTAAGCGACGGGAAAAGAAAGGAAATGGGGTGTCACTTTTATCAGGCGGTGGTGGGGAAAAAAGCCTGTCGCCTTGCTCCTTCTGCTACCCGGGCTCCTTCCCTCGGGGTATATGTATTAGGTCTTTGTGCACACTTTCCAACAAGAAACCAATGTGCGGTTGGCGCAGTGGTCAGCGCGTTCGCTCCTAAACTGGGAAGGTTCCAGTAGTATGGGGGTGTGTTGGCCGCCTCCATACAACCGACAATCCCAGGTGGCTGTGAAAGGACACGGGTTCGAATCCCGGACCGCACACATCTCTTTTTTTTCTTTTCTTTTTCCTTCGTTTCTTTTTGCCGTTTGCTTTGTCTCGCCTTGTGGTCCGTCCCTATTTATGTGGTTCTACGTCTCTCTCTGCCCTGTGAGATAATTCGGGCACCAGTGGCTTGTCGATACCTCTAGAAGCTTGCCTTGCAAAGCCAAGGGAAAGATCGAACATCTCCTTCCGACATATCGCTCTAAGAACACATATTTTCGCTACCCTGTATCCTCTTTCATTGCAATCATGGTTTCACAAGTCAACGACGAGATATGAAGATGGTGTTCACTGAGTCGGGTACCCCTCATTAGTGTTTTCATTCATTAAGGTACATAGGTACATTGATCCGGCCCTACTCCCCACCGCAATCCCCGTCTTCCGCCCTCGCATCAACCACATCCTCCTATTTCTGCCTCTCCTGCCCCTCCTGTTCCTCCTGTTCCTTCTGTTGCTCCTCTTTCTTCTTCCTCTCCTCCTCCTCCCTCTCCCACTTCTCCAGCGCATACTTTGCCCCGTAAAACTTACCCCTCTGCGCACATCTCTCGAACACGCCCTGAATGAGGAAATAGTGCGCAGCGGAATTGATGAACCGCCCCGTGGCGGTTTTATCCAGGTACCTTTTCGTTTCCTCGTCCAAGCCCGGCTTGTATCTGCCGATATCTGAAAGCGCCTGTCCATCTGTGTTGGTCTGATGGTGAAACACCAGCCAGCTATAAACCGTTAGGATGAATGAAGCGTACTTTCGGGTCCTGATGTCTTCGGCTGATAGGATGGAGTCCAAGGGAATTTGTTCAAGGGGTATGATAGGGCTGCGATGACATGGAGGGGAAAAGTAGATTTTGTTCCAGAGGTGCGCTGCTATCTGTGGTTAACTCAAAAACATCTTGTGATGAGTCCGATATGGAAGTTATGGGAATTGAACTTACTGATAATCTTCCATAACGTGTCGACGTCTGGTGAGTTGTTCTCGGCTGCTTCTTGGAGAATGTTTGACAATGTCTTCGTGACGTCCTCGATCCGATCGGCGTTGAGGACGTGAAGGTAAGAGAGACCCTCCCGGTCCATAGTGACGTGTATTTCTATATGATAGTTTAAGGCTTCGACAAAGGCTGTTAATCTCTTGCGACGTATGATGGAAGGGTGATCCTTAAGTCAGTGGACGTAGGTCAGCCTTATATCGCCAGAGGCGACCAAGAATGAGGATCATGTGTGTTATGCAAGCGTCAAAGGCTCTGTCAAACAAGCGCTGACGGAACTCTACATGTCAAAGGGGATGGAGCAATATCACATCATGTCATTGTACTCAGAGGGCAAAAGGATCACTCGGGATAGCATTACAGTCACGATACCAAACACTGCCAAAGAACATTGTAAGGCAAACACCGTCTCATCCTTGATAAAAACTAGATGAGCAACAACTAGCTAGCTGGGCGGTGACTACCATCTGGAGGACTCCCCTGTGTTGACTGCGACCGGTGTGTATTTGACGCTTGATTGCCTTGAATCCCGATGCTGAGATCACAACTTGTGACTCCTGGCCTACTCCTTGGCATGACCATGAGAGCCAACCCCACCCTTGTACAAAGGATACGATTTTATGTCAAGCCTACTCAGTCCACACGTCCCCGACGATCCTAGTCCTTGACTAGAAACTTCAAGTCCTTCGAGTATCTAGAAATCGAAGCCATCTTGGGGATCATCAGCACTTCTAACACCGGCAACACCGGGAGCCAGCGCAGTGGGATTCATGATGGGGCTGTTGGGTGGAGCCGCAGGGAAGTTTCCGTCAATAGAAGCCTCAGAGGGGCTGGTGATGGCGGCGACCTCGGGCGCAACAGCGGGAGCAACGTTTGGCGACATGGCAACTTGGTCAACCGGAGCAATATTGATGCCCTCGGCCGAATTAGCCACAGCCGTAAGGGCCCAGCCGTAAGGGTCGGGCCTGAAACAGCGGCAACGCCCTGAATCTCTTGCAGCTGTTGAGCAGCTTGGGAATTTGCCGCCGCCTGGCCGCTCTGGTGTTATTGTTGCGCTTTTGGCCGACCTTACGCTGGGTTTAGAGAAAAGAGTTAGAAAGGGTAAAATTGGACAATGCTGATGGTGAGATACCGGGAAGTATAGATTCACTTACAGTGTGCTCTCTGTGAGGGTCAGAGGTATACCTCTGGATGTAGGTTGCCTGCAACGCGTTCGCCACAGCCGATTTGCATTCCTAGAAGTTCATATCACGTTAGAGTCTTCTCCTTAGACAAGATGATAGAGTAGACCTACGTGAAAGAAATCAACAATGTCTGCCCAACGGTCCTCGAATGTGGCGTAGCTTTGCCAGGTGAAGCTGGTGTTCCAGGGTAGGACCCAGGTACGCCCCTGCTGCGCTTCTCGTGCGTAAACCTGTAGGAGGATGCTATGATTAGTTAGATGCATCCAAACATACGTTCCTGTGACACAGGTAATGGGTGAACTTACATAGAATTCCCAGCCAAGCTCCTCAACCACGGAGCCGGAAATGGCCTTGACCGCCTGTACGTGGTGATGGTTTGCCTTGTCGGCGATGCCCGTCATGTTTGCCATCGCCTTCACCAGTTTCTTCACGAACTCGATCTTCTCCTCCTCCGTATGGGAAATGTTTGCTACCTCCGAATCCTCCGTTTCGTAAACTGTTGTCGTCATCAGGGCGCCCTTGCGTAGCCGGAACTCGGCTTCGGACTTGATATGGCCCGGATACTCCTGGTCGACGACCTTCCTCATGTTGGATCTTTTCTCGCATTGCTCGAGCTCATGCGGGGCAAGCACCTCCAAAACTTCGGCGTTGAGTCTCGGCTTGTACTGGGCAAGGTTTGCAAAGGCTTGTTCTCCGACACCGGCGCAATGCATGGCGACCAGCCAGCGATGTGCCAGTTTGATGAAGTCGGAGTATCTGGGGCGTTCTTGGTCGGACACCATAGTAAACTCGATTTCATTAAGTGACCGAAGGGTACCAGTCGGGCTGACAAGATTGTTGTACATGTGGACTACATGCGGTTAGATGTGTCGACAAGAAGTCGAGTTGGGAGTCAAACTTACTGAGGATCTTGTACCACATGTCAAGGAGAACCACTGAGTTGTTCTCAGCAGCTTCTTCTAGAAGCTGCGGCAGATCCTGCACGGCGGAAATGGCCGCCTCGATGCGTGACTCGATCAGCGCCTCGATATTGGTGTTGTCGGCCATCTTGTCCTGTGTTCTGGGATGCTTGATGACTAGGATCGACGATCAGTTATCATGACAGTGACATGGGTTAAGAGAGCAGCGCAAGATTGGAAATGATAGTGCCGAGATGGAGATAATGGGTATCGGTTGATGCCCGAACATTCTTTGGGAAGGCGAGTGAAATGCGAGGATATGAATTCAAGAAGAAGAGCGGAGCAGGTATCATATATAGGACTGCCCACTTTGGCGTTGAGGAAGTGTTGTTACAGGATGTGAACCTCATAAAAGGCCCATGCTACCCCGCAAGGACGAATACAGAAAGACAGTGGTGAAAGGGACAGGAAGACATCAGATGGTGTGATGATGGACAACGTGGAAAAAACGAATTTCAAGCGATTAGAGAATGAAAGGTTGGATAAGTACTCACTGGTGGCTTGCTTTGCTGTTTGGCTTTGAGTGTCGACTATCGAGAGCGACTTCAACTAGGTTGAGTGAGGAGAAGTGAGGTACTCTTCAGTGGGTGTAGGGGTGGGTTGTTGATCACGTAGTAATAGGTCACGTTTGTGATGTTGGTCGGTGATGGTGTAAAAGCGAGGTTGATGTTTGGGAAACGGTTCAACACGGACGCTTTAAATATGATGGATTCAAGGTTACAGAAACAAATGTCACCGAGGAAAACCTGGTGGCTTCATTGCGACCGTGGGGCGGAACAGCGTTTTTGACCTGGGACCTTGAGGCTGAACAGGAGCGACTTCCATGAATAGCAACTCTAAGCCTGAGGGTATCCACACTTCCGGTCCAGCTGCACTGCCCATTGGTCATTTTCGACAGCGGCACCTGGCGACAGGCCGATAATATTGTTCATCGATACACGCCGGCTGTTCTGAGGACACTTGCCCCTCTACCTCCGCCCTTGTTCCCGTTTGACCCACCGCCTGGAGTGCACCTTTCGTAACTGTGTGGTGTTGTGTTGACAGCTGGAAGGAGCCGGAAAGCGTCGGGGGTGGAGAGACCTCAGGCCTCAGGAAGCCCCTCGTTCTCCTCGCAGAAGACGGTGAGAGACGGGATGATACATCATGCTCAACATGAACCACTCGTTTCTCGTCTCGTTCTCACCCCGCCATCTGCCCTTCCAAACCTGCAAACCAACTTGAAGAAACCTTCTTCTCCCTTCCAGAGTAAGACAGTACCGGATGACTAGCAACACTCAGCCCTTGGGTGAGATATCAGCCGATGATTACCGACAGCAGGTTGCTCTTCTTGTTGCCAAGCCCTGGCAAGCGCGGCATTGTCCGCATCGAGAGGGTCGAACCTTCCTAAGCTGACCGGTGCCACTTGCCTTTCAGGTTCTGAAAACCAACGACTCGATTGCGGAAACAATTGCTGGAAAGAGGTCCCGACTCACCTTCATGCCTTGGCAATCCCAGCAACATAATCGAGGAGCGATTGATTGCTGTGCCATACTCGACCAGCACCTCATTTCTCAGGTTTGTCCTCCCCGCCACAACACCCTGCCAAGCCCATTGTTTACCATCCCCTGTCGATTGGTCAAAGCTCACCACCACCCGCTCACTCTCTCTTTATTGTCGAACCACGCTGACCACAAAGCCATCACTCGTCGGATCCTCGACAAAGAGCATGTGCCCGCCGAGAAGTGCGCTCCCCTTCTTGGTCATTGACCGCGCCGCGCGAAAACACTCGATTGCCCGATTGATCCGGTCGCCGAGAGAGAAGGCCGCTTCTCCGATGTCCACTAAGGACGCTCCCTCCGCCCAAATTGTCGACCAATCCACACACTGAGGAGGCGCCCGCTCTCTCATGACCCTGCCCTCATGCTTTTACGCCCCAGAGAAATCCCTTCAGGGCAAGAGATGCCAACCACCCATGATGCCTATGCGGTTCGAGTTGACGGTACAGGCGACGATGGAGTCGGCGTCGACATCGAGATCACACGATCGAACCCGCGAAACAATTGGAAGTCGGCGACCCAATCGCAGCAGTTGCAAGATCATCTGCCAATATCCCACGGCCAGCCCGCCCAGTACAGCGACGATATGCCCGCCTGCTGAACGGTCAGAGGCTTTTGCTTCCAAGAAGACTTCGATTAAACCCGTTGTCAATTGTGCTGGCTCCGATGCTTGAAGACAAGCATCATACTTAGCTGCGTAGGGAAGCGTGGTTCCGACTCTGGTCTCGTCATTCGCCAGGTACTACCAGCGATGTCGTCAAAATAACATTGCGCGGACCGCGATCGGATCACATAACGGCCGTCGTGGGTGCGGCAGCCTTTTCGCCGATGGGAAGATCAGGACGCGTGGGGCCGTTCGGATACCAAGTTTCATGATGTCCCTTTGTACCCAGTGGGGGCTTCTCGTGTCATATCATCTGAATCTAGAGGTTACCCAAGCTGACTGCACAAATCAGTACCGTACCACTCCAAAGAGCTCACTGGGAGTATCATCATTGCGATGAACGATCAAAGGCGCGCAAGGAATTGGCACCGACGTTTCCTATCCCCGAAGATAGCCCCGAAGCTCGAATGGCCCATACCGACCGCTGCGTTCCATCCTCATACCTGACTTACACGATTGATACCCGTGACCCACCAAGACCGTTTGCCTGCCGATGATTGATCTCCGGTCCGATCGACATCAAGGTTCAGAAGACTAGGGCGGTCCGTTCCGCATAGTCCGTTTATGTCTTGTGGCCTTGGGAGCAGGGAGCTGGGGAAGTGATCGAAGGAAGAGATGAGCGTTGTGGCCATGTCTTCCACATTGTTTTGGTTACTAGTGGTGTCCCATGGCTGACTCTTATGTGTAATCAGATTCCGACTTCGACCATTTCCATGGTTCTGCAAGTCCATTCGAGCGCATTGCGTACATCGTATCCCATGCACAGCACAGCACAGCCCACCGATTCACCGAACCGAGCGACGCGTCGTTACTCATGTCCGAAACTATCGACCGAACTCGGAAAGACGTATTTGCTGCCCATCTCCCGCATGGATAGAGTTAATGCAGCCGCCCGAACGCTGGCATTCATTCCCATGCCATTCGCGAACCCCGATGTTGCTGTCTTCCGACCCTATTCAAACCCTCGATACTGTTTCCTACCATCACACGACGTCCAAATAGACTTCGGTTTGTGGCTGCAGTAGCGTTGTGTCCACCTTCCCAAGTGGGTGTCAGACATTGATGTGATTGGTCACTCCAGATTTCTCATCCATGTTCGGTCCGCTTGTGTGGAACAGACAGTGGGAACATGAACGACGATGGACGGCCAAGCGCTGGTGCTTGTCGAAAGAAGTCACAGGGGATACAAGAGAAAAAGGAGAACATGCACGGGGCAGAGGAGTGTTGCAGCGGCCACAAAAGAAGAAGGATAAACATGGAGAAAACAGACGAGGCGACAAGGATGATGGGAGGGCCTCAGGGGCGTAAGGAAACGTTGCGACTCCTACGAGCAATGGCACGCGAAAAGGACGGCAGCAACAGGAACGACTGCTCGGCTGCAAAGGGATATGACATGGGTGCTTATATTGGGCGCTGTTTGGGCACCTTCAACGTCCGGGGAGGGGAAGTTTATCAGGATTTGGAACACAGTATGCATGGCAGCATGATAACCGCTGACGATGCATGAATAAACGCACAACAAGATGGCTGCAGGATGCTCAAGATCACTCGACAGGAACTGAATTCAAGGAAACGCATTCAAAGAGCATTCTACAGTGAGGACAAACTGGTCTTTTGGCGACACGTGCATGTCATTCTCGAGAACGTGAAACCTATAAGTTCATGGCTTTACCCACCTCCTTTCTCTCGCTCTGGTTCCTTACACACACCTTTTCCTCCAAGCTGACTTCCCTTGGGCCATTCTTCAGTCTCCAGCCATCATGGACTCGCTTACACTGCTAAATATTCTGCTCACGCTTGCTAACTTCTTCCTCTTCTTGTCCTTGCTAGTCGACATTTTACACACTTCTATCAAAATCTTTTAACATGAGAGAGCACATGTCGTCTACACGACGCCCCCATCGACATGTACCATCGCATCCTTCGGCCGTCTTGCAAATCTCGTCTTTCACGTTTGACAGCAATGAGATCATGCGGCAGATACGACAATCGCATAATCGAACATGGAGAATGACAAGCGAGCGATGCCTGCCTCGCGGCGATCGACTCCTATAGGCAGCGTTTGTGTTGAACTGAGGCTTCGAATACCACCGGCCACCCTTTGCCAACGACCGATTGACAATAACGAAGTCGAAATATCAAAATATATACAAAAGAGTGGGAGAAAAGCCATATTATTCAATAAGAGAGAGCTAGATCTACGCGATGTAATTATCCCTATTATACATGCTTACCTTATCTACCCTTATCTACCCTTATCTACCCTTATACCAGTACTTAAATAGAGCCTTAATAAAGCTAATATATAAGGTTTAATATTATGAGAATCTAAAATATTTAGTACTCCCCCTTATTAAATATGAATAATATTAAAATTTTTCCTTATTCTATATCCGTTAACGTTCGTTATCGTCGCTACTAGAATCTAATTCTTTACTAGTAAGTAAATTAATAATACCTATATCCTTCTTAAAGTTCCTTGATACCCTATTTTAATTAATAAAGTTAAAATTATCTTTAAAACGTAAAAATTAATTTTTAGTAAACGGTTTAGTTAGTTTATTAGTTATTTGCTCCTCCGTCGGTATATAAATAAGGTTAATAAAACCGTCTTTAACCTTTTTACGTACGAAATACTATTAAATATCGACATATTTTATCCGTTAGTATTATATTAGGTTCTTTATAAGTAATATAGCTCCTTAATTATTATAATAAATAATAATTACCTTTATATTATCCTTACTTCCCTTTCGAAGACTAGAGTTAAATTCCGTATATAATCTTTTTAATGAAATTGCCTCCTTGGTTACTAGTATTTATCCTATATATTTTATTTCCGTTGAAGATAAAGCTACCGTTTATTGCCTTTTCGAATTCTAATTAATGATTTTATTACTAAGGTTAAATATAAAATTAGAAGTAGACTTTTTAGTATTATAGTTGCTAGCCTAGTAAAAATTAAAAAACTTTAATAGAGGGTTTAATTCCCTGGAGAATACTAATATTTAGTCCCGAATACTTTTAGAATATATAAATACCTTCTTTAATATATAGAAGTAAACTTTAATAGGGTTAGTAATATATCGAGCGAATATTGGAATTATATATACAATATTTAATCTAATACCTAATATAATATATATTAGGGATCTAATAATTAATTAATATATTATTACCCTAATTTTCTTAATTTATTAATTATTACCGGCCTTCTTAAGCTAGTCGGTTATCATCGGCGTATCCGTCGGGTTATAATATATTATACCAAATTAAGCTAGGGCTTTATTAATATATCTCTATTAATCGAAATAAATAATTTTATCCCATTTATTCCGAGTAATACAAATACTAAAATAGTAAAAATATAGACCTAAATCTATTATTTAGAATTTAATAATTAATACCTCTTTTAGATTCTAAATCTCGGCTTTATCCTTACCTATAATTAATAGATCGTCTACGTAAATAGCTACGAAAATGCTAGCTTTAGAGAAGATTCCGTAATTAATAGTAATAGGATTATAATTAAAGTTTTTTAATATTATTATAGGGGTATTAAATTAAACCTTAGGTATTTATTTAAATCCGTAAAGGGTTGTATTTAATATATATACTTTTCTAAATCTATTAATAAATTTTGGTAGTTATCCTATATAGATCGTCTCCTCTATATTCTTATATAGGAAAGCTGTTTTAACGTCTATCTATTTAATTTCGAAGTTTATAATTATAGTAATAGCGAATAGGATTTTATAGTTTATTAGTTTAACGATAAATATAAACGTTTTAAAATAAATTATGCCTTCGATTTATTCGAAATTATATATTATTTACTACGTTTTCATCTAATAACTTCGCTATTTAGCCTTCATTTGAATTTATAAACCTATTTACCGCAAAGGATATATATTCTTAATATAATTTCTATTAAATCCTATATACTATTGTCGATTAAAGATTTATATTTATCGGCTATAGCGTTTAATTACTTATACTAGAAGAAGTTTTCTTTCGCTTTTTTTAATTATCAGGAGATATTCCAGGCGGTGCCTAGATATCTCCACCCTGTCGTGACATATGCTGAGTCAAGCATGGGCATGCTCATTTGAGTATATTACAGTATATAAGAGTGTTTACCCCATTGGTTTCTATTAAGATTAACGGATTAGTTAATTATTATTTTACAACCTATTATTTATTTTACTTACGCTCTATAAAGTCGTGTGTGAGGTTTCAAATTAAGGCTGTCGATAATTATTATCTTCACTTCTTTTAATGAGATTATCGCTAATCGTTACGTATTATTATTCTATTTAATAATTAGTTACTTATTCTCTTATTTTCTATTAGTATTACTTATAAAGTACGTCTTCGTATAATAAATAGTACTTGTAGCTTAGTTTTAAACCGACCTTATTATTCTTTATTCTTTTTCTCTTTTCCTTTTGTAAAGGGGGGAGATTTACTCTTCGTTTCGATAGTTTTAATATAATTATTAAATTTCCTATCCTAAAACCAAATATATTACCTATTCTAATTCTTTAAACTCCCCTTTCTTTATAATTCTTTTATTATCCTTACTAGTTTCGAAGTATACTTTCACTATAATAAATAATAATGATTCTATTCCAATTGCAATTTTTGAATTATAGGATAATTAATGATTATGTAAGGCGTGGTAAATTATCAATTATATTATATTCTAAAAATAATTTTACTATAAAAAATGTTTTTATATTATTGCTTAGGATTTTATTATTAAGCTAGCCAAACTTTATTTTAATAAAATAAATTAAATTTTTACCGACGAAGATTAGGCTACGAAGAATAAGAATTAAAGTTTTAATATAAGTTAGGTTATTAATATAGATATAGTCGATAAAGAAGTTTAATTTATCCTACGAAAATATCGCTGCTTAATTAAAAATTATCCGGTCCTAAGTTACGAAACTTAATTATTTCCTAAGGATAAGGACCGTTAAATTTATTAATTTAGGAAGAAGTATTATTATAATTATATAAATTAATTTAAAATTAATAATCGTAAAATTACCAACGATATAATTAAATAAGCCGTTAAAGTGCTAATTCCTCTTAATATCAATGTATTTGAGATAGGCTCCTAATTTTAATTTGTTAGCAACTTTTCTAATACTGGTAAAATAACCGACGCTCCTTGTACTAATTTTACGGATATTATTAAAATAGCCGACGCTCTTCCTATCGATCCGATTTAGGTCCCAATACCGCTTTCCTTACTATTAATTCCGGCTAATTAAAATATTTATCCTATATTTCCAATAGAATGTATTATTTTACGCGTTAATTCGATTATATAAGTCGCTACTAATTTTACTGAGTAATTCGCTACTAACCCGGCTATCATGTACTTTGTTAATATAATTTAAACGGAGGCGTTGGTTCGATTCGTAGTAAAATAATAGTAAGAATACTAATTTGCATAACCCATTCCGATTATAACCGATATTTTTCCGATTTATTTTATTAAGCTTCATTAATATATTGTTCGCGCTATTTAGAACAGTCTAACCTTAAGTACCGTCTATATTATTAATTAAAATTAGCGTATAATACCGCTATATTATAGTATTATAATTGGGGCCCGAAACCTATATATTACTAACATTACTAATTAATTAAACTATTTTCGTATTAACTGCGATAACCGGCGGCCCCTAACGGAAAATTTGTAAAATTTGCCACTTCCTAACCGATTATTTATTAAGAAGGACGGAAGTTATTATCCGAATACGGATTACTTAATAATTTATATACTGGTAATTAGAATACGTCCTATTCCGATTATATATAATATTATAATATTTAATTATCCCGCTCGTTAGTAAATTGAATAAGCTCCGCCACCTAATTATTATTCCCGTTAGTAGGCTAAAAATATCGTTCATTAATGTAACGGATCTGAACGAGTTGAGTATAGCAAGCAGTCGTATAGTTGAAATGCTATATTTGATAAAGAGAGTAAGAAGGAAGACTGTACCAGAAGGGTGTAGTTGAGATAAGGTTTTAAGGTGTAGCGTACGGGCTAGGCAGGCTAGGCAGTCGGGTGGGTCTAGCCAATTAGAGGGGGTGTATTGGCCTTAGCGCCAGCTAGCTGTATGCGGCTGGCTTGGTAATAGTTAAGTTTAACCCCTGGGTTCTAGCCCTATGATATTACCCCCTTGCTCCCCTTTGGAGAGTAGGGCCCGTAGAATCGGACTCTACGGTCTACCGCACTAAATACTACGCAGTTAAAATATACCAAAAGAATTAAAATCTAGTTAATTAGCTATACCCAACCAAATACCTATTTCAACGGGGAAGAAAATTAATAATACTAAGAAAAGTATTTATATTAAGTTCCCAAATAAACGCTGCACAATTACTTGCCTACTACCCGAGTCGGTGACGACGTGCCCGCCGTTATTTATATAGAGTTGCGCCCTAGCCAAGGTATTAAGATTAAATTAGGGGATATTTTTAGACCTTGCTTATTAGGGAACCTTTTTTGCTGTGTTATATTAGTAATTTGTGATGGAAATAATCAAATTAAGGTTATTACCCAGTATTTTATATTACTTTACTTCTCTTGCTAATAATCGGCTGCCTTCTTTTTCTTTCGCTAAGGACGGCCTTAGTAATTCTTGTGCCTACGAAATGTAATACCTGTTCCTTCTATCGGTTGCGTTTCGAATAGGCACTAATGTGGTTGGGCGGCGAAGGGTATTGCTATGTGACCTGCCTATTTGATTAGCAGATGGTATGCTTTGGTAAGCTAATTTGAGGTCTTTCCTTTTGGATATGGTGGCGCTCCTTTACCCCTAGTATTATTAGGGTCGACTTTAATAAGTCCTTACTTAGTTTGAGAGCTCCTCTTCTTGATTATCGTTGTTGTAACCGCCTAAGCCCCTAACCGGGTTGTTAATACGAACGTTGTTTATTTTAGTCTTGTTGTATTGCTTGAACTAGTGGGAGCTACTCCTATAGTTCGTATACTTGCCCTCCCGCTTCTATTTGTTCTTTTGTTTTTGGGACGGCGACGGTTTCGACGAGGTTACCGAAGTATTAATGGAGGTGTCTATAGGATTACCGTTATTTTTAACCGGGGTATGCCTTTGAGACGAAGACGAGGAGGTAGAGGTTAAAAGAAAGGTATTGCTATTAAAACGATAAAGATATTTTAATAGTGGAGAATATTGTTTAGGTACGTCGGTTTAGTCTGAGAGGCGCTGTTTCTAGTTATGGTTTAAGGCCGAAGTTAGTTAGTTGATTTTTGCTACCTCTAATTAAGAATTAGTACGAATACGATAGAATACTTCTTCGAAGCGGGCGAGGAAAGCGGCTATTAATTCGCCTACTTTCTAACGAAATCGGTAGAACTTTTAACCAGCCCTCTTAATAGCGTTGGGGTCCCTATATGTAAGTTTAAGTTTGTCGATAAGTTGATGGGGGGTTCGGGTCCTAAGCGCGCTGGCAAAGGCTACTAACAGTTTTTTAACAGCGGACGAAAGGTAGGAGAGTAGGTAGTAGAATTGCGTTTTTATATCGCTAATGGCGTGCCCATCTATATGGAGTTTAGCCTGTGCGCTTAAAACCTAGGTTTTAAATTCCTTTTTATTGCTTGAGAACCTTTTAAGTTAAGGGAGTACGGATTTTAGGGCGACGGGTCTCGAGATAACTTTGGTTAGTAACGTCTAGAAGGCGGTCTTGAATTACTATAGACGTTCCTAAGGGTCCTAAGACTAAGGGATCGCGGGGAAGGTGGCTAGTATTATTATCGAGAGGGACGGGGATCCGGATAGTAAGCAATGTAAATAAAAAGGTTCGTTATTAGAGAAGATGAGAATAATGAGGTAGGGAGACTCTTTGGGCGTGTAGGCGAGGTAATGAAGGTTGATAAGATAGTTAAATATAATATAACGGATTTGAATGAGTTGAGTATAGCGAGTAGTCGTATGGTTGAAATGTTATATTTGATAAAGAGAGTAAGAAGGAAGACTACACCAAAAGGATGCAGTTGAGACAAGGTTTTAAGGTGCGGCGTACGGGCCAGGCAGGCCAGGCAGTCGGGTGGGTCCAGCCAACCAGAGGGGGTGCATTGGCCTTAGCGCTGGCCAGCTGCATGCGGCTGGCTTGGCAACAGCTAAGCTTAACTCTTGGACTCTAGCCCCATAACAATTAAATTCTTTTACTTTAAATCTAAACTTCCAAGCATTAAATCCCTAAAACTTCTCCTTAAATATAAAGTCCCCTTCCAGTTTAACCCTTCGTTTATTAACTATATTAAATTTTTATTTAGCCTGTTAATCTTTAATAGCCGACGGTATATTTCGCCGAATCCCCTTTTATTAATTCTTCCTACCATTTAGCTAATCCTAATAATAGTAGTACGATATCGGACTCCGGAACGCTTAATAAAATTATCTTTAACTTATTAAAAAGAATTAATTGATTAGAGAACTAAATTAACGAACGTTCCTATATATTTAACGGGAATTTTAATAATAAAGTTATTTAATAAAAATTCTTTAACGTCGGAATATTTTATCTTAATGCGGATAAAAATAAAAAGAAGAAATGTATCTATACTAATAGTAAAATTAATATTTATACCAATTATAGATTTTTCTTTAACGCTATTTACAAAGCTTCGCTCATTTATACTAAGCGTTGTAAAATTATTATTAATAATATTTAAGTATTATTACGTAGAGCCGCCCTTTCTTAATAAATTAATACGCTTTTTAGCTTTAAATGTAATAAATTTTATAATAATTTTAATAGGATTACCGACGCTTTTAATTCAATTTTCGGGGTTAGGCCTAACGAAGCCTAGAAATAATTAAATACGTATAAATTTACCGCGGAAATAAATAGGAAAAGTAATTATATTTTATACGATTATTCTATAGAAATATGTATATACCCTCGTTTATAGGGTAATAATAATAATTTCTAACTTTATATTCGTCTATAGAATAGCCTATACCCAAAATTGAAATCCCATTACATTAAATTATAATAGGGCGTATAATTTAGTAGTTACGTTGATATAACTATTAAGAAGGCCGAAGTGGTACGTAGCGAACTAATTAATTTTTCGAAGGCTTTGCGCTCTATTTTCTAAATATTTATAAGTACCGATTATAATGAGAGTTCCTTTAATGCCGCTTCTAATGAAGTGCTAGTAAATTTTAGGGAAGTTTTTGCTTATTAGGGCGACTGCGATAATTCGAAGGATAAAAATAATAAGCGTTTTAATAATTAAGATTCTAATGATCGGTTTAATAATAATAATAACGGTAATAGATTTAAAAATAATAAGTTTGATAATCAATTTAGTTAGGATAATCGTAATTACGACCGTTTGGGTAATAATAGTATTCGCTTCTATCGTTAAAATAAATGGTTTAGTAAGCGGTAGTTCTATAAGGACAGTTACTATATTTATACTAATTAGATTAATATTTATAGTAATGAATTTAACGCCGATAATAAAATATCCAAATCCGAAAGCGAAGGCTAGAATTTTATTTATAATTTCGAGGAGGAACTAAATAATTCTTATATAGATATGTCGGCCTTTAAATATAATAATAAGTCTTTTATTTATTTTACTAATCTCATTAATTTCGTTATTTTCGTATCTTCTAATAATATTATTTTAATTACTTAACCGACGCTTAAACCCGCGTACCCGGCCGCTATTCCTAATAAAAACGCAATTAAAAGTGCTTCCGCCGAGGGCTATATAGTAACCCTATGATTAAATTTATTATCCGATCCTAGTTTTACGGCGATTTTTAAACGTTTAGAGGTAGCCTAGGCGTTTTATAGGTCGTTTAATTTCTTGTTTAAATTTTAAATTATAATTTCGAAAGGTTTTTGGGAAATGTTCGAATAGGTCGGAAAAGTAAGAAATACGGATATCGAAGTAAGATTACTCGTATTAGTAGAGCGTTGGAAATTAACTTTATTGGATATTATATATCAAAGTTAATATTATTTACTTGTTTTTACTGAAGGTTAAATTATCGAAGTTATTCCTAATATTATATTACGAAACGGAGAATTAAATTATTTAAAAAATACTTTATATTTATAAATTAATATTAAACTTAGCCTAAGTATATTATTAATTACAATATACTTTAATTTAGGTTATTTATTAATTGTAGTAAATCGTATATTTATTAATAATTTTTTACTGGTATTTAACATTCTTTAATTCCGTTGAACATTATAAAGGAAATTAATTTAAAAACGGTAATTAATATTCTTACTAAATTTATTTTTCATATAGAAGGAAAAATTAATAGTATTATAATTAATAATTACTTTTAAATATCCGCTTTAATTATTAACAAATTAGGCCCGAATATACTATTAAATACTAATTTCCTTTGCCATTACGGAATAAAAGTTAATTTTAATATTATTCTTTACTCTTTTCGATTTATCTTTAGTATAAAAGTGCGCAGCGAAGTTTTTTCCAAAAAAGAGGAGGTAAGGGAGGATACGCTTATTACCCAAATTTTCGCTAAAAACGATACAACTTTTCTTTTAAACTAGTCAAGTAGTCTTTTCATATATTATAGCGTCCAATTTAGTAATTATTAAAGTTAAAATAAACGCCCGGTATATAATTTTTATATTTAGTATCCTTTCTTATTAGACGTTACCGTAAATAGTAAAATATATAAAGTAATCCCGTATTTTAATTAATTTAACGAATTACTTTTTATCCTTATAAATATTTGAACTAGTATACTTATATGTCCTTTACTTAAAGTTATTAGAAAAACGATATTTATTAACGCTTCGGACGTAATATATTTAGCCGCAATAATTTAAATTAGATTCTTTCTGGAGTAGTACGCTATATATATTGACGAAAGTATAAAGGACGATAAGGAAATTATAATTCGTAAAGTAGTTTTTAACGTCCCGTTTTACGGATTTAATAAATTTAATGATATTAAATGTATTCTTTTCTAAATAGGTATTAATATTTATAATATTAATCCCAAATTTGCTTAATAAGTTAAAAGCCTCCTAAATAAATCTATTAACGTTTTTAGAAATGAGGGGATCGTTCCTATATAGAAGGAAGATAAAATAGATATTAATTTCGTCAAAGGGTAGTAAAATTAGTAGAAAATCGTTAGACTTTACCTTTTTAGATTTAAAGATCGTAAATTCTTTAATGAAGAATACAATAAGATATACGCTTAAAGAAAAACATTTTTTATATTATAGTTTACGCTTACTATATACTCTATATCTATTATTTAGCCGAAAATTAATAGGGTTAATAAGGGTCGTACTATTATTAACCTCCGATTATTAAATAGTATTACTATTTCGGATATATATCCGTTACCCGATTAAAAGGATATTATTAATATGATAATCGGTAAGAAATTCTTCTCTATTTTCGACGCTGCTAAATTTTTCTATTAACTATTTATTTTTATTTACTATTACAATTATATAATAATAATTAATTTTTGGGATTTTAAATAAATTAACGTCGTTATTATAAATTTTAACAATTTTGTTACCTTCGTATAACTGTTTATGGACCGATTATTTTTCAATTAACATTTATTTATACGAATATATATTAATAATATCATTATTTATAATATAATAAAAGAAATGTATTTAGAATACTTAATTATCTTTATAAATTTCTTTATTAAGTACCGCATATATATTAGCGCTAATAAATCTTTCGCCGCCTTCCTATTTATTTAATTACTTAGTAGTATTATTAACAGCAAAGGTCTTTTGCGTATAGAAAATCGAATTAAAGCGTTCTAAAAGTTTAATTTTCCGGATATTTTAAATTCTTTAGAAACTTAGTTCGGTATAACTAGTTAATTATTTAAAAGTATACCCTAATTTACAGTTAAAAAAGAATTATTAAATAAGAAGAAGATTAAATTATTAAAACGAGTACGAGAATTGGGAGATTTATAATTAGGAATAATAAAATACGCTCGGAAGGTTAATATTTCTAAAATTAAATTCGAGCCAATTAAAGAAGAATTGAAAGCTTTTTACAATATATAGGAGAATTTATATCATTAAGCGTATTTATTTTACTATATTAAAAGCGAAGTATTATTTATTAAAACAAACATTAATAAAAGTATTTATAGGGTTTACATTTTTTAATTTTAATACGTAGGGGATAGCGAATCTATCCCTAATATAAGTAAAATTCCCTTAATTATACTTAAACTAATCTATTTCCTATTAAAATTAATTATTCTAGCCGAAAAGAAATACGGCTCTATAGAAACCGAAGTGATGACGATTATTTAGGCTTTATGAAAATTACGTAGAATGATATGATTTAATAAATATGACATAAATATTATTAAATATACTTTTCTATAAACTATAAATTTAATTAGAATTAACCCTAAATTTACTAATACTATTAATCAAACTTCCTAATTTAATTTAAATATTTTCTATATTTTAAACTTATTAAATATCGTTCCCGATACGTTATTAAAGTTATTAATTATCGAGCCTACTAACAATAATGATATTTCCGATAAATTTGCCCATATCTAGTCCCATTTTAATTATTTAAAAGAAAATAACGCTTTTACTTTTATATATACGGAAGTTTCCTAAGATACCCGTATTATAATTCCTATTATTTCTTTTATTTTTCGCTAATAATTAATTGAAATTTACCCTTCCGACCTTAAATATAATAAAATCATCTAATTAATTACTAATATTAACTTTCCCAAATATATTTATATACATTAATCTAATAAGCGTCCTAATCTACCCGTCGGTCCTTACTTCCTTAAAAACGGCCTCTTATACTATATAAATTATTAAGATAAACGTTACTTTTATATCTTTCGTTCTTTCGTATAAGAAATTCTATAATTCGTATATAACGAAGAATATTACTTTAATATTAATAGAATAATAGACGACCTAACCTACTTTTATATATATTAAAAAATATAGATAGTTCGGGAATATATTAAGTATTACGAAATATACCGGTAAAATTAAGGCGATCGTTAACTAATTTTTAGCGAATTTATACTAATTGGGATTTTTCCCAAGTTATAATATATTATTATTATAGATTTTATAATAGATATACTAATAAGTGTATTAATTAATACGATATAGAATATCGCCGATTTCAATAAGTTTAATACTATATACTTCGTAACTTATAAATTTAATAAGAAAGTACTTTTATTAATACGATATTCTATTTACAGCGTACGAAAATTAGTTACCGTTCTATTATAAATTTTACAGTATTATAATTAGGATTTACCAGTCGCTATAATTAACAATTATAATTCAAAATTCGTTTTTACCATTTAGCGCAATATTTTTAAAGTATTAGCAGTAAATTTATTATTTTCAATAGTCTATTATACTTGAATAAATAATTCATCCGAATGTATTAATTAAATAGCAGAAATAATGATTCTTATATAGTACATTATTAATACCCAGGTATAACTACTTATATTAGTAATACTTTAATATAATTTCAATAATACTATCCAAATTACTATTAATATATCTCCAAACAAATTAATTTATAATTTTAAACCCAGATCTATAATTAACCTATTAATCGTAAATATAAAAGAAGTAATTATAGTGGAATCTTTAATACTAGTACATTAAAAATTGTAATTAAAAGCCGCCGAATTTATTAATAGGGTAAGTATAGCGGTTAAAATAAAATATAATATAAAATACTTTCTAATATCGTTTAAAATTAAAAATAAAGTTTATTTTCCTTTTAATAAAGGTTATTATCTATTAAATAATCCGAAGAATAAATAATTAATAAAATAGATAGATCCTTACAAAATTTTAGAAAAGGTTGGCCCTTTAATTTACAAATTTAATTTACTTTCTTTATAATATACCTATTTAGTAATTTTCGTTGCGCATTTATAGAAGCTAATTTAAAGTCCTAATCCATTCGGGAGAGACGTTCCGCTTCCCCAATTTATAAAAATTAATAACTAAAAAGAATAAAAATTCGAGAATTTAGTAACTAAAAGTTAGGAGCCGAAAGACATTAAATATTTCGTTAAAGAGGCCGCATATCAAGATAAGATTAATATATAGGAATTATATTCCGAATTAAGAAAAAACCCTAAAGAAAAGGTCGAGGGATTTAACGTTAAATAATTATTAGAATTACCGTTGTAAGGTATTCGGAAGAAAATAATCTAGCGTTTGGTTTATAAATTAGGCCGTACTTAATTAACCCTAATATTTAAGGTAATAATTTTTTTAATAAAAAGGAAAGAGGAAAGGCGAAGACCATTTAATACGGATGTTTAAAAATATTTTCCTTCAATTATTTTGCTTCTTAATTTTATTTTTATTCTTTTTGCTATTATCTTTATAAATAATTTATTAAGATTAATAAAATTTCGCGCTTCTAAATTCGAAGTCGCAATAAAATTATTAAATTAATACTGCCAATTTATAATATATTAGGTATTTTAAATATGTTTTTCGTTTATTCTTTTATTTTAAATAAGCAATTCTAGTACGCGCACTTAAAGCCGCTAGAATTAGGCAACTATAATTATATAAAGTAATAAAATAAACGTAATATTCGGTAAATAATTGAAAAAATATAAATTTAAATAGGGTCGAAGGTTTTTAGTACGTATATAATTCTTTCAATTTATTTAAAATTTTCCTTCCTTATTAGAACCTTTTATTTACTCTATCCTCAGCCCTTATAAGTAGCCTTATCCTTATAAATGCTCGGTTTTACAGTTATACTTATTATTTATTATATTTATTAATTAATTATTTTATATTATTTCGCCTTCAATCTCACTTTTATAATAAAGTACAACATTAAAATAATTACGCTATAATTCAACTACCCTTATATTAAAATTACTAATTAGATAGTTCAAAACGGTAATCCGGATAACGAATTAAGTACGTTAAATAACGACCTCTACTCAATTACGTTAGTAATCAAATTAAATAATTATTTTCCTACTCTTATTAATTTAATTATATATTTTAACCGCGTTTATAAAGAGGGCATTAAAGATAAAATTATTAATATAAATTGCAATAGCTTCTATATTATTATTCCAACCTTTATTACTATTAATATTATTATGATAAACGATTAAGTCTTTATAAGTTTCTTTAACTATATTCGCTTTTAATATACAATTAATTATATTAATAATATAAGCATTATTTCGAGCGATTTTGATCCTTATACCCGTCTCCCCTCGCGCGATAAAATTCACGCCCTTAACAGTATTATAATTACGAATACTAAAATCGGTAAAAAGATTACCCGTCGTTAGGTATTTCCTATAATAATCTAATATTTATTTATATATTATAATAATTACTTCGCCTCCGTTCTTTATACTATTATCAAACGTACTAGCGTCTAAATTGATTTAAATTAAGCGATTTTATATATTATCAGTAATTCTAACAATTATACTACAATAATTTTTGCATCCCTAAAATTTAATAATATTATCCTTTATAGTAAATTCATTACTTAGTAAGATTATTTTGCCGACGATTATAATAATACTGACGGGCTCTTGGACCTTGGGCTTCATTGCCGGCTTATCCTCCTCGACGGGTCGTTGAGGGGGGAGTGTGCGCCCACCAGCCGCGCTGGAATAGCAACTTCTTGCCGGCCTCGTTTTCGGTATCCGCAAGGCGTGTCCTCCCTCTGGTGCCTCGGCTGACGGCTCCATACGGCGCCAGCGTTATGACCCCTTATTCCTCGTGTAGAGTCGCTTGTTTCCTCTTCTTCTGCCCGGCAATTTTGCCTCCTTTTTCTCTCCCTGCCCGCTCTTCTTACGGTCTTTGTTGACTACGTTGCTAAAGTCGGTGATGGCGTAGAAAATCCTCTCGCGCCAGTGCGCACGCCCTTCGTTGGTGCGCGGGATGTCCGCGAGTGATTCTTGTCTGATGGTAACCGCGATCTGAGCGGAGGCCAGCTGAGTGTATTCAGCTTCTAGGCGTTCGGCATGCTCGTGGGATGTAATATATCCCTGGAACGTATCTGCGGTGTTCTCCGCCATCACCTGGCTAATCGTCTTACCCGCATGGGCTTAGCCAGTGGAGGCCAGGTCTATCTCAGGGGCCTGGCCAAATTTCGCAGGGTCAACGTTCGCCTGGTGGCATGGCCAACCTGGTACCAGGGGGTAGGGTCGTAACGTTGTTGTACGACCAGGTGAACTCCATTTTGATGTTTAGGCTACCTTTGATGCTTGTGGAATCTGGCGGCCAGCCGTTGCACAAGGAGGTGGTGTGCTTTTGAGCTCATTTGTCCAGGATTGTTTGGCGGAAAAGGAAGGAGTTTCATTAATATGAGAGCTTAAGGTAGGTATATAAAAGTCAAAAGTGGCCTGTTTGAAGATCAAGAGCGGCCGGGCTGGACCGCTGGAGTAAGATAGTATTGTACGTTCTGTCAAAGACAAATGGGAAAGAAGAATTCAACCGCTATGCTGGATTAATGAGCCAAACGCCGTCGCTAAAATGCTATGGGACAAACAAAACACGTCCATCAAACGCCGGGCTTTTGGATTCCCTACCTAACCATCAACCCTAAAACTCCCGTTCCGATGTAGCCTCCATCGCCAATCCCTGATCGCAAAACCCCTTAAACCTGGTACTAAGTTGGTTGACTTTCCGGCCGTGCATCGCGGAAAAAAAGCAGCAAAGAGAAAATCCCAAAGCTCAGTTGCCCTCGCCCTTCCTGGCTTTCAGGCCCTCACGAAGCAGCTCACCCCTATTGCCGTTGCAGGTCATGTTCTCATCCTTTCCCTGATGCATTCAAACACTCCGGTCAGACTCTAACTGCTCTCAAAGTCCAGGAAGAGGAAATACTAACCTTGATTTCGGCCTTCGGGACGGCCACAAAGCGGTTGGTCGCGATGACCTGGAGGTAAGCGTGAGGAACGCTCTTGTTCCTCCGGAGCGCGACAAGAACCGCCTGCATGCGGGCGTCGAGAGTCGGGTACTTTTCGAGAAACCATGAAGATTTCTCGACCCACGGAGCAATTCCGGTGTTGCCCTGGTGGGCTTCCTCTGCCGCCTCCTGTTGATGTGATGGGTGTTAGCGAAAGGTCCGAAAACAGATTCAGGTGTGAGAGAGACTAACCAAGATCTTGTCGGCGATGAGCTCAGTGACGAACAAGGAGAGAGTTCGAACGCGGCGGACATGCGTGTTCTCAATCTCTTCTTGTTTGATGACGTTTCCCTGCGCGTCCTTGGTTTCTATTGTGAGATACTGTCAGCTAACAGCTTGGGTGGAACATGTAACGAAAATGAGTCTCAAGTCTTGGTTAGTGAGATCTGAGGATGGTCCGAATGCCACTTCTCTGTCACGATGTGACGGAGTGAGGGAGGAGTAAAATGATTGGCCCGATATTGGGATGGACGTTCAAGGACAGGAAGCATTGTTACAAGTGTAGCGTGTGCTTGGCATGCTGTCAATGGATTAGGCTCACCTTTGATTCGGTTTCTGTTTACCACGTTGGTGAAATCCCGGATCGCCTCCGTGGTCTTTTGACGCCACTCCTTGCGCTTGGCCTCGTCTCCAGGCAGGTCGGCCAGAGAGGCGGGGTTGATGGTCGCAAGGATTCTCGCAGCTTGCTGCTGCATGTACTGCTGCTCCAGCTCTTTGCGATGCTGGCGGGAGGTGAAGTACCCTTGGTACTCACCGTTGGTCTCCTCATTCACCATCTGTGTGATGGTTTTGCCCGCGTGGGCATAGTCGAAGTCAGGGTGGTTGATTTGAGGTTCGGCAAGGTCCAGGCCTATCTGATCGATGCCAGCCTGGTTCATGTTCGTTGGGCTGATTAACACCCGGATGACCGTCTGGACCGCCGATGTCGAAATCAGGTTGGCTGTCAAGTTCGTCCATGTCGAGGCCAAGAGAGATCTGGTCGATGCCAGCTTGGTTCATGTTTTCGTAGTGCTGATTGACGCCAGGATGACGGTCTAGACCGCCGATGTCGAAATCAGGTTGGCTGTCAAGTTCGTCCATGTCGAAGTCAAGAGCCATCTGGTCGATGCCAGCTTGGTTCATGTTGTCGTTGGGCTGATTAACACCTGGATGATTGGTTGAATGGCCGAAGCCAGGGTGGTTGTTCTCAGGTTCATCAAAGTCGATGGCCATGGGGTCACTTCCAGCCTGGCTGACGGGGTAGCCAAAGCCAGCTATGTCGTCAAAGCCGTTCAGATTGTCTGGTTGGATGTGGCCATCGTTGACGTAGCTACCCTGGCCGGCGCCGCCAGAGTTGGGGACGGGGCGGCCGTTGTTGTACGACCAGGTAAACTCCATTTTGATCAATGATGGAGTCAAATTTGAAGCTTGTGGCAGAAAGCCGTCACACCTGAGGGTAACGTCTTTCTGAGGTTGTTTTGTCAGGATTCTGTGGGGGAAAAAGAGGTGAGGGGGTTTAAATACGTGAGTTGAAATCAATTTCGGAAATATTGAATCAGATATACCGAAGGTGGGCTGGCTACCGTGGGTCAGAGCCTCCGGAACCGACGCGTCATTCCTCGTCCCATCATCCATTGCACCTTGAGGTTGCCCGGTAACCGACCGGGCGACTTGACGACCCCTATGTGATCCACTCTCAGCCTCGTCCCAACCCAAACCTGCACTGCTGAAGTGTTAGCAAACAGTGTACAAACGGTACTTTTTCGTCTCTGACCTTGCGCTCCTTCCATTTTAGTGGTGGTCCATCTCCCGAACCTTGTTTATTTTCCTGCAATTTTTCATCTCAACCCCCATGGCGGCCCACTTTCCGCCCTCAAACTTCATGCTCCGGTGTCAATCAGTCACCTGGCAGCTGCCATTGATTAAACCTGAACTGACAGCTGCTGATTCACCGTCGAATTCACCTTTCGACTGATTTAGATCCCAAGCTATTCGCAAAGGGGAACTGGTGAGAAATATGCAAACGGTTTTCCCTCGTCGCCCACCACTCGTTCCTCCTCCGTTGCCGGGTCATCGTCCTATCTCTGACGACCCGAAGCTTCCATCTTCCCAACTTCCCTTCCAACAGTTTCCATCCTCTGCCCCACGTAAACCTGGTGTGGCCAAAGCACACAGTGTGTCATCCGTGAATTATACAGCGGCTGCTATCGTCCGTCAGTCCCGTCCAAATCAGCCCCCGAAGCTTGCCGCAGTCGTCTGCCCACCACGTCATGCAGGTACACTCCTTTTTGGCCGCGCATTGACCACCTCTTTCAGCGATACACCTTGGCATATTTTGGTTGAGTGCAAAGTGAGGTGGCGTCTTCGTCTTCAAGTTCTTTTGACGACTCACAAATGGAGGGCATGAGTGTGAAAGGGAGGTAGTGAACAAGAGACCAGGCAGTTCATCACAGGAAAATATTTAGGAAACGAAAATCCAACAAACATGTATAACACCACCTTTGAACCACCTGTGATTTCCTATCCGTTTCCTCGTATCTCGAACCATGAACAGCGCTCATCCACTTCATGAGCCTCACTTACTCATTCCTTCTTCCTTTACTTCTCCTTCCCCTTCCCCTTCGCGTCCTCCTCACCTCTCGCTTTCTTACTCGGCGTACTTCCATCTGGGGGGCTCTTCGATTCTACCCTCTCCCTTCCCTTCTCCTTCACCTTCCCCTTCCCCTTGCTCAAGCTCGCACTCGCAGGCGCCGTTCCAGATCCAGAAGCAGGAGTCCCAGAAGCCGACGCTCCTGTCGTGTCGCTGTGTAACGATGGCTTTGTCGGATGCAGAGCCGGCAGACGATGCGTCCCCGTGTCCATGGATGTGGAGGACATGGACCCCGAGCGGGACGTGGGGCCAAAAAGTCGTCTGGAGGTGGTGTCCCATTCGTGTGGTGGAACTTGCGGTCTCATGTACACGGGCGGGTTTCTCGAGGTCGGGGTCGAGGTGTAGGTATGGCTCACTGAACGTGGTGTTCCGGAAGCAAAGGCAGAAACAGGGGCAGCAGCAGAAGTAGAAGGAGAAGCGGAAGCAGAAGCAGAAGCAGAGCCAGAGGCTTTGCCTCCGCGTTTCTGGTGTCTGGGAGCGGGAGGCTTGCTTGGTGTCCCAGATCTGGACATGGAGCTTGATGAGATGGAGCCAGAAGGCTTTCTCTGCTGGCGAGTCTTTTGAACTTGTGATGTCTTTTGAACTTGTGATGTCTTTTGAACTTGTGATGTCTTTTGCGGTGGCATCATACGGGCGGCCGCCTTCTTCTGTTCTGACAGGACCTTGTGCCCTTCAGACATCACTATGCTTTTGTTTTGGTTGCCTTTGCGGTTGGTTCTCGATTTCTATATCGTGGGAATTATATGCCCGATTAGCTTCTACCTAATTTATTTCCCAGCATTGAGGTATACGGATGGGGGAAAGTGTGTGGGAGCGGAGGGAGTAGGGATTAGGAAAAAAGAAACGCACCCCCGACTCCGCTCTTGGAGTAGCCACGAGCCGCATCTTCTGATCAATGATAGTAAATTTGTACACGATATTCTTCTCGCTGCGAAGAGCCTTTAGAATGTCTTCCACTCTCAAGCTGAAAGACTTATAATCACGATAATACGTGGAAGGTGGGGCAGACTTGGCTTTGTTAATAAAGACCCAAGGGGCGTAGTTGATGTTGCCTTTGTGGGCTTCTTCTGCGAGTGACTGTTTGTCATGATGGGATATGTTAGCAAGACATTCCAGGGCGGTTATGAGAGAAGAGGAAGTGACAGACCAGAATTTCATGGGCAATCAGCTCTACCTCGAGCGGCTTCAATGCTTTGACACGGAGTATCTGAGAGTTGTCCTTCTTTTTCTTCTTCTTTGAAGCCTGAGTGCTGTCGGCTTGGTTGCCGCCCTCAGACATTTTGCCAGTAGCATGAGCCACTGGTGAAGTTTCAGAGGTCGAACTGTCGGAGATTGAATCGGGAGAGCACCCTTCTACAGCTGTAATCGTAGGGGATCCAGCGCCAGTTTTCTTCGTTGCGGGTGTTTGGGGAGGGACCGCGGTACCGGCCTGAGGAACCCGAGGCTCGTCTTCCTCGGAATCCTCCGTCAATTGACTGTAGTCCGTGATCGCTTCATAAATATTCTTTCTCCATCTCTTTCGCTCGGCGTCGGTCTTGGGTAAGTCATCCATGCTGTTGGGATGCTTTAATTCGCTGTAATCTTTTCCGTTCCTGAGCGCTTCATAGCGTTGTCGTAGACGGTCACCGTGCGCTTTCGAGGTAATGTAGCCTTGATAACCATCTTCTTGGGTGGTGCCGTTCTTGAGTCCCTCTTCAAGAATCTCTCCAATAGAGCGGTACACGGGGGAATCTGTGTCCATGGTAGGTTCTGTCGTCTGAGCTTCCTCTATGATAATGGCTAGTTGATGCTCGCGGCGAAGTTCGAAGGTCCACGCGGTAGGGAGGACAGTATGATCCTGCTGGACGGCGAGAGCCCGTCTTATAAGGAAGTCGATTACTGCTTATAGCAGACAACGAAGGGGTCAGATCACTTGCTCAGAAGGCAAAGGAAAGTTTAGTTCTAGTAATTTCGAGGTACTGATCAACAGTCAGAACACAAATACAAGCTGGGTGAGTGATGACAGGAAACAAGTAAGCTCTTTGTGTCAATAAATGCAGCAAAGGAATGCTTAGAGGTAGCGTTTTGACTTCCTCCCTGTCCTTGTTTGTTCTCTTCCCCTTCTCCTTCCAAGGTCGTCGGTGGAAGAAAAAACCGTGAGAATTTCGTGCAGAGTCCAAAGAGACGGAACCGGACGTGAGAAGCTTCAGGACACGGCTTAAGCATCGTTAGACACAGTGTCCTCCTGCTGCATTCCACGCGCAATTTGTTGGCGTCTTCTCGCCGCTGTTCTCAGGTTTTCTTCGAACTTTTCGGTCTCCTTCCTCGGAGCGCAGACCCATCTCGTCGCAAAATCAGGATCGGCAAAGTCACAGGCGAGTGACTTGTTGACCTTGATATGGGTAATTTATTAGCTACTTTCTTCCTAGTTCACTTTATAAGAGGGAATGTACCGAAGCGGGAATATAGGGAGGCCGTGAAGCCTTTGTGAGGGGGTTGAAGGGTCGGTTGGTATTAAAGCGAAGGCGAGGTAACAAGGCTTTGCACGCAGCGCGATACCTGATTGGTTAGAAATGGGAGATGCCTACGAAAAAAAGACAACTCCTTAGAAGGCCTTCTATAGTATTTACTATAGAAAGCCGATGCTAGGGAATTTAGTGGGCGGGCTTAGGTAGGCGGATAGGCGGATAGGCGGGCGAACGGGCAGAGAGGACTTTGATTTCGAAGTCCGAGAAATGAAGTTATTTACAAGTCGCGCGAAACTTTTCGCGTGACGGAAAAAAAGCGACCGCTAGTGGAATCGAATTGGCGACGATAAGAAAGAGAGCGACGACGAAAACTATTGAGCTACTGGCCTAATTGATTGAGAGGGGCTTCGATGATCTTATTAATATAGAGCGTTGACTTTGGGAAAGAATTATCGTGAACGTGGGTCTTGGGATATGGGCTTTAATTTGAGGATTTGGAGGATTTGGATTTTGGGAAGGAACGACTAACCGCCCCCCTATAAGAACCGCTATAGATTTTCCATTTTAGCGATAGTTTTAGGGAGAAAATGAATCCAACTAATTAGAAACCTCCTTACGTGCAAAGGCTATTTGAGGTGCAAAGGCGAGTCAGGTTGTTAAGGCTTCAACCCCCCTACAAAGGCTTTACACTTTCCCTATTTTCCCGCTACGGTAATAAAACAACTTAGGGAGAGACGTACAAGTAGCTCGTAACCGATCATTTCCACCTCGTCGTCGTCGAGAGCCCGGGCTCTTTTAACATGTGTGTTTCTCGATGAAGACAGGGGCAGCTTCCTGTTGAAGCTTTCAACCTCCTGACGTGAGTGTTCTCGACCCGCAACTGTTGCTGGACTTGGCCGGCTTGAAGTTGTAGAGCTAATGGCTTGGCTAATACCCACTGTATCTGGCGGTTAATAAAGGGTGTTGGCGGTGGCAAATGTACCTGTAGCCGGTGGAAGACGGTCCTCATTGTATACAATGGTCATGTCTTGCATGGCGTTGGACAGACGCTCTCAGAAGGTGTTTCTCGCCTCCCAGGACGTGGAATGCCGTCTAGGGAGTTCGGGTACTTGGCCAAGAGAGATGCATTATAAACTCCATAGATCACTGACATACAAAGTGAAACACCGAAGAGGAAGAGGTAGACAGAACTGTACAGTGGATATATTGAGAAAATAAAGAACAAAATGACTAGCTGGTAGTCCGTCTCTCACTGTTGGCTGTCATGAGCTGGCAGAACACCAGCGTCATGTGAGTCTACCTCACTCTTTCGCTCCCCTCCTTTTGGCGCGCTCACACTGCTCACGCTCCTCACACTTGATGGCAGTTGAGTGGAGGTTCTCTTCAAACCCCGCAACCTCCTTACCAGTGGTGCAGCCCCATCTCCGTGATGTAGTCCGGGTCGAAATGGCTCAAGACTACGGCTTTGCTGACCTAGTACATCCCAAGCCATCGTTAGCACCTTCATCTCAATCAGTGACGTGGCATGGTTAGAGGTACCTACCCTGAGGGCATGGCGGTAAGCCTCCCATCTGGCAGCAAAGGACGGAATCTTCTTGATGTTGTCGAAGTTCCTCTTGACATTGTCGAAGTCCCGCTTGAGAACGTCTAGGTGAGCCTTGTCGAGCTCGTCCTGTGTAACATCGTCAATTTCAGCTTACGACCATGGAGCGAAGACTTAGGTTATTAAGTCAACGAAGGAGGGACATACCAGAAACTCGTAAGCCATCTTTTTGATTTCCTCGTCGTCAAGGGCCATGGCTTTTCCGACGTGGGTTTCCTCATCGGGAACGGGGGCGCCTTGCTGTGCAGGTTGTTCAACACTGCCGTTGCCTTGATCGCCTCCGGCTGGTTAAGAATCAGCATGATCGTCCCCAATGTCTTCAATGTGATCCAAATTTGAGTTGAGGTCATCGGCGTGTTCAGATTGACATACCTTGACCCTTGGTGCTCTGACCCATCCGAGTATCTTGTTGGGACATAACATTGCGAATGACCCCCAGAATCTCCTTGCACCATTTGTCCCTGTCGTCCCTGATAATGGCTGGACGATCAATCCTCATGCCTCTGCTTTTGGAGTTACCCTCCATGGTGATGAGTTGCTGTTGATGAATTGATGGTTGTGTGGTCTTGTGAGGAAGAGGTGAGGAAGAAGGACGTGATGTTGTTGATTTGTGAAAAGGCAAGAAGAGGAAGAACGCCCGCGCACAAAATTTGTAGTTTCCGCATGTAATCTTTGCCAGCTGCCAGCGCTCTCAGGTTCCTATTGACGAGACGGCCGCACTTGCCATCGGATATTGTCCCTCAATAGTACCAAATTGGTTACGGCCCCTCCAAACCTTGAGGTTCCTTGAGGTTCCAACCCAAGTACAACCAAACCTGCTGTTTTTATACTTGTATCTCTCCCCAACAACCTGAAGTAGTAGCGCCAAAAAGCTTTTTGCGCCACACATTTCTGTCGGCCTCGGTGATGGGAAGATCATCGAGGCATCCTGGGTATTTCACCAGGTCTACCTGTGCCTTGCCCTGGCCGTTACGTCGGGCAAGATATTCGCGCTTCTTTGCCTCAAAGTCTTCCTTGGACTGGAAGCGTCCTTGGAAGCCCCGCTCGAGGTCAAAGGCGATGTCAAACGGGTTGTAGGACTCTGGAGGAATGGGTTTGGGGTAGGTAGGCTCCATGAAAGCCACCACTACCCCCAGGGGAACAGGTGGAAGATCAATCTTCATGCCTCCGCCTCTGCGGTTCCCCGCCATGGTTATTAGTTGCTGTTGATACCTTAGCTTGATGGTTGTGTTGTGTTGTGAGGAAGAGTTGAGGAAGGCGGATGTGGGGTTGTTAAGCCCCGCGTCATGTCGAAGGCCGCGTTTAATGGGTTTATTCGGGAACTGAAGAGGAAAAAAACGCATATGCACTGCATTTTGGGGGTTCTACATTGCCATCCGGCAATGGAGTGTCACTGCACGGTTACGGAGTGTGGAAGCTTCAACGAAATCAAGAGATATTTATATATCGAGAATACCTAGAGGGGAAAAGTAGGTGCCTTAAGAAAAAATGAGTAGGTAGAAAAGGAGAACCCATGGAGCTAACGCCGAGCCATGCGAAGGTATGTAACAAAAACCAACAAAATTGAGACTCCATCATGCAATGTCGCTTCAGGCACGTTGTGAAGGCCAAATGGCCGGACAGACAGTGATAGTGAAGGGGGAATGTACATCGCTTGATGTACGTTATGCCTGTGGTCCTTCCCTCGCGCGTCTAAGCAACTCCCTCTTGTGAGCCGCCGCGCGCAAGTTCTCTTCGAACTTCTTCGTCTCTTTCTCGGGAGCTCACGCCCATCTCATCAAGAAGTCAGGCTCGCAGTAGTCCATCGGGACGGCCTTGTTTACCTACGATGAATGAATTAGCTCGTATCCATTTCACTTCATGAAGATTGCATGAGAAATCTTGCTGATGAGGGAACTTACCCTGACGGCGCGGAGGAGCCAGTGCATCCTGGCAGCAAACGAGGGGAATTGCTCGAAGCCCCATTGTTGTGATTCGGTCCAGGCACCGATGTCGACCTGACCTTGATGGGCTTTCTCGGCCTTCTTCTGTGACAAGTAGATGAGTCGTTAGTGGATACTGAACAGAATGACCGTGTAGGAAATTGGTACGCACCAGTATTTCGTAGCCGATCATTTCAACTTGGAAATCATCAAGCTCGCGACAACGACGGACATCGGTGTTCTCAATCTGGCTGTTGTCCGCACCCGCTGTAAGAAAGAGTCAGCAAGCCCTCAAGACCATCGAATGACAAGTGGTATCTCTCGTTCTGCGTACCTTTTCTCCGGCCTTGGTTTCCTACCATGGTCAAGTCTCGGATGGCGCCAAACAACTGCCTCCGCCACTCTGTGCGCTCTTCGTGCGTCGTCGGGAGGTCGTCGAGGCAGTTTGGGTACTTCGCCAAGTTGACCTCGGCCTTTCCCCTGTTGTTGTGTCGCGCGAGATACTCGGCCTTCTGGGCTTCGAAGTCCTCATCGGACTGGAACCGGTCGCAAAACCCCGCCGTGTGGGTATCTTCGAGGTGATTCGCGAACTGTGCCTCAAACGCGTTGAAGCCGGGGGGTTGATGGATGTCATTAACTTTCTCTGGCACATCGATGGGCAATCGTCGACGTTGAACGGGTTCAAGCTGGGAGTGGGGGGTAGCTTGATCGTCATGGCCTTCTTTGGCAAAGCGATCGGCAGAGCGTCGGCCTCGGCCATAACGATGTCCATATCGTCGACGTCCATGGTGATAGTTTGCTGGTGAGGACTTGATGGTGATAGTTGATGGTGCACGGAGCACTTGATGGTGAACGTTGATGGTGAAAATTGATTGTGAGAGAGAGGTGAGGAAAAGGGGAGTGGTGTTTGTGGTTGAATTGATCAGTAAAATGGAAAGAAGAAAACCTTCGAAAAATTGTCAGCCGGCAGTCCTCTCAGGTTCCTATTGACGGGACAACCGCACCTTCCATCTGTTATTGTCCCTCAGGAATTGAATCATTCGGCCACGACCCGGACCTTGACCCCTCCAAAGCTTCCACTTAAGTTACAAGCAAACTTACGGTATTTATATCTGTATCTTTCCCCAAGCACTTGAAATGTTCGTATCGACCAAAGTTGAGATGAAAAGTTCGAATCATCGACCGAAGGTACTAGCAATGCTGAGTGTCCCCTCCGCCTGGACAGCGAACACATTCAACAACAGGACCGCCTCCCATGATCTGGAGTTATGTCGTTGGGGATAAGTGGCCCGCTGTTGGTTCTGGATCCACAGAAACCAACAAACGAAACTCGACGTTGGCGCAACTTTTCGAATATTAATGTCTTGCTTGTTCATCTTTGGTTTCTGTGGCGGATCTTCAAGGCGTATAGATACGTCGCTGCAGAGGCCCCTTTAACTACCTCTAGACCCTGACAATCTGAGAGGATTCTGACCGATATTTTGGGGAGGGGGTCGGTAGTTGAGAGAGGGGGGAGAGACTCGACAAGTTGAGCTAGTTCGTTCGTAGCTAGCATAATGCTTTGGCAAAGTGCCATCCCCTCAACAATCATACTTGAGTCCGCAAGTACAGGCCATCCTTTGGCGATTTGTGTCGATTTATACGAGTCGGATGGGTCTATACGGTTACATTTAGAGAAAACCTACCCGCACCCATACTTTTCCTCCATGCACCCATATATCCACCCTTATCAGCTGTCATATAATACGGCCGTTTCAGGGGTTAATTTCGAGTTTCGTAGGTTTTCTAACATGGCTTGCAATTTGAAAGCCACCAAAACCAACCGAACTACCAAGATTCGTCTACAATATCGGGATAACTTCGCTATATATACTAACGAAGAAGACTATAGGTATCATTTACACCGGGATAGAGGAGGTAAAAAGAATACTAGATCGACAAGACAAAGGAGATCCCAGAGTGTAAACATTGAATACGATAGAAGCATTTGCACTGTGCATACACTTGGGAGTTGGGTGCTCAACACCACGATATAGAGTGGTGATATAACGTGCAAAGCCTAAAAGGAAGTGCAATTCGACGAGTATTGAAAGGGCGAAATTTCACGGCTAAAAGTGGGCTTTGGGATGTCCAGGTGTCATAGCCTGTCATAGGGTGCCAAGGACCCTAACCCTCTAAACTATGGGTGCATGGAGGAAAAGTATGGGTGCGGGTAGGTTTTCTCTACATTTACCCCGAGGGCCTCAGGGCCACCGCTCCCGACACACCCGTATGGGTTGTGGTCGTCGTTGCGGCCAGTGCCTTTTGGGTTCTCGCCCATCCCAAGGACCTCTGGTGGCCGTTGACCGCATAACCTCCCTTCCCACTCTCCTGGCAGTAAGATCCGTCGTACTATAGTGCGATCTGTATGGCGTTATGGCTTGAGGTAAACTTTATTATCTCCTTGCCTATTTTGATCGCTTCATCCCTCTTAACGACAATGACTTTACCCGCAAAAGGAGGCAAAGTATCTATATAGTACCACGGTACGGTGCCCGGGTACTGAGCCCGAGGTCAACGGCCACATCGAATATCGAGGAAGCCAACACCAATGTGAGAGGCGTCGTGAGGTGCATCTCAATCCACCAGGCTTCGGTGTCCGGTCTTGGTCATACAAGGACAACCTACTCCGGCATCCACGCCGAACTGACCGCCCTGCCACCGAGAGGCCGATCACCTTTCCTACCATGTGGTCGCGCCAGCATATGACTGTATCTTTTCGGCCGTGTGGCGGGTCTAGAGACAGCATCAGAGGCCATCTTCAACAAGTGCATGGAAGGCAGCGAACCACTCTTCCATAATGATTAATGGTTGGAGCGGGTGGCCGACAGATGCGAAAACGGCGAAGAGAGAGGCCATGATGCGCCTTGCGGGTGCGGACACTTTGAAAACAGAAGAGCACGAAGCAAGAGACCCGGTCTTTTATACCTGAACAGTTCTACATACAGTCACCCTCTGCCTTTCAATGAGTCAACTTCACGCAGTCATGCATTCCTCCGGTAAGCATTTATGACACAAAGCCTTGGTAAATTCCCTCTATGACGCTTGTTGCATCGGTGAAAAAAATGACGACAGACATATGTGACTCTCTCTCCGCAGCTGATTTTGAAATTGCTTTGCTCGGGATCTTGCCGATTCCGAGAGTGAGGTCGATCGAGGTCTTGACCTTGTGGTTTTGCTTCCTCAATGTTCAAGATCGACTCAGGCTTGTCCTCTCGTCCCGTGGACGAGGAGGACGGCCCTCCCGGGCAGCGAGCTTCAATTCATGGTCGTATGACCTCCGTTCGTGTAAGCGCAGAGACCACTCGTCCGTCCAGCCCCGGTCGCACACGTCACACCACCACTCCAGCTCGCCATCTTTTGTCTTTGGCGGGACATAGGTCCCATTCTCCCTGGCAATATGGTCCTGGGTTGTCTTATGGCGTTCGAAGTTGCCATATGAGCCTTGGGTCCAGAACCATGCCGGTATTCTGGAGCAGACACCGCAGAGCTTCGTGGCCGTTTTGTGCTTCCTTCAAACGTTGCTGGCTTTTTGCGTGCGAGTCGTCTCTCCAATGTCTGAACGCCGAGACGCCTTTGCGGAACTCTTCGGGGCCGTCTGTGATAAGGTATTTCTTGATTCGAGTCGTATGGTACCCTGCGGCAGGAGGCTGGGCCGTGCTAGTCCTCCTCGGCATCCGACTCGATACTGTCGAGATCCTCCTCCGGGGTGACCTTCTTGGTCGAGATGCTGCCCAGCACAAATTCCTACAATGATAACTCGCTTTATCGACCCGCGGTCTTGCCCGACGAGCGAAACAACGCACACAAAGTACCAACGCTCCAAGGCCAGGCGCTTCACTACTTCCGCCTGAGCTCGGGGAGCCAGTCGGGGGAGACGTTGCCGTCTGACGCAGAAGAGCCGGAGTCTTAGTTAGGTAAGTTGGAGCGGGGCGACCAGACTTTGGAGTCGAATGCGGCGGTCAAGGTGTCCAGTGCGATTTTGGTGAGGGAGGAAAGGGCGAAGTAATCGCCGACAGTGTAGACCTCGAAGCAGGAGACGAAGTTGGTTTTTGTGATGGGGGAGAGAGGGCGGGGATGTCGCAGATGCCGGTGTAGATGTACCGGATAAGGATGTCGATGGCTTCGGGCTCAAAGTTCTCGATGTTGACGGTGCCGGATTTGGCTTCTTCGAAGTTGCCGGCTCTGTCAGCAGCCTGTGAGCGGTCCTCTTGCTGTTCTGTTGTTGCCTGCCTTCACCCAAATCCTCCGGGCTTCCACTCGGGCGAATTCGAACAAGCCGACCATCATCGAGCCCGCTACCAGCCCGATGGCGGTCCACGCTCCTGTTGGCAGGCGGCTTCTGTGCGGTGAGTCGCAAGGACCGGACACACTACACAGTAGCATTCGTACTTCCATGCGGGCCACAAGGTGACATCGAGAAGAGAAAACCTACCCGCACCCACCCCTAAAACTACACGCACCCTCCCTTCCCCACATGCCAACTGTCGTATAATACCAACGTTTTCGTATGGTAATTTTTCGTATGCGAGGGCCTTCCAGTCAAAACCCGAATGACCAATGGAGGAAAAAGAATGAAAACGACGAAAAGTATTAAGGAGAGAGAAGGAATAGAGGGAATGGAAGAAAGAAAGGGAGAAAAATAAGGGGAAAAAACGAAGAATAGAAATATCCTTCATCGGGGTAGTTGCTTTCCCTTGGACGTCAGTGCACTACCTTCAAATGCGCCAGACCGTAGTTGTGTTCAATCGCTGGATTTTGGCGCTGCTACCGTCCCCGGGCGGTTGCTGTTGCTTAGAGGTAGCGACTATAGCGGCCGGGGCTCCGAAATTTTGCACTCCGACGTGGAAATTTTGCATTGGAATATTTCGTTTTCGAGATCTGGAAATTTTGCAGGGAAAACCGAAGTTTCGAAACCAGCTGTCATTGTGAGACCCGGGCTGTCAGGGTAAGGGTTTACTATAGGGGGTGGGTGCGTGTAGTTTTAAGGGTGGGTCCGGGTAGGTTTTCTCATCGAGAATCGCGATGAATTGTCTAGACAATGTGAAGAGTGCCCAGAGGACCCTCATGAGGAAGGAGCTGAGCGGAGACAACTCCTTCTTGCTTGTGTTGTTGTTGTGCATGTTGTTGATTTTGTTGATGGTAGTTGCTGAATGATGAGATGAAAAAGTAGTGTTGCAGTGTGCAAGACCTAATGACAGAGTGTTGTGCTGAGCTGCCTCAGAAGCACGCTGTATACCTGTAACAGAAGCACGCCGTATACCTGTAAAGTGTCCAGTTTCGAAAGTGTATTGCAGATGAAGTTCAATGTTGTTGATAGCTTTGGTTGCGATCGTTGAAGAGAGGAAAGAGGAGGATAACGGGAGAGGGGCGCCCACTGGTTCTCGGTGGCCATGTGGTCGGCGGAGGATTCCTGTCAGGGGTACTATCACGTACGACGTCAGTGGTTGGTGGCCAGCAAAAAATGCAAAATTTTGGGACTTACCTCCAGGTTTTATACTCGATTGAATCGAGAAACCAAGTGCTTGTCTGGTTGTGGCTGATCTCGCTAAACGCTATGTTGCCCCTGTCGCTGCTTCTCTGGTGCTGTGGCCGTAATTGTTGTAAGAATGGCGGGTCGACTCTGGGTTTGTCGTTAATGGCAATGCTCCTTATTGGGCAAATGTTGGTGCCAGTTGCGGTTCCATTGTTTTCGTGTCTTGGGTGTTCCCTCGAATGTTGCGATGTTCAAAGATTGTTTGTTTGGGTGGCGGCGTGCATTGTTGCTGTTGCTTCCGTTGCTGATGTGCTTATCTTCAGGGTTGAGGCCGAGGCAGAAATACCAATAAGGTGAAACGAGGGATAGGGATTGTAATGCATGATGCGAACTGCCGTCAAAAACCCAAGAAATGTTCGGCATTTGTTGTGTATAATTTGGAGGGGATACACGAGGTGGGTGAAAAGATGAGTGATGGAATGATTCAAGGACCAAGAGAGGAGAAGAGGAGTGGGACAAGCCCCCACTAAATACTCAGAGACTGAGGAACATGGCTTTGATGCGACTTCCAGACATAACAGATGACAGCGACCACATTGACCTCGGCACTTGCCATCTTCATCTACTAATGACATCAAAGGAAGCCGGTCCTTCCCATGGAGGGCTCGTCAGGCACAATCAAGCAACAGGAGCAAGGGATATGACCCTGTCAAACAGTTTCCCCGTACCGACTCAGAGGAACTGCATCCGTACCGCCGTAGCTACTACATCTCATGTCTCTCTGTGCTCTTGCCCTCTCCGAGGATGCAACTGCCTAGGATCATCAGGGGCGTGTCAAGACGGGTAGGTTACTGACCTGAGAAAGGTGTGTCACAAGAAGGCACCTGGACAGATGAACAAGAGAAGCAACATGTCAGCAAGAGTTTGACAGTGTCATGGTCACAAACGACCGCAAAATCGCCGAGTGTCTTCATGTTCGGAATGGGATGTCGTTATATTGCTTATGAATGCTCTTATCTTATCTGTTCGTAAACAAGCAGAGGGCCGTTAGGAGTGGGCGTGGTAACAGAGTTGATGGTTTTCATCAATAGTGTCCTTCTCCAGCTGGTGACAGTATTCATAGAATTTTTTTACTCAATGGACGAGCAAGGAGTGCTTTTGGTGTCCGAGGGGCTCCATGTTGCGCGGCCGGTCCCGAAAGTATCGATTGAGGGCAACCGAAAGCATCACCAAAGGTGGGTCGCCGGCTTCGCGTAACAAATTTGGGGGAATATTGCGGCAGAATCTGTTAGAGAGTACCGGTAAACAATTGACCCATGGAAACCCTCATCTAGCTGCGTCCGTGACTGCCTGACTGGTGATGATTCGCATAGTTGGAACGGCGGTTGTCACCAGAGGTAGCATCCAACCTGGCAGCCATCACCGTTCCTGTGGCAGGCGTCACCAAGCTAAGCTCCGTATCGACTTCCCCGACATTCTCCTCGTTTGCACCCAAGGAAGCAGCCCGAAATCGTGCAGGAGCAGTTGAGTTTCAGGCGGATGACATTCAGGCCTCATGCCTAGACTCTAGTTCCTGACAAGTTGGAAATCGGTGGACTTAGTGGAAACCAGAGGGCTCCTCCGTTCGTCGTTCTATCTCCGTGACTGCACCGAAATCGATGACCCCACAATTCCGGCCGGGGAAGTGTGGAGTGCCGGTGGGCGTCCGGCAATCGAGTGAGGGAACTCGAACACTACAGCTGTGGAAGGTATCGATGAAGAAATCGGATGTTTGCTGAAGACGGGAACCAACTGAGAGAGAATCACTCGATCATGCTTCTACATCTGTGAATCGGCATGTTTTGGCTTTTGGAAGTCAGTGGTGTCGTCGGCTGTCTTGCGTCGGCCTTCCTTATCAGCTTATCGGACGCACAGGCCGACCACGCTTTGCCTGCCGCGACATGATTGACGTCGCAACCGGTGCTCGACTGGCGCAGTGCTGCCTGTGCAATTGTCCCCAAAACACTGAAACAATCATCACCATTCCTCAACCCCCAAGCCTACCGCGACAGAATATCTGCTCGGCCGAATTACGACCCGAATTTGGCTTACAGTATCAATCAACAATAGAATCCCTAATTCTACTATCACCACCACGACCCCAATTGATCCCCCAATCTCCCCCAATCTCCTCCAACCTCCGACCGACCGAACAATGTCCGACCAACAACAACCCCCAGAGAGCAACAGCGTCTCCACGCCCAACCCCCGCTTCGCCCCCCAAAACAAAACCGTCCAAGAGCGCGTCTCCTCCTCAACAGTAGGCCTCGTCAACCTCGCCGACTTCCGCAAGCGACGCGCCGAAGTGCTCGAGCAACAACACCGCGAAGTTCGCGAAGCCGCCATCGCCGCTGCGCGTGGGACTGGGACGGCGAACCCCAAAGACTCAAACACAGATACCAACAGCGCGGCTACGACGCCGTTATTGGACCGGTCGGCTACGGGCACGCCTGCTCCAGGTACAGGTACGGACGCAGAAAATGGGAATGGGACGACGACGACAGGCGGCGAAGGAAAGAGCGAAGGCGAAACTGGCAAGAAGAAGACGACGACGACAACCGGGGGGGAACGAAAAGCGAAGAGGGTAAAGACCAGGAAAGCTCTTGTTAGCTTTGGGGACGAGGAAGAAGAGGGGGAGGAGGAAGTTGTAGTGGTGAAGAAGAAGAACTTGAAGGCGAAGATACCAGTGACGGAGGATGCACCACCGAAGACCGACGGCGAGGGCGAAGACAGGAAAGAGGATAACGCGATAGAGAACCCAACAACACGCGAAAGCAGCGCCGACGCTGACACAAGCGACGTCCCCAAAAAGAAGAAACTAATCAACACCTCCGCCCCCATCATCCCGCGCGCCCTCACCAAAGCCGCTCTCCGCCGTGAAGCCGCCGAGCGCGAAGCCATCCGCAAAGAGTTTCTGGCCAAACAAGCAGCCGTCAAAGCCGCCGAGATCGCGATCCCCTTTGTTTTTTACGACGGTACCAACATCCCCGGCGGCATGGTGCGCGTGAAGAAGGGCGACCACGCTTGGCTGTTCCTGGATAAGTCTCGCAAAGTCGGCGCGGAGAGGGGCGTGGGGCAGGATAAGATTCTGAATGCGAGGAGGGCGTGGGCGAGGGTTAGTGTGGATGATTTGTTGTTGGTTAGGGGGAGTATTATCATTCCGCATGTGAGTACCACTCTTTTCATTCAATGGGTCGGTGGGACAGACAGATGGTGGTTTGTGAAACGGATTGATTGCTTGCGCTATCCTGCTCTTTATGCTGTCTATGCTGTCTATGCTGTCTGTCTACGCCAAAAACGCAAAATGCTCGCTCTGCTATGCTATACAAAAAACAAATGCTAACCCCTCCTCTGTCTTCCTCCAGCACTACGAATTCTACTTCTTCATCATCAACAAAACCATGGGTCCCGGCAACAAGCGCTTATTCGACTACTCCGACGACGCTCCTCTCCCATCGGACCCCCCCACATCCACATCTACATCCTCTTCAACTCCCGATCCCACGTCCGCCGCCGCAGCCGCAGCAATCTCGACTCCAGCAAGCAGGCTCGCTGCTCTCCCGGATATCATGACCTTGGAGGGCGCAAACGACGACCCGACCTTCACCAAAGTCGTTGATCGTAGGTGGTATCAGCGGAATAAACACATTTATCCGGCGAGCACGTGGCAGGAGTTTGACCCGGAGAAGGATTATCAGAATGAGATTAGGCGGGATTTGGGCGGGAATGCGTTTTTCTTTTCGAGGTGATAGGCGACGGCTTGGCTCGGGTAGTGTTATCGATTTTAGCGGTGAATCGAGAGGAGGTGGTTGGCCTTGCAGTTGGCTCGGTGTTTCGTTGTGTCGTTCTGTCGCTTGGATGGTGATGCAACGTTATGAACGGGTTGTTGTGTGCGTGTGTGTGTGTGCCTCAAAGGCGGCGCGATTGCGTGGGTTAGATGCGATGCGATGCGATGCGATGCTTGCGGCGCATTCAACTCAGACCCCGCGGGACCGGCTTTTAGCTCCGTCCGTCCCTGGCCCGGCGACGTCGCGATCGATCGTCATCAAACATTTACTCAGTAAAATGGACTGGAGATCCCTAGAACGGAAGCGAAATGTGAGCAATTCATCCATCCACTTGTTGTGACTTTCCCATAGTATAACCCCAATGTGCGCTTACCTGTCTGTCATAGTGTCATTCACCCACTAACCGGCAACATAGCAGCCGAAACCCCCGTCATCAAACACGACAGTCCCCAAATCATCACTCCCAACACGATCCACCCCGGCCAAAGCAGGAAACACAACAAGTTCCCGCCCGGTCCCAAGATCCAGACGAAGAACTCGAACTCGATTTTCTTCCTTATTTGGCGGGCTTTGCGACTGTCCCAGATCGACCATGTGTGGCTGGCGGTCTCCATGATGGCGTGGCGAGTAAAGATGAGAGTGCGGTAGACAAAAAGTTTAGTGGCGAGGGAGGTGCTGAGGGGGAGGTGGTGGAAGATGGAGTGGAGGAGACTGAATGAGCGGACGAAGAGGAGGAGGAGGGTGGAAAAGAGGAGCGCGTGGGTTTGGTAGAGGGTTTTGAGTGTTGTTGAGAGGAGAGGGCGAATATGCGCTAGTATGTAGCTGGAGGTGGTGGTTGATGTTGTTGTTTTATGTGTAAGCGTCGTCGTCGTGCTTGTTGCAGTTGTGGTTGTGGTTGTGGTTGTGGTTGCTGTAGAAGAAGCGGTAGTAGAGATACTTGTCGAAGTGTGGTCGTTCGCAATGAGGAGCGCCATCCCTCTTTATTTTTTCTATTTTTTTTGCAGACGCAATCCAAATGCAAAAAGTGGAAATGATGTAGATCCAAACAGATCCCTGCGTCACGATTCAGTTCGGTCTAGCCCGCCACTTCAAGCTTCCTCGTTTCGCAAGCGGAAAGGGAAGCGGTGTTAATCCTTGACAAGATGATGCGGCTTGTTGGGGGTTGAGCTCGTGGGAATGTCGCTGGTTGGTCGCCTTCCTTGTCCTGAACGGGGGCGGTGATCTCATTCAAGCGGGTCCTGTGACGGTGTGTTTGGTAAGGGACTTGGTACCAAGCAGGCCAAGAAACGTAACAAGCCTCAGCGGTGTGGTCGATCCAGGGTTCTCTTTTTTGTTGTTGTCGACTTGTGTCCAGATTCGGTCAACCGAAAACCAGGGTCATGTAACCTGGGGTTATTATCGTCAAGGAGTTTGGTTGAGTTTTGTCGTCAGGGTACGGGTTCAAAGGACCATCGAGCAGGGTACGGCACGTTGGTCAGTGTCTTTGATGTTGTTGGCGTTGTGGTCGGGTGCCCTGGAGACGGATGGGAATTGATGAAGCAAAGTGGATGACGACTGGACCGTTCCTTCGTTTCGAGATGATTGAGGAGGGGTTTAAAATAAACTTTTAAGATTTCAAGATCTCTGATCACGGAACCGATATCTCCATTTATCAACCTCGTGGAATTTCTTGGACCGTCTCCCCCCAACAAGCTAAGATTCGTACGCTTTCCCCTTCTTTCCCCCCCGTTCGCGAATGGAAGCGACATGGAATCAGATAGGGGTAGAGTGGGTCTCCCTTACAGGCATTCAACGCTTTTAACTGGTTTGTTGCCGAGAAAGCTGGAATGTCGGCGGCTCTCTTTTTCCATCGCGAACATCTATACGCAGTAGGGAGTCGGGATTGTCTCTCCCAGCCATTTTGTTGAAATGCTCTGTTTCCGTTGTGCTCAACATTCCTTTCCCCGGATTTTGCTGTCCCAGAACCGATGATGACCGTTGGTTCCTGAACGTGGGATATCAGGTGGTCTCTTTGGACAATGGCAGATGACGTTGAGGTTGTTTTTGTTAGCGGTTCGTCTCGTCTGGTCGCATTCCCGACAGCAGGGGCATGCCTCAGCATGGGCAGGCACCGCCGGCCTGTGCGTGCCGCTGTTGCGCTACACCATTCGACGAACACTGCGGGCAGCCACGGCGCTGTGGAACGCTTGCCCTGATGGGACCTGAAATGGTGGGGCCGGGACAGGCGCCGAATCGTCATCTTTTTTTTCTGGAGGAGGGGTGCACAACATCGACAGTCGCTTTTAATCATATGGTGATCAGTTCATCATCGAGTATCACCATATGTGAATTTCCCATTCAAAGTCTGCAGTTCGATAATATCATCGCTGCTCGGCACATCGTCCCCCGATCTGCCATCACCATAAATGACGTCATAGAGGCCCCCAGCGCCCCACTGTTAGAAATCGCTGGAAACAGCCACCCAATTGCTAACGTCCCAATCTTGCCAATGAAACGCCATGACGATGGTTTCCGATCTCTGCCCCTCTGTGACGGATTGAAAAGTTTTGTTGCTTGGCGGGGTTGAATGGCCGAATCATCGGCGTGTCTGATCGTAGATCGGTGACTGTCTGCTGTGAGGGACGGTCTCCTCTGACTGCCGTCTTGGGAAACTCTCACAAGATTCTCAACTCCTACAGCCCGAATATCTCTAAACTCCGATATGTCGAACAGTACTTGGCTTGAAGCGGCCTCATCGACGAAGTGGTTGCTTCCAGCTCAACGCGGATCGATAATTCTCTCTTGCGACGGAACCTCGTGGTTAATGTTGAATGACTATATATCCTTCATTTTCCCCTGCAAATACCCCACAAGACTCTCAAACATGGCTTGATCATGTCCCTCCCTCCAAAGGAACAACACCTTCGTCTCGCCGTCCTTTGCAACCTCAACTACAACCTCAAATCCCAACTTACACTCCTCCTCTCCCGTCACGGTCCCATCCTCATCACCGCCGCCACCAACCTTCTTCTTAGACCCTTCCTTGACCTCCTTCATCTCCCTCTCCCTCCTCCTCCTCCAAGCCCTACTCCAAACATTCCCTCCACTTCTCCCCACCCCTCTCATCCTCTCCCCCTCCCACTCCCAACTCATCAGTTCCAATCCCTCCACCGTCTGCTTAACCCTCTCAACCACCGTTTCCACCTTATTCTCTGCCCCTTTATGTTTCCACGTCCCAACCTCCAACCTCACCACCGCAGGCAACAACCTCTTCCAAATCCCACCCACCCCCCTCCCACTTTCTTCTCCCGCCCTCATCCCCCCAAAACTCCACCCCACCGCCCACCTCTTCGTCTGTTTACCCTGCACCAGCTCAGTAACAGCATAATTCCCTACTTTTTCCCTCCGCAGTCTTTCCACCACCGCTTCCAGGGACGTGACCTTGCCCACCATGCTCGTATACCATCTCACCCTTTCGCCGAGGATCAAGGACTCTTCAATCATCCTGAATATGTGTGCCACTTCTCCCCCCTCACAAACCATTTCCACGGGAGCACCGGTGCATGCCGTTAGAGGAGGACGGGACTTCTTGGCGGCGGAGGAAAGAAGGTCCGAGGGGGAGGAGTAAAAGGGGGGATTGCACATGCAGAAATCTATTTTCTGTATGCCTCTCCCAGAAAGGGCGTCGAGGGGGATGAGCGGTTGGTCCGGGTGGCGGGGAAGGAGGGTGATGCGGTCCTCGAGGTTATTGATCTGAATATTACGCTGCGCGAAAGAGAGGGAATGCGAGTCGATGTCGGTTGCGATGAAAGACCAGGAGGGGTGTTGGACGCAACCGAGGAGGGGGTAGATGGCCGAGGCACCGGTGCCGATGTCTAGGCCTAGGATGGGCTGAGAATCAGAAGAGGGATGGTAAGAAGAGGAGGAGAGGAGGGAGGTCAGCCAGAGGATGTAGTTGTGCCTGTTGGGGACGGGCGGGCAGAGGCGGTCGGGGGGAAGCTCGATTGTAAGCCCGTAGTCGACTTGGAGGAGGGTTTTGGTTAGTTGCATTACGGCGGCGGGGTTGGTGAAGTCGAGTTGGTTTTTGGAGTCGAGGCTTCAAGGCTGTGTTAGTTGTGTTGATGACGACGAGGGGGAACTGAAGACAGAGCTTACAAGGGAGCAAAATCCGGATCCTTCTGCCCAAGGTACTTGAAACTGGGATCCTTGGTGTAGAGTTCGCGAAAGTACCCGTCTGTCCACTTGCGTGGTGCGTTCCTCGTTACTGCTCCGGCTTGTCCGGGTCCGGAAATCGGGGCAGCCCGGTCATTGTGGGGCCGGTCGGACTCGGGGGTCGGTTTCGTGGCATTTGGCTGCTGTTGATCGGCGGGCGCGATGGCTGGACTGTCTGAATGTTTCTGTCGTTTCGCTTCCGGTTCGCGGACTGGACTGTTCAATGCTTCTTCCGCGGCCGACCTGCCTGCATCGCTCTCATCCTCCGGCGCTTTCCTCTTGTTGATCCCCATGTTTGATTCGGTCTGGCATTTGTGGAAAAGGTTGAAGTTCGCTGTCGACGTCCCGACGCGCTGAAGGTGAGCGCCAAGTGGCACGTGCGCAACCGGCCCACTCTCGTCCTTTGGCACTCCCGCTTGTCATACAGCTCACTTGTTAACGCACTAGCATTTCGGCGGCCAGAATAGCAGCTTGTGAGATAACGTCGCATCTCATTGCTTGCCTTCATCTGGCTACAAGACCGGGCCCATCTCGACTCCCATTTTATTACACCACCCATCTTTCCTCCTCAGCACGAGCACTTCATGTCAACAACGTCAGTCGATCATTCGACAACAACAAAACATGACGGAAACCGTAGCTATGGCGACTATGGTGCCTTCTTCCCAATCCGAGCATCAAAGACTCGAAACCAAATATGATGGTTGCGTTTTCGAGTCAAATCGGAAATCAACAACATCCGGCTTTTAATAAACATCGCTAAACATTACGCATTACGGGCTTTATATCACAATCGACCAAGTACTTGACGAATGCCTGACCTTATAATACCACCACTTTTATCTCCAATCCCCTCACCTGTATGGTTAAGATACTTCAGTATCAATCAATCCAACATCAACAGCCGTACCGCCGAGGAGATGCCAAGGCACACCCGTGGACCGGCTGCTGGGGTTCTCCGCGGTATTCCCATTAATGACTGGTCGGAGGGTCACTTCGAGTGGCATCGAGAAGGATGGTAAGTACCCTACCGTTTCTGGTACCACAGCTGATACAGGCATATTGACTGACAAACCCAACCTACATAGCGATTGCGTGGTCAAGCTCTGCCCGCAGCATTGCCGGGAGCTCGTAGGATCAAATGATCACGATGAGGGGCCCGAAGTAAGCGGTCGAAACGATGTTGACGATAATTACGATGGCGAAGATGACAATGATGGCACTCGCCACTCGGATGAAGACCATGACGGCAGAAACTCCATTCCATCTACAAGTGACGACGATCCAAAGGATTCTATTCCTTCGGTACTGCCTAGTATCGAACGTGGAAACCAATCTGGCTCGGGACCGCCCTCTCTCTCTGCCTCACCCGAAGAGATTGCCCAGGACGACCCAGAGGCAACGATTTCTCCAGAGAACCGCGACGAAATGGAAAGCCCTGTCCAACGACCCGAGCAGCAGCCTCCTCCAGCCGCCCTGACCATCAACGCCGACTATCTTGAAGCCCTTTCTCCAGGGTTCAGGGCCAGACTAGTGACCTATGTTGAAGCAATCTCGGAGGAGCTTCGCGCCTATATTCTCCCTCAGGCTCCGGCCTCTACGGCCTCGGCTAACCCTCCTACCCGCCTCTTGGCCGTTTACCAACCAAGCCGACACCTAGCCAGAGAAATCCGACACCTTATCCGAGAAGCGCAGGCCCTGTATCCCCTCTCTGACTCTGTCACTCCTGATCCTCGCCCAGGGCCAGGAGGACATCTCCAACGCAGCCCATCGGATATCTTGGCCCACGTGTTGAATACCAGCCCTTCTCCGCGGGTCAAGGTGGGGCCCTCCGGTTCCGGTTCTGCTTCTCAGGCGGTTCGCGGCGGCGGCGGGGAGGGCAGTGTCGGTAGTAGTGCTACTAGTCGTACACCAGCTCAACCTCAACCCGGGCCGTCTCAGCCCATGCCACAGCCATCCATGGGAGTCTTCTTCACGTCAGCCCCAAAAGCCGTCGCCAGAAGACTCTTCAGCCGCTCTGATCCATCCCAGCGCCCATCCCAGAGGCAGCAGCCACCCCAACTTGAACCACGTCCAACGTCGTCGACACCCGCAAATACCACGACCACGACTCGTCGTCGTGCACCGGACCCTCAACCGCCTAATGTCCGACAACCCCTTTCTGAGCCAGCACCAGCACCAGCACCAGCGCCACATCCAGCGCGGCCGCCCCCAAACATGTCCAGTCCACCACAACAACAACAACAACAACAACAACAACAACAACAACAACAACAACAACAACAACAACAACAACAACAACAACAACAACAACCCCCGCGAAGTAGTACATCTGCCCATAAAAAGACACTACCAGCGTCCAGAGCGTCGTCCAGACCAATTAACGAGCAAGACGAGCAGGAAGAGCAGGACATACAGGGTGAACCGTCAGGAAGCAATGTGGATAGTAGGCAACTGGAAGAGGAGTCTTCAAATCTGTCAGAACTGGAAGAGGAGTCTGCGGAGCAGGACGAGTTGGCACCAACTAGACCCAAGAGGGGAAGACCGAAGAAGAGCGGGAGCACGGTTACGTACGGGAAGAGGGGGAATAAGAGGAGGAGGGTTTGAACTTTGAAGGTAGGCTGGCTCATAGGGATATTGAAAGCCAAGGCCAGATAGATCAGCGAAATAAAATGGCCTTGTTATGAGCTAAGTCGGGAGCGACGGACGGGAGGAAGGCGGTGATTTTGGGCGTTTGGTGTCGTCGTGGTCGGTTGGTTAGACAGTCACTATTTGGGTATGTGACTATGTGGTAGAAACCGTACCAGAGCATTATTAGTTCGGGAGGCATGATTGGATAGGTAGACTCAATAGCGTTTTCCATCATGATAGCTAAAGAATATGAATGGCTTTCTGGTTGATCGAACATGAAAATGAGGTCGTCGGCGTGAAGCTCGGAGGACATCGAGCTCCAGCGGTGTTCTAGACCACTACAGGCCCGATTAGCGCTGTGACCCCGCCGCTAACGGGCTGCATGGCTCGTCCCGAAGCGCGGGATGGAGTGCTGGGTATTAGACGTTGTGCACTAACAGCAGCGTACTTTGAAGATACAGAAAGCTGTTAGCGAGACACGCACCACAAGAACTTGGTTAGCTCGACGTCATCAGCCATGTTATCGGTCGAATTATCAGTCGACCTTTCTCTTCCTTGTTCGGACAAGCTCTGTCTTGGAAGTTTCAGCTTGCTTTCCACCAACCCCTCCCTCCCTCGCTCGTCGTCCCCTCGTTTCCCCTCTCGCCGGCTTGACCATGGGAAATCCGAACCCAACAGTCGCTCCTGTTTGCTCGCGACCCGACCACTCGTTGAACGGGAAAGCTCCGATAAGGTGCAGCTGCGTCGGTTCCTTGTTTTGACGACGCCGGCTTTATCTTTGTCAACCTTCGCTCCTCCATTCTTTCTTTGCACGTCTCCTCGTCCCTCTGCGCGCCTCTGCTTCCACATCGCAGCGACATACAGCAACACCGAGCTTCGACGCGACACGCACAGCCGACGACAACATCGTCTGATCTGACAGACAGGGCAGCCATGGCGAGATTCGGTGCCTTTTCGCGCCTCTTGGGCCTGGACCGACCACCACATCGGCACGATAATTGGTGGCAAGAACATCGTCGACGACGTACGTCTGCCCTTCCCCTCTCCGAAGACAACCCCAGCTAACGATCCCAGTCCTCCCCAGCTACCGCGAAGATTCCTTCGTCTCCGCCATCCCCGCCGAAACCGTCACCGAAATCGCCCTCCGCATCCGCCACCTGATCGAGAAATGCGTCCCCCTCGAGCTCCCCGTCAATCAAATCACCTCTCCGAGTAGTAAGATCATCACGAAGAAGGTCCTCAAGGCAGCCAAGGAAGCCGGCGGCAAACATCACCGATCATGCGTCGTCTACTGTCTGCTCGTCAACAAGCGCTGGTGGAAACACCAAGCCCAAGTCGAACTCTGGGACGCCGACCTACACGCCCTTCGCGCCGTAGCTTGCGAAGTCATCGCCAAACAGATTATCGAGACGGAGGAAGATATCAACTTCTTGCTTCACCAGGTGCTGCTGAAGCGCTACTCGATCATGATCGACAACAAACCCACCAAGCCGTCCAACGTGGTAGAAAAGGCTGTCGACTTGCACGCTCTTAGGGTGATCGGCTCCTCCGGCTACCAAAAATGCATCAGTTACCTCTGGCGCGGCTGGCTGGTTCAAGACGAGAACGACCCGGCGACCTTCGTTGAGTACCGCGACAAAGACAATATTTCATTCTGGTCCCACTTAGACCCGGACCGGATGCGGGCCCCCATGTACCAAAACTGGACGCAGATGCTCATCAGTTTCATCTACCTCGTCCTTTACACTCTTGCCATGAACAGTGTCAATCCAGGCGGTCACATTGATGTAATCGAGGGTCTTCTATACGCCTTCACTCTCGGTTTCATGTGCGATGAGTTCGCCAAGATCTGGAAAGCCGGATTCGCCATCATCGACTTCTGGTCCGCCTTCAACAGCATCCTCTACGGGCTATTGACTACCTCTCTCGTCTTCCGCTTCATCGCCTTCTCCCACGACGGTTCCGACGGCGACTGGCGCCACCACTACAACACCTTATCATACAACTTCCTCGCCGTTTCCGCGCCCATGTTCTGGCTGCGCCTTTTGTTGTATCTCGACTCCTTCCGCTTCTTCGGCGCCATGCTGGTAGTCCTCAAAGTAATGATGAAAGAATCCATCATCTTCTTCGCCCTTTTGTTGGTGATCGTCGTCGGTTTCCTCCAAGCTTTCCTGGGTCTCGACCAAGCAGACGACCAAGTCGTCGAAGACGCCATGTTCATCGTGCAATCCATGGCCAACGCTTTGATGCAATCGCCCGACTTCTCGGGTTTCGAGCGCTTCAACCACCCCTTCGGTTTACTCCTCTACTACTGCTTCACTTTTGTAGTAATGGTCATCCTGCTCAACATCCTCATCGCCCTCTACAACTCCGCCTACGAAGACATCTACGACAACGCCAACGACGAGTACCTAGCCATGTTTGCGCAAAAAACGATGCAATTCGTCCGAGCACCAGATGAGAACGTGTTCATCCCCCCCTTCAACCTCATCGAGATCTTTTTGTTGGCCCTCCCGCTAGAGTGGTGGATGAACAAAACCACCTACGAGAAAGTAAACGATTGGTGCATGGCTACTATTTACTCGCCCCTCCTGCTTGTCAGCGCCTTCATCGAAGTCAAGACCGCGCAGGAGATTAGGGCGAACCGAGCGCGTGGGGACGGGGATGATGATTCCGTTGAGGAGTGGGAGCAGAGGATGGGAGACCTTGATTTTGAGGCGGATGGCTGGGCAAGCAGAGTAGAGGGGGCGAGGAGTAAGTTGGTTAAGATGCGAGAAGAAGAGGCGGAGGATGAAGAGAGTGGAGGGATTAGAGGGGAGGTGGCGGATGCGGAGGTGGAGATTGGGAAGTTGAGGGAGGAGGTTAGGGAGTTGAAGGGGTTGTTGGGGGAGTTGATGGGGATGATGCAGAAGGAGAGGGAGGGGAAGGGGAAGGAGGCAGAGGCGGAGGATGGAAAGGGGAAAGGGGCTGTGGGGGTTGAGAGTCAGGCCACTCAGGTGGTTGGAGGTGGTGATGGTGCTGGGAGCAGCAGCAGTAGTAGCAGTAGCAGTGGTGAAGGGGAGAGGGATTGAGGTTGTTATGGCTTGATGCGAAGGTGATGGAGGAGCCGAGTGCACGTCGCATACGTTACCAAAAGAAGGAGGTTTCAGGTTTAGTGTGATTAGGCGTTAGGGAGTGGCTTGAGTTTTATTTTTCCAATGATGAATTACGGGTAGGCTACTCTCTCCTCCCTGTTACTGAATGCTGGTATCTCTTCCCGAATCCCTTGTTGAATAGCTCTCGTGCCGCTGATTTCACCTTTGAGCCAAAGGGAACAAAATGCATATGGCCTCTCAATCACAGTTTACCCACTTCTTTTCTTGTGTTGGAAACCATATGGTCCGCGTCACGAGATTGATGGGAGTCCTTGATGCCACAGAAGCATGAAATGACGATAACGTGACGCCGTCCGTCCGACCAGACCGTCCAAGGGATCACAAAAAGGTTAAGCTGTTCGCAAAGCTATCATGTCCAAATGCTCATCAGTTATGTGAAATATCATAAAATCGTAGGTATGTCCAAAACTCATAATCCACATCGTCAAAAACGAGGGTATATCCACCAACTCGCTTCCTTCGTCATGAACATCATCATCGCCATCTCCATGACTTTTGAAGACTTTGTCCTCCCCCAAGTCCCAACTCAAACTCAGTAAGGAAAAACCCAAAGATAAGAAGCATCCTAAGCCATCTCAACCTCGTTCCTCTGCGCCTTCCCCCCAACACCTTCGCCACCTTCACTTCCACTCCCCACCCCATCCCCTCCATAACCACCCCTTTCACCATCATCTGCATGTCCATGCCCCTGCTGGTGCCGCGCAGCCACGGCCCCCCTCACCGTCTCCTCCCCCGCCACCTCCCTCACATCCTCATCCTCCGACACATCAAAGCTCCTCCCCAAATACTCCGGCCCCACCAACGTGAGGAGTATGACATACGCATAAACACACCCCATAAAGATACAGATCACCTTGCCGTACTCATACCTCTCCACCTTGCCTCCATTCTTGGCAAGAGGGAAGCGTTCGCCAATGGTACTTTCGATCGTCGAACTGGCACTGCTCACCAAGTTTCCGAGCTGGTAGGAGGTACCAACGACAAACGTCCTGAATGCTCCGGGCGAAAGTTCCATCAGGTGGATGGGAATAACGCCCCACGCTCCTTGCACGGCGAACTGCTCAAAGAAGGCCGAGGCGATGAGTTTCTTGTTGGAAATAAAGGTGTATGGGTAGAGTAAAGCGCCGCCGATGACGCACATGACGATTATCGAAATCCTGCGACCGAAGATCTGGGACACATATCCGACCAGGATGCCGCCCGACATGGCGCCGAGGTTGGCGACTACCTGCGTGACGGTTACCGCGTTGGCGCTGAAGGAGTATTGCGACTTGAGCATGGTGGGGTAGAGATCTTGCGAGCCGTGGGACATGAAGTTGAATCCTGCCATCAGCAGCACCAGATAGATCAGAATCAACCAGTGTTTTTTGAGGGCTACCTTGCCCTCCCTCAAAAACGTAGCTGACACCCCACCGCCCTTATCCTGTCCATTAGCCCTGGCCGTCCGGCGAACAGAAGCATGTTGCTCGTAAATCTCCGTTTCCGGAAGCATCAATCTCAATCCAATAATCAAGACGGGCGGGCAGGCGCCGAACCAGAAGAGCGGACGCCAGCCGTGCGAGGTGGTGTTGACCAGGCCCCGCGTAAAGGCGGCGGCGAGCAGGTAGCCGAAGGCGTAACCTTGTTGCAGGAGGCCGGACATCAGGCCGCGGGCGGCGGGGGGAAGGTCTTCGAGGGCGGTGGCGGCGGCGTTGCCGTAGAGACCGCCCATGGCGATGCCGAAGAGGGAGCGGCAGGCGAGGAATTGGGAGTAGGTTTGGGAGAAGCCGGTGCCCTGGAGGTTTTGAGGTTAGCGAGTGATCATTGTGCGCGCGTGCAGTTTTGAGATGTTGATGGGGATGGTGGTGGTGGATGTCCCGGTTGGATGAGAGTGACAAAGCCAAGACCCCATCTCCCCCAAACACACCGAAAAGACAACCAAACAAGCTTTCTCCAAGGAAAAGATGCTTCGCTTAGATGCAGAGAACCCCAAGAAGCCAAAGAGCCAAGACGTCAATGGCGTTCCTGGGCGCAGTCTTGGCTGCATCCTTTTCCCACGCAGGCCACGCAGGCCACGTGCCATGCATTGATTGCCATGCTTTTGCCAAGTATGTAGCCAAGTCATGACATTCGGTTGCTCCCGAATTGCGGGGGATGATGCATCGATCGTCATCCAGGAACATCCTTTCTGCCATGGCATCACCTCCACCTATTCTACTTCTTCCCTTCCACCAAGGCATTGTGTGAGGAAGATATAAAGGAAGAAAAAAAACTCACCAACTCCAAAACAATAAAAAGCAAATTGTTAAGCACAAACGGCCACTTCCTTCCGTACCGATCGGCCGCAATGCCAAACGAAATGGCGCCGATGGAGCGCAGCATGAGAACAAGGGTGATGCCCCATGTGATGTCGGTGTTGGTCTTGCCGAAGGCTTCGGCGAGCTCTTCGACGGTGAGGGAGACGGTGAAGAAGTCGAAGGCGTCCCATGTCTGCATATGTTTTTGGGTTAGTAAGTGTAAGTTGATATGGTGTGCGGCTGAGGGTTGAGTGGGTTGGTTGGCGGTGTAGTGCCGGAGTCGTGATATCGGAGTTTTGTGGGATTGTGGTTTTTGAGGTTGCAAGGGGAAGTGATATGTTGACGATTGGGGAGTTGAAAAAGATAATGTGGGGAGATTTGAGGAAGACGTGAATGGGGGAAACGCAAAAAGGTGGTGATAATGGATGAACGAAGCGGTGATGAAGACAAGAACAAACTAACCCAAGCAAAGAAAGCAACCCCAAAGAAAGCCCACTGCCGTCCCGTAATCATCCTCAAGATCCTGATCGGGTTCGGCGCCGGTCGCATAGCCGGCTTCAGCGTCGTGAAGCGCGTCTTAATGTACTGCCCGATTGACATGCCATGGTGCGGTGCTTGTTCGTGTCCATTTTCGTCGATGATTGTATTCATCCCGTTGTTCTCGGCGTGCTGGTGGTGGTGGTTTGTTGCGCCAGCGCCGACGCCGGGTGGGACCGCCTTTTCGGGGTCGGGGGACGCCATTGTGGAATTGGTATCGGTATCGGTATGTCTGTGTTGGGTAGGTAATGTCGTAATAGAAAGGTATCGATGTTAACTAGACGCCTATCGCGGCGTCGTTGAAAGCAGGTGTCTAAAACATAGGTCGCTGTCGCTGTCGGTTGTTGTATGTAGGTCGAAGGTACCTAAGAATCGATGAAGACAAAATGACGGGTCTCCGCGTCTAGGAATTGGAATCCGTTCAGACGAGATAGGAAGAAGGGAGAGAAGTCGAGACGAACCGGTGGAGGGGAACACCACATCCATATACCACCACCCTCTTCACCCTCTTCCTTATCAAGAAATCTCTTCCCCCAGTCCTAACTCGGCGAGTGTCATCGACCCAGCCATCACCGTCCCTTGTCTCCCTTGTGCCCTCGCTCTTTTCTTCCCCAGCTCGCAACCGGGCCCCAGGGCCGAAAAGGCAGCGATCGACACGACATTGCACCTTCTTTTCTCTCTCCCCGCCTCTCTCTCTGACTCGCTCTGTGGTAGCTGCAAGCACTGCAGGTGGCGGCAGCAGTCAACTGCAGTGGGACACCGTCTGCAGTCATCTGCGCCAAGCTTTCCTGCAGGGTTGACTGTATTCCCAGGTTGCGTTGTTTGCGGGGCGCGCCATATGGCCGGCATCGGGGGCCGATGACAAGCGATGGCCAATGGATTGAGTTCTTTGATGCTGAAGTCAATGTTGGTCGGCTCAGTCTGGCCATTCACAGCAGAAAGTGCTCCCCAAAAGCGATGTCCTGGTCAGCCTAGTCGAAGAGGTCGAGATCGGATCCCTTTTCCCGTGGACCTGCAGAGGTGCCGGTGCCGGTGAGCCGCCGTGTCATCGGCTTTGCTTTAGCCTTCGGTCTTGTTTGTTAGCGGCTTTTGATAGACAAGGGGTTGGATAAAGAATGATCCAAAACGATTTGAGATTTGGAATCTTTGTCTGGGTGGGAGAGAACCAGAGTGCCAGCACCTCTGATGTCACCGCCCTACCGCCCCAAGTTCTCCAAGTCTTTGATTCCAAGTTCCCCAAATGCCATGACAGTGACTCAACAGCCGACACCGTTTCTTCCGAAAGGTTTCTGCTGCAGATGATAAAGATATCGGCTTGTGTCGGTCAAAGCTTACGGCGAGACCGGCCCTTGGCACGTATATATGTTTGCTGAAGCTTCAATTTGTTCTCATGAATCGTGAACACACGGCATGAGACAAGGATCAGTAAGGTAGACGTCCGAGGCAAACCCGCCGGGTTTTGGTGTCGATTATTGTACCTTCTCGCCTTTTGGTGGCCAAAGCTGTTGTATCTCTTGGCGCCAAGTCACAAAGTTTTTATATTCTGGATTAACGTCTCGCGGGTTTTCGGCTTTCGGTGGTAGTCGGTGGACCCCCGACCCCGGATGTTGTTTCCCAAGAATCTCGAAGGCTGGGTGGGCGCTGCGGCTGGAGAAGCGCCGGGCCGAGACCGAGGGAGCGGGCGGGCGGGCGGGGAACCTGGAAGGTTTTTTTTTTTGGAGATCAGCGTGTGGGGGAATTCCACAATTTTGAGTTTTTGACTCGCACACTTTCCACTTTTGACCACACGATATTTGTCAGATCTGGATACTACGAGGGACTGGTATATTTGAGGCCGGTCTTGCCGTACGTAAGCTTTGACCGACACAAACCGATATCTTTGTCATCTGCAGCAGAAACCTTTCGCAAGAGACGGTGCCGGCTGCTGTGTCACTGTCACTGTCGTGACATTTTGGAGACAGTTGGGGACTTGGAGAACATGGGGACATGGTAGTATGTCTAGTATGAAAAAGGTTGGAGTTGTTGGACATGAAGGGTCACTAATACATAGGCTAGGTACACGTGTACACTAGAACGACAGGCACCGATCGTAGTATCGTGCCTTTGTCTTATCTGCACGTGGAGTTTTGGAGTCTGCAGGAGAAAGGTACGCGAGACCGCTGATCGTTCTCAGTGTTGATCGGTGATTGTGTCGGTAGTTGTCCAAGCAAACACATCTTCTGGTGCGACACCAAGTATGTGCGAGCGCTACATACTCGATATGGACATGTATTTCATGGCCAGACAGGCCTGTCTGGGACAGTAGAAATCACTTTTCGCCTTGTTTCTCCCGACCTGCCTCATTCTTTGACACACCGGCTGTGGTTTTGATGTGTTTCAACGGTACTCACACGCCCATAGTCCGACAATGGCTTTCCAGAGACACGGTATCGGATCAACCACGCAATGACAGAGAGAGGACCAACAACCAAGCAGCGTAAACAGTCTTAATCCTCATGAATACGACAATCGCTAAAACGAACAAGTGGACATACAAGTCCTATCTTCGCAAAAAGTAACTAAGCAGAATCAGATACAAACTTCGAACAACAACCGAACAAACAACCCAAAGGCCAGAGCATTCTCCCATGATGATCAACAGCGACGACAAAAGCGTCATTAAAACGCCTTTAACACCAACCGAACCAAACCAAGCCAACACCAACCGAATCCACGGGGTCATGTCACTGACTGACCGAAACCACAACGCAAATCGTTCCGTTGCAGACAATGCCGCCAATCCGCCCTACAACAGTTCTGATCCTGAACAGGTAGAAGAAGAAAGACAAAAGAAACAGGGGCAGAGAACTAAGTACCCAGAGAATGCCATCGACATCCGCCACTCAGTCATCCTCATAATGACACAGGCAAGTCCCAGTCCATCACCTCATCGTATCATACAGACTCCCACGAAGAACAAGCTCCAATGACGGCCTTAAACACCACCACCCATAAACGCAGCCAAATCATCCAACTCCAACAACTGCCTCTCGAATGCCTGGCAGAGTTCATTAGCCGTCATGTCCACAGCATCCGCCCCGCCAGGAGGAACACTCGCTCCCTGCGTGTTGGCCCCTCCCTGATTTGACACCGATGACTGCGCGCTAGGCGAGTCCACCTTCATCTGCTGATGCTGCAGCACCGGCGTCGCGTGCGGTGGCGGGCTAGTCGTCGCGACCCTGGTATCGACCGCACCGACCGATCCACCGTTAATGGTAGTGATACCGGGACGTCTAACAAGGGGCGTTTCGCCGACTTCGCTACCAGCTGCTCCCTCGATGGTCGGAGTGGGAGCACCGGGTGAAGCAGCATTGGGTCCCTGCGATCCAGGACCAGTGCTATTGGGCTGGACGGTGTCGAACTCCATCGCTTCGGGGTTGGTGGTGTCGGGAGGGGTGGCGACGTCATCCTTAATGTGGGGAGAGGCGGCGTGCATCGTGGCGCGGCTATCTTCGCGCGCCTCGCGATCGCGGCCCAGTACCTTCATATCGCGCAATACCTTAGACATAACCGTGAGGTGACGAGCCCAGGGCGTAACCAGGGGCCACGACTCAGATCCATCCTGGCACAGGCGCAAGCTGTCCCTAACAATGCTACTAGCGGATTCGGTGACGGTGGAAGGAGCGAGGCCCTTGAGGGTGAGGTATGCCACTGTCGAGCCGGCGGTAAAGGCTGAGAAGAGCATGAAAATCGGGAAGCACACCATTATGTCCTTGTCGGCTCCGTGCTCGAGGGCGAGAAGAGAGTGGATGATGCTGTGAGAAGCGGCGAAGATGCGATCGACGGTTTGCATGTGCGTATGAGAAGCCATGCGCCAAGCGTCGATGGTGAAGTTCTCGTCGGTTACCACCTGGAGGATGCGGCGTCGGTTTACGAAGATGGTCCCGCAGTTAAGGAGACAGTGAATCATGGCGTAAGTATAGCCGCTACCCATGGTGATGTGAAGGTTGATCTGACCGGGCTTGTCGGCAAAGTGGGGAGGAAGCGATTGGCGGAGGGTATCGATATCAGCCTCCAGCGCAAGGCACTGTGTATCCGAGAAGGTTTCCAGGGTGGTGGTCGTCATCATCTCGACGACGTTGCGCCAGGCTCTAGTGGCGAGAACAATGTGACCAAATTCGCCGACCTCCGAGAGAGCAGCGCCGGGCTCTGCGTGGGATGGGGCGGCGCCGCCAATGGTTCTAACGACAACAGGGCTGCCAAAGTTGAAGTTCATGTCTGCGCACGGAAGGGCAATGTCGAGAACATCGTGGGTCGAAAGAGCGGGACGACGGCCGGGGCTGCTGGTAAGGAAGCAGTCGAGAATGTAGATGAGCCATAGAGTACGGCGGAAGCTTTCGTCCTGCAGGAACTGGTCGGGGTCCGAGTTTCGCTGCTGTGCGGAGACAATCCTATACATCTGGATCATACGGGCAGCTTGGCCGAGATAGATGTAGGCACGAACAGCCTCCCTGCAGCCCCATTCGTGGATGACGAGAAGGCAGAGGGCCTGGATGTCGGCAAGACTAGGTGAAGCCAAGGACTGCATTACAAGTTGACCGGCCTTCTGGGCGAAATGCTCAGCAGCGCCTGCGCCGCCGAGTTGTCCTCCATAACGTCGAATCATGGCCGGAGAGTGGCGAGCAGCTGTGGTGAGGAGGGCATTGACCAAGGTCCATTCCATCGAGGCATTCTTGAGTTGCTGTAGGCAGGAAGGCTTGTGGAAGGCGACACATGCTGGGAGGGTCTTGTTGATAACACGCTCGCATTCTTGGAGGAGTTCGGGGGTGAGTCTGGAAAAGGTAGTAATGTTACATTTGTTAGTCATGTTTCCGAGTAGATGGAGAAGGAGAGATGGAATGATAGGAACGATGGCATTTAATGTCAATGAACGAAGGTGTGGTGGTTGGTGGCCAGACCACAAAAAACCTGGAAGGTGTTGCGAGCCAAATGAAAAGTTTGTTGTCTGCAGGGCAAATGACAGGCGGTAGGTGCTGCAAACACCAAGGAAGGAACAACCCGCGATGTTTCCCGTTGTGTTGTTGACGATGGATGCTTATCTTATCGTATCGGGGACCCGGGCGGAAAAGGTGGGGCAGGCAATGATGCCGGTGCCGGAAAGTGGGCGGGCCGGCAACCCGAAAGCGTCCCCTCTGTGCGCACTGACGCGGCGGCGGGGGCGGGGGTGCCAAGCTGGGCGAATGTGTAATGGTGATTCAGAAAGGACGGAGGAGTCCGCAATTGGGCACGGAGCTCTGGTGACCAAGCCTCCACCAAAAGGACTCCGTTGGCTCCGTTTGCAGGAGGGGTGTCGAAGGGGGGTGCACGGGGCTGAGGGTACAAAGACGGTTTGGGAATGGAAGCCGGGCGGAGAAAAAATGGGGGGGTCGGGGGGGTCGGGGGGCGGTGCGTCCTTGTTGCTCCGAAGAGGCAGCGCTAGAAAATGCACTCTCCCTCCGGTGGACGAGCGGGCGGGCGGGCAAGAGCGCCCAAGGCAACCACCACCGTGGAGCAGCATGTGCCCACCTCGGCGGTGCCCGTGCGCCCTCCCTCGGCCAGTGACTGGAGTGGGCAGTGGGCGAGAAGGAGGCGGGCGGAGGATGGCGGATAGCGGAATGCGCGCATCGCTGGTTCCGGCGCTTGCGTCCACTGGACTTGTCGGGCCACCAAAGGGGAGCGGGAGGGGAGAAGTGTCCGGTCCAGCACTTGACTGGCAGGCAGTGGGAACAGAGAAAAAACCAACGATGGCAAATGGAAAAGCGCGCAAAGGTTTGTCTAGTAAACCACTTGGATGCCATCATGACTTAACAACGACAAGGGGGAAAAGGACCAGGAAACACGTACTTTTCGTTGGTGGTAGAGACGTGACGCGACGCACCGACGGACGGCGGTCCTCCGCGGTCGCCAGCAGAGGTCGGCACGATGCGCTCACTAGGCAGACTCTCGCGAGGTCGTTGTTGGCGATTGCTGGGTGCTACTCCTCCGTGGGCGTGAGCCATACTCTCCGAGGGAAGATAGCATTCGTGCATCCCCTTGGCGCAGTTCTTGCATGGTGCTCGGCCGTTCTCGTAGACACACTTGGTCTTGCCCTTGCGACACCGAACACAGGCTCCTCCAGCGCGGAGGGCCGTGGACCTAACGACCGACGACATTTCGGTGACCAAAAGGCCGGATGGTGGTGGTTGCTATTAATGTTTGGCTGGTGGTAATCGACAAAAAGAAGATGCGCGCGCGCAATGTCGACAATAATGATGGTGTGTTATTGTAGTGATGATGCTGTTCCGTTGCTGCTGTCGCTTCAGTTATGGTGCTTGTTGGGAAAAAAGAAGAAGTTGAAAAGGTGCAAGTGAAGGCGCAAAGGACGGGTGCCGAGTAATGGCCGACTCGACCGGAGCTGAAAGCGAAAAAGGCCGGAGGTCGCGCCGAGGACTTTTTACAAGTCGAAAAAAAAGAGCAGAGCAGTCGGACACGTTGAACTGATTGACGATAGATATCACGGCGCCGGGCTGGTGGTCAAAGTGTTCCGGAGAGAGATCGGGAGGCGAGAACCACGGGAGAGGAAAAGGGAGGGGACGGACGGAGAAAGAAGAGGAAGAGAGGGACCTGATCGTGTCTTGTGGGCGGGCGCGGCAGGAAGCACGGGGGGTGGGAGGGGGTAAAAAGGGAGCAGTCGAGCCCTTTCGGCGGCAGCGCTGTCTCCAAGCGGGCACCGTCTGGCGACCGTCTGCCGCCTGCGAGCCACAATGGGAACGGACGGATCGGCTGCTGGTGCCGGGGCTCGTCAATTAAAGCGGGGCCTTGACCCCTTCGCTTTCGGAAGTCACCCGCCAGCCGATTTGGGGGGGGAAGTGACATGGTGGGCCAGTCCAGGCTCCGACCGGCGTCACCGTGACCTTGGTTCGCGTTCGAGGTCTGCTCCAAGCCTGCGTCCAGTTGCCTCATCGTCACAGCGCTGCTGGACTGGACCAAAAGCCGTCGCGCAGCGGCCGGAGACTATGGGGTCCGGGCCGGGAGTCACGTTAATCAATCAAGGTTCAGCTCGCACTAGGAGGCTTATCTAATCGCCAGAGAGACTTGATTGTTACAAGCCAGTTAAATGTTATTCACAGTTGAATACCGAAAATGTCTATTTATCTACCTTATGAAATTCGTCCAGACAGAAAGTGGAAAAGAAGGACGTCATACATAATGAGAGTGCCAATGCCGCGCGGACATTAAATACGGTGGGCAAGTTCCGGGAGACACGGGATTCATGGTGGTTGCAGCCACTAAAGAGTGCAGCTATTTGGGGCTGAATCCCGTCGCGTGAATAGAGCCACGCCGGACATTGCAACTTGCCCTCAGAACGGACAGGTTCCAGTCTGCCTGATGCACCCGGCCCGCGACCGAAACATTCCATTTCCTGTATCAAAAAAATGTTGACGGTGCACACTCTCACACATTCTTCTGTTATCGCCCGACGATCCCCGGCTTGTAATTACATAGCTGCGGTCGTCGGCCGCTTCCCTTGCCCACAGCGGGCTTGTCATTTAGGTTGGTTGTTTGGACAAGAGGGGGGTCCCGCCGGGGACGGTCAAAGACCCGGCTTCCAATCTCACACTCCACTTTTCATAGGTCATTCCGAACCATGACGTTCTTTTTCAGATGATCCGGAGAGCAAATGCCAAATACACTGCAAAGAAGGAATAGAGTTGCAAGCTTTGTAACAAAACCAAACAGGCGTCTTCTATAAAACGGCTTTCTTTCCTCCACACAAAAAGCATGGCACAGCACTCAGAGTCAGCCCAGCCAGCCCAGCACCCAGCGCCCAGTCAGCTCATCAGCGCCTTCTCCCTTCTCCGTCGGAGGTCGGTTACATTCACCGGTCGGGGCCAGGCTTGCATGGAGGTACAAGCACACACCGGGCGCAACGGGATTTCAGGGGGCCTGGCGATCGAGAGGTCCAAAGTGAAAGTGCCCTGGATCATACAAGAAGAAGACTCGGCGCCATGACGAAGTTGTGGCTTGTCGTCGCATTCTTGTGAAATTGCCCTGTTTACGCCTTTACGGTACCTCGTCGCCAAAGGTTCACATGATGACCGAGATCATCGCCTTGTTGGTTTCGACGGATACAGCCTGATGCAAGCTAGAACACGGCGCCAAGCAGGGCAGGATGACGGCTGTGAGCCTGTGACGCCCCGGGCAACTTGCCTGGAAACTGGCCGGCCCTGGAAGCTGGATGGATGGATGGATGATGGAGAACCCACCCCGGCCCCTTTTTCCTTGGCTTCCGGCGTTGCATTCGGGAGGACTGATCAGAGACACACGTACTGATCCCGCCGTCCCCCTTCCCTTCCTTCTACTCCAATCCCCAATCCCCCCTTCTTCCCCTCACTCCGGCTCGTCCGTTCTCAGCAGCGGTGATGCTAATTTCCAGTCCAATTTTAGGACATTGGGTGAACTGAATGCCCAGCTGGCGCGACGCCTGTGTCGTTCCGATACTGTCTCCTTTGCCCATCGCATCGCAAGCCAAGCCCCTTATCGGCTTCAACCAAGACCGAACCAGGCAACGGCTCGTGTTTGAGATATGGCTGCGCCCGCGCCGCTCCGGTGCCTTTTTTCTAACACCGAGAGAACTGTCGCGCAACCTACCGGATCACATCTTGGTCGCATACGAGGTGTGCTCTGCGCTCTGTACGGTGAGTGGTCGCCTTCCACATTCCTCCAAGGACCCCGCCCCCTTTCTTCTGTCATTCAACAACTCGGAACGAGCTGGACTCCCGTCTTTCTGGAGAACGCGGAACAGGGAACAGGGAGTGTGGGCCCACCAGCACGGGACGGGACCTGCGTTTGGAACTTCCGAAACTTGACACCCCGACAGTCCAGCCAACGAACGGGGAGACATTTGATGAGATTCCAATCGGAGGCAGCACGTCGACCCGAGACCCGTGACCCGTGTGTTCTCCACCTCTTCGTCCGCGACAGATTTGCCAAGACTGCCTGCCGCCCGCTCTGCCAGCCGGTTGCCACTGGCAGGCAAGAACTCGGAGTCCGTATGGTCCCACATTTCTCCGAATCAAGGAGGTCCGAGCTCCAAGCCAAGCTGAGGTTCCCGAGTCCCCCAATTAATAGGTTCTCATCAGTGCATCTCATCAGTCATCAATCATCCGTCATTGTCATCCAGCCAGCTCTCCGTCCGGCGTGACGCCCGCCAAGTTTGGGATTCAGTGTGTGTTGTGTCGAATGATGCGGGCGTCCTGCGACATCACATCTTTCGTCATCATCGTGATCCGAAATGCAAAAGAAACGGGATCCAAAAAGCTGAAGGGTGCAACATCTCTCGGGAGCCGCCCTCAGTCGTCGGCCCGGCCCTTTCCCCTACTTAGAAAAGTGGCTCCATTCGGACACGTTCCGCCCACGGTGTCGCGGACTCGCTCGCGGACCACATGCAATTCCTGCAACACGAGAAATTGTACGCCGGCGCGCGCACCGGAACAAATCATCATCAAAACTTGTGGACCCAATAGCCGAATCTCGCAAGGTCGGGTGTGAGGACTGCAATTTCGGTATGTTCCAGGTGTCCATTTCATTCGCATTTCTCCTCCGTGCCGCCCGCCCGCACATCAGCTTCCCGTCGCCGGTGTATTTTGTACACTCCGCATTCTTGCTGGAAATGTACGGGCGGGCGCGGGGCGGTCATGTCCGAGATTTCCATCTTCCATACCGTCATCACGAAAATAGACAAGCACGGTACGGTATGTCTAGAGGTATATGTATGAGCTGCAGCTCTCAGGCTAAATAACATGTCTTTTCATCATCCATCAAATGTCAAGGTCAGTCTCAACCGATCACCCGGTGTAACCCGCAATGCGGACCGGTGTCCGAGGGATCGTTGAGGACGTGTCGACGTACGCGGCGTGGCGGCCAACTCAGGGCTATCGGACTCTCCTAGCACTTGAGGTTTCCGACGTTCAACTTCTTATCTCGCCCCGCCGTAAGCCGGATATCCCGGGTCCAGTCGAAATTGGACGGAGCGTCCCGTCCGACCGCCTACCTTGGAAATCTCCACTTTTTTGCATCGGCGCCGCCGCCGTCATCATGAACCCACCGTCGCATTTCTTGGCACGCTGGTTGTGCCGATTGTGCGGTCCGGTCATTTCTCGGCGGGCAAACGTGTGTTCGGGCCCGATATCATGACAGAGGAATGACGCCGTCGGCGCAAACCCGTCAATCGGCCCGGACGTGCGGCGCTCAAAAACAGCCGAAACACACTCGACCATCGGCCCATGTCATACGGCAGTCGCAACTGGTTCACTGCACCCGTCACCCGTCACCCGTCACTGTCGGACGAGTCGCCCTTGCGCTGGGCTGTACCTGCCGATGCCGGCTGCACTGGTGCGTCGCGGTTGCTGCTGCGTGCTGCCGTTCCGTCGGTGTCAGGCCGAGGACGGAGCTCTACCTAGGTACCTACCTATGTACAGCAACGTGTACGCGACGGGATGCGCGCAGCGTCACCAGAGTGCCGACCAGACCTGGATGACACCAACGATCAACCGCATCGTCGGCCGACTCGGGCTGATATTCACTTTAACATCTACTGCCGACCCGACCCGGGAGCCGCCATGACCACCCACGGCCACGATGCCGCTCCGGTTGGGTTTGTCGCTATTTCCATATTACCCAAAACCATCCACTGTTTGCGGTACCGCCTGGCGGTGCCTACCTGTACAGTCTGTACTAGATCGCTCTTGCAAAGTTGCAGCGCAGCTGATGCCCGCAATGTTCTGATTTCCAAGATCACCGGGCTCGTTCCTTCCATCCCCGTGGAAGAAGCTATGTTCGGAGATTGCGATGATTTGCTCAAGGACTGGAGGTGATAAGCATGCCAAAAGGAGGGGGGGTGGGTATGGACATGGAGGGGATGGGGCGGGGAGTGGAAGTGGAAGTGGAAGTGAGGGGGGAGAAGAGGCTGCGGCTGCGGCTGCGGCTGGGAAGGCGCAGAGGAAGGAGGTGGAGAGGGTTTAGAATGTTTATCTTTGGGGGTTTTCCTTATTGAGTTGGGTTGGGGAGAAAATGTTTTTTTTTTTGGTTATGGGAATGTGGGGATGCGGATGATGATGATATGCGTGATGAAGGAACCGAGTCGCGCGGTGGATATACCCTCGTTTGTTATGATGTGGATGATTAGTTTTGGGTATATGACTTGATGACACTTTACATAACTGATGAACTTTGAACGTAACGGTTTTGCGAAGATGCCGATCTGATCGTGATTCCGTGCATGGTCTCGTCGAAACGCCTCCACGTATCTCGTAATTTTCAAATGATAATTCCAGTTGGGTCCGTATAATAGACCAAGACCTGTACATTGAGGAAAGTGATGCGATGAGAACGAATACGACAAGGAAAATCGGTTTTTTTTTTTTTTTTCACTAGCAAAAGACCTGAGAGCAATCACGATGAACACAGCCGAAAGAGCAGTCTAGGTACAGGCTTGACGAAATATTCGTACGTGTAATTTACATGTAACCCCCTATGTCAATTCAACGATGCAACAGGCTCCGTTCAAGGACTAGCCGTGTTAGTCTGCTAACATTTCAGTCTCTTATATGGTAGTATACAAAATAGTTGGGCATCTCAGTTGACCAATGTCCTGTCAAAACCGAAACCAGACTTGCACAGCAAAAATCACTTCTTAACCTAATTCTCGTTATGACTAAATTTGGGCTTAATAGTTACACTACCACCGTCAGCCCGGGTAGAACGACGCCACTCACTGGAAAAGCAGAGACCTTCCCTGTGTTTTAAATGCGAGCGATTACTGCCATCGGCCCTGGGTGGTTCCGCACCGATATCTCTTTTTGGTAGAGGCGCTCTCACTTGCCGAGGGAAGACAGGAAGGCAATAAGCTTCTTCTTCGTTTCCTCAGTCGCTTCCGGATGCGAACCATAGTTCCATTTCAACGGTCTCGGCGCCGGCCTGGAAGTCCTGTTGCCGACCCCAGGGATCTTGGAGGCGTCCAATTGCAAGGGCACGTACTTCCACACCTGCAAGAACTTTTTGTCTTCCGTCTCCGACGACATGGCCTCAAAGGCCGCCTTCATCTTTCCAGAGGCCCGGAAGTCAATAGGTCCATCGTATTCATCAGAATCATCGACAGACAACTGAGTCAATCGGTCGCAATAGATCAGTACCCCCGCCAGCCCGGCCGCCAGCGCGGTCGATATCGAGCTCCCCGCGGTCGGCAACTCGTTTCCGTATCCATGCCTACCACCACCACCACCCCCACCAGATGTACTGTGTCCGCTGTGGTGGCGACCGACGTGCACAGTCTCGTCCCCCGGCAAGAGAAAGTTGCTCCTGTTAGCCGATACCCACGACAGCTTCGCACCATCACCCGCCGATGCCCCGATCTTGATGCAGGCCGCAATCCTCCCTGGGTAGGTATGGTCGTCAACCATAGGGCCCTCGTCAATGCTAGAGCAAAACATGACAATCTTTCGTCTTGCTGCCTCCTGCAGCGCGTCCTCCAGCGGCTGAATCGTGTTCTTCTCAGGGTCGATGCTCCAGCTCATGGAGATGATGTCAACGCCCTGGCTGACCGCCCAGTTGATCGCTTCAATGGCGCTGTGGTGGGTAAACCCGCGGCGTCCGTCGTGTCTGGGAGCCGGTTCCAGCTGGGCGATGTACAGCTTGACGACAGGGCAGATCTCGCAGATGAGTTGCGCCATGAGGGTGCCGTGGGGACCGGTAGGGACGTAGTAGGAACCGTGACCGCGGCCGGAACCGGGTTTGTAGAAGGACTGGCCGGTCTGGATCCGGCCCGAGAAGACGCCAAGGGTGCTGTCGATGCCGTCGTCAATGATGGCAATCTTGACCAGTGGCGCCGCTGACACGCCTCTTGCGTCAATCGTGGAACGAAGGAAGTCGGCAAATTGCTTCATCGTTCTCATCCACTTTGACTCCCTGCAGAAGGTGTGTTGTGGTTAGCTATCCGAATGAAGATTGAGCTGCAAGTCGGTGGCTGACCTGATAAGTTTGTCGGAGCTGTGACCGACGAAGAGGGAATGGCGACTGGGAATGTCATTGCCCCAAGACACCTTGATGTCGGGCCTGAAAATGGCAATCTCTTCCACAAACTTCTTCTTGTACTGCTCGAATCTCGCAGATGACTCCAGTCCCTAGAGGCGGCTTAGTGGGCTGTTGCAAGAATTTCAGGCAACTACGTGAGTGACAATGCCAAAGGTCAAACGGAAAAAGATAAGGGCTTACCTCTCGGACATATATGCGGACCTTTCTCAGCTAAAACCAAGCCGTCAGTTGATTTTACTCGCCGTATCCTCACCATTTCTCACTTACGCTCTTGAGTTGAGGCAGGCCAATTAAACTCGACCAGCCAACAAGTACCGCGTTATTCCCCGAAGAATACAGCGTAACATCCGTTACTTTTGGTGCCGAGCACAAAATGACGTCTGAGCAGATGTCCATCTTCCGCCAATTCCATATCCGGACATTGAGCCCCTTCATGCAGGCCTCGATAGCCTCGTCCGAATGCGAGGGCTCTGTGTCGTCGATCACCGTCACTCTAAGAACCGTTCTAACGTTTTCCAACTTGAGCCAGTTGAAGATGGTCGTCATGTGCTGGAGACCTTTGCCCTTATACCTGCTCCAGGTCCGTGACCAATGCGCATTCTTGCTTAGCTGGCCTTCCCTTTCTGGTTATGGGTGCGTCGGACTCCTTTGAGTGATGTGATTTAGAACTTACCTTCTGCCCCCTTGTTCAAGTCGCCGTTTGATGATAGCCTCCATGTTGGTGCCGCTGTCTTCTTTAACCGGATCGTCTTCGACCATTAGTCGCGGTAGAGCAACATATTTGAGCAATCCTTCGAAGTGCAAGACATTTCCAAGACCCTCGAGAAAGTTTGCGTTGATGGACGTATAAGGCAGGCCCGAAAGATCGAACTCAATGGTTCGTTCTTCATGCACATGTCAGCGTTTTCTGGGGATCAGGACTACTAGACCTTCCTGTCCAAATTTCACCACTCTCAGCGGTCGAGGACCGCCCATTCCCAACTCAAAGGGTAGAAATACATACCAAATCCAGGCTTGTAGAGTGCTTGCATAGCAGTTCTCCGATCAAACTTGTCGATGACGTACTCGCGGATGTAACTGAGAATCTTGTCTTCGTTGATGATTTGCACTTCGACCTGGTGTTTTCTCTTCAGCTGCTGATCCTCAGTTGCAAGAGTGTCTGCATCTGCTTGGAAGTTTTGGCTCTCCTGACTTTGAGTCGGCGCAAGCGGGGCAATGGTAGTGCTCGCCCCCGAGTTATGTTGATCTTGTTGCCTTTGACCCCCCAGATAACTTGTGCGGGTCTGCCAACTGCTGATGGTAGCTGTATATTCTTCTTCAGAATCGTTGTGCAGTGACTGATCATCATCAACATCAATGATGGCCTCCGAATCACGATCCTCTATCTGTGAAAGCCGTAGCTGGAACGGTGTATGACCCTTATCATCCTTGTACAGAAGAACCATGGGGTTGGCCTCAATCAGTTGTTGGACAACCCTCAGCTGGTTATATGTGCGCTGCCACTGGTACTTCTCGTCCTGTTCACGTTGTTCATGGACGCGGGTAGACGTCTCATATGTCCGAGTTGATGACCCCGGGCCTGATGGATCGGAGTCGAAGATCACATAGGTCTCGCTTATACAAGGGAAGCATGATGCATCTTCCTCACTGTCACTTGCGCTGTCTTGGTCGCTGTCGCCATCCCCATCCTCATACCGGACTGCGAAGTGCAGTGCCGTCCACCCGCCCTGACCTTGGTGTTTGTTGCAAGACTTGCTGGTGAACACGTTTCGGTATTCCTGGGGCAAGGGTTGGGTGATTGGAACCTCAGCACCGCTCTCAGAGTCCGAATTGTCAGTCGTGGTAAATTCTGCGTCTCCGTGTCCGGACTCGTCCGCGAGAATGCTAATGATTGACTCCGTAAGAGGGCTCGAGTGATGAATTGCTTTCTGCAGGCAGTTATTGTCCAAATGGCATGCTTCCTGCAGAAGCTCTTTGACCCGCATCTTGTCCGACTCACAGAGGGCCAAGAGAACCACCTCAACAAAGACGTGGCTATCGTTTTCTATGGCCAAGTGAAGTGGTGTGACTCCATATGATGACTTAAACTCGAGTAGGTTGGAGTAGTTCTTGACGGCCCACCTGGTGAAGCTTTCGAGCTCCGCAAACTCATCGTTTGGCTTTCGTGCCACGACATGGAGAATCTCGTCTGCTTGGTTGGAAGCTGAGATGGGAGTTCTTGAGGATCTGGAGGGATGTGACCCTTGTGAATTTGGCCGTTTCGAGAGCCGGTTGAGGTATGTGGCCCTGAACTTCTCACAGGCTGGTCCATCGTTGAAGTTCACCTTCTTGGCATCCTTGAGGATTTCTTCGATTGTCGTCTGCTTTTTCTGGGGTTTTGTCGAGTCATGCTTTTGGTCTCCATTGTCTTTCTTCCTTTTTCCCTGTACTGCCCTTGGCCCAGCGTGACCCATGATTCCTGACAAGTGAAACTAGGATAGAAGGGAGAGCAAGCAAGTTTGAGAGTGCGCTCTAAGAGAGTGCGATGTGAGCTTATCTGGGCAAACAGAACCAAGGGGAAGAATGTGAAGGAGGTCGAACCTTGAGCAGAAGATGCGTCCCGGATCCATGTTAATGTGACGGCTTCTGACGGCTTAGCTTTGATACGCTGCAAGGTTGTGCCAAGACGGTATTGTCAGCTCAAGACCTTGTGCGTCGTGGCGTCAAGCGACCTGATGCAGCCCATATTGGGCCTCAATACTGGGGGCGGTATCTCAGTCTTATTTCAAAGAAGGCGCCATACGATACTTGTGCACTTACCACGGCTGTATTGTATACCTAGGTACTTGGAGGTTCTTCAATGTACCTGAAGCGCTACATGTAGGGGCTGATATTGCCTTCGCTTGTTTCGCTTCTGCAGCGTGTCTCAAGGGCAGATATCGTTGAACTTGTACTTGTGCGAGCAGAGAAGTTCAACATTTGGACCTGCCATTGTTAGCTCGTATCAATATGGTCCATGATAGCAGTGCCTTTCTGCAACTTGACGCCTCCGACAATGGTTTCGGTGAGAGGGATTGCTCATGCTACACGCTCAGCCACTTTAGGCGGGAACGGAAAGAGTACGCGGTTAGGTATAAAGCTGTTATGTCTTCTGTGATCCTGACATTTCATGGCCATCGCTATATGACTGTTGTGTCGACCTACTTCCTCACTTTAATTGAGAACCCCCACCCAGCGCTTTCAGGTGTTTGTCCGACCGTCAAACATGGAATCCACGTACAAAATAACACGCGATCTCCACGAAGATGTCTTCTCGGATGAAGGCGACCAAACTTCCTATCACACACGCAACACGGAAGGACACACATTCAGGACATCCCTAGCCCACACCCTGAACCGCTCATCCAAGCTCAGTTACAGTGCCGAGCTGATCGAGGTTCACCATGGAACCATGCTACACCCCAATAAAGGTGCCTACCGTGCCTACCCAGCGACGCTCATCATCCTTGAATTTGAGTTCAAAAGCAAGCACCACTCACGTCGATACAAATCTGTCGAGGTGGATGTGAAGTTCGAAGACGAGCAAGGAAATGACCCCGAGGTTGTCTGTATAGCACCCGAAAGGGTGTACTACTTGAACAAGACCATCCATCGGCGAATTACCACCTATGGGGGACAGATCGGAGCCAACGTTGGCATTGGGGGCTTAGCCAGTGCCGAGGCGGGTGGGAGCTGGGAGTTTGTGGAAGAAAAGTTTACAGAGTACAAGGCAACACTCACCGGAGAGCGACTGTACGGCGGGTGTCGCGCTAATCCGAATAGACGGAACGCCCTGCAATGGTCAATGATGGAAAACCCCAAGGCCCGGGACGGGATTCCGACATTTCTGCAAACCGCCATATTGCTGAAACGACATGGACGCAGCAACGATCCGTTCACCTGCCAGCTGAGCGTCAAAAGTGAGGTGGACAAGAACTCGAAGATACTCCGCGTATCCGATCGCTGGTCCGACGTCGATAAGGTCATTGACCCCATCACCGTCTATCCTTCAGGACCTCCACTACAGAACAATCAGGCTACGGGAATCCGACCAGAGGATCTGGAGCACATGGAAAGACTTGTGGGGAACATTGGAAGATACTGCAAGGTCAGCTTATCGCAGGCTTCGCAGCCTGGTGTTGTGCCCTTGGACCGAACAGACTCAGCCATCGCCATGTCAGAGGATGACTCGCAGTTGGGAAAAACGCCCAACGAGACGGTCGTGTCAGAGGAGATGCCCAATATGTCGTTGGAGGATGCCACCGACAAAGACGAGCCAATGTCAATGCTCTCCATGGTGATTCTGACAGCCCAAGAAGCAGCAGAGGCGGCAGCAGCGGCAGCCCGGGCTGCGGCCAAAGCAATGGAGGCAGCAACCGAAGCGGCAGAAGCAGCATCGAGAGCTGCAAATGCGGCCAGATTGGCGGAAGCTGTATCCCGGATGACCAACCAGGATTCAGGAAGAGTAAGATAAGCAGCCAGTGATCTCGTCACCTCCAGTGCAAGCGATGCGGGGCCGGCGCTGAGCCTCCTCCCACTTCTTATTGTTTTTGCTTGTTGCTTTCGCTCGTCTCTAGGTGGAAGTTGAGGTAGTTGGTGACGTGTACTGTATTGACACATGCCTTGGGTATGGTACAACCTCGAAAATTCAGGTATCAATCATGCATTGAGACATATGTATCCATGCCCAAAGCTGCACATTGGAGCTCCCTGCCGCATGATGTGCTCCCGAGGTACCTACCTGGGTGCACCAGGCCGTTCCCCTCTGCCCCTTCCCGCCACAGCTCAAGACTCCAAGACGCATCATTCATTCCTCATTGTATCATGAAACAGCCCCCCACGACACGAGCAGGTGCGAAGTGACTGCAACTCGCATGACACCACAAGTCTTCATCATTACCGTGACACTGTCTTCCATCAACAAAGACTCGCTCGAGCCATCATCAAGTCGGCAACCCAGGACTCTACACAACGTGCATCTCTGAAACTCCCGCTTTTCCTGGCCTTTACACACCGTTTTACTCTTGAACTCTCGACGTTGTTTGAGCCTCCTCCCGGTTGTATTCCGCAAGCCACGCCATCAACTATCCCACCTATCCATGTGTATGAGTCCTCTTGCGTTATGAAGCACTTGTAGGTCAAAATGTAGTCTCTTGATGACCATCTTCCCCCTCAGTAATCCAGATGTCAAGTTCCTGCGAGATGGGCCCATTCACTAACATGCATTGCACCCAGATTCGTTTTGATCAATGGACTCGAAGATCTCGCACGTGGCGATGATGACTCGAATGCCAACGCGAACAACATCCGAACCGGAATCATCTCCGAATTGTGGCCAGAAGCTGGGGTTAGAGTGTTTGACTTCCTCGCCGATAGCACGCATTCCTCCCATGTCAATCATGCGTACTTTCCCAACCATGCTCAAGACATCATCGACCAGCTGAATAGCTTCGTGGGAGCTCCAACGACGGTGAGCGTTAGTTCGAGCTGATTCAACAGCTTGCCATGGACACCGCTGACCCTTCATGTTCAGGTGGTCTTCCTTGCTCATAGTACAGGGGCGGCATTGGTCAAAAAGGTACTGTGACCGCCGGATACATAATATCAAACATCAATACTTACAACATGACTATACGTGTGCAGATCCTCCTCCTGGCTCTCCAACAACCTTCCTCCCAGTGGCTGGCACTTTGGGCAGTAGCGGTGGTACGTCTTGAAACATCTTTAGGCTGAGTTGGTTGCTAACTAGGCGTCAAGCATTTCTTCGACTCGCCAGAGTACTACGAGTACCACCAGTGGACGCCCCATCTGGTCAGGATTCTCGGAAATGAAAAGCTGGATTTTCTGGACATCCCCGGAATTTTCAATGGGTTGCCCACTGCCTTGTGTCAAATCGAGTTCGAGTTTGCCAACATCGCACAGGCTTTCAAAATTCATTACCACCACACCCAAGACTCTGTAAGTCACCTGTCTACGTGTTCTTCATACGGCCGAACTCGACCAAAGCTTGGACGGTCTTGCTCACTGGGTTTGGAGGAGCCCAATACAACTTCACGCACGCTTTGGGACTTTCATGATGATTTCCCTCAGTATCTCGACATCTTGTATAGCGTTGAGAGGCTTCTTCATAACTGTTATAGGGATGAACTAATGGGTAAGTACCGGAGGCAGTCCATTGCTAATCAACGTGAGATACCTCTATTCTTCATTTGCTCACCTAGATTACGAATCAGTCACGCGGAAGCCATTGTGGGAGTTCCAGGAGATTATTGCCCTTCCCGAAGCACCTATGGGCTGGTTGGTACCAGTATGCCCGCTTCTCACAATCCCCAAGTACTGGCTAGATATGAGATGGGACGATATCGCCTACTGGATGTTATCCCATAAATCAGAGGTTCTGTTGATGACCGACAACCAGGGGTTCGCGTCCAAACACCTATCATCTTACATTATCGCCAGACTGCGAACAAAACAACGTACAGATAAAGCGGCTACGCTCATCCTGAGTTATGACATCAACCCTTGTGACGTTAGACAAAATACCGAACGCTCACTGCTCTACTCTCTCATCCGACAGATACTTGTCTTAAGGCCTAACAGTTGTCGAAATATTGAGGCACTCATTCAACGGATCTCGTGCTCGGACATGCCATACCTTCCATGCGGCCTGTTATGGGGCCTACTCAGCACTCTTCTACAATCCATTGAAGATCGCCGGGTCTTTCTGATCATACATGGCGTCGATCAACATTTGCAACATGTTGCTCACAAATTGAGCGCACTCCTTGTTGCGTGCAACTTGCTGATCTCCAAATCACTGAAAATTCTGATAACAAGTTGTGAGCGCCTGGTTCTACCACACGATGTCCAGTGCTGGCAGTTTGACCTCAGTAACGCCGATTGTAGAGACATCGTCTCCGAGGTCGTTGAAAAGAAACTGTCTACCATTCTTCGTCAAGCACCTGCTTGGCAGGATTCCAAGCTGGACATTCTGGAAAAGATTGACGGGGAAGAAGCCACACAGCTTACAGCCTTTCTCAATCTCAGCATACTTGAACAAAGCACCACGCCCGCCACAGAGGAGGCCATACAATTTTGGCTATCCAAGCCCTTTACTTCTCCCGAGGAGACACTTCACGCCATGATTAATGGAATACGCGACACTGCGTCAACCAGAACAATTCTCAGCTGGGTATCTTACGCTGTTCGCCCACTTACAGTTCCAGAGCTTGCGGTCGTGGTGGCGCTCCAGGAATTGACCCTTGACCATGGTACACCCAGTGATCAGGCACTCGACTCCCTTGCCATGAAGGTCTCTTCTAATCTTGCGAGAGATCTGGAAGGCGCCTTGGGGCGACTCATTGCAATTGATAGCAACCATCGGGTTGGCCTGGTCTATTCCACACTGCGTGAATACTTGGAGCAATCTGAACACGGAGCACTGTTGCTGTCAGACCATCATCTATCGATCTCAAGACAATGTTTACATTATCTGACTCTTTGTTCCCACCACAACCCGGGCGCCATTCCAGCACCTAGGCCTGTCAATAGAGCCTTTGCGTTTTTGGACTATTCGCAGCGTTACTGGGTGCGCCATTATATCCTGACCCAACCACCCAACGAGGAACTTGACCGACAAGTATTTTCCTTTTTCACATCGCCGCTATACTCACGCGCTTTCAGCTTGTGGGTGGATAAGTACTGGGCCAACTTAGCCAAGAAGACCAAGGCGAAGGCGGAAGGGAACGGTGTTGCTGAGGGTGAGAAGGAGGTGAAGAAGGAGAAAGGCGACATGGTTACGAACGACCCACTCCTGCTGGCCATCCGTCTTGGCCTGAGTAGAATCATACAGATGATTTTGGAAAGTGAGGGGAGGCAATTGCAACCAGAAAGACTTGGACATGCGCTCAGAGCTTCGGCAAGATCTCCTGGATCCCAGGCCTTGAAAGATATCTTGGCCATTGCATCCTCAGATGTTGACCTTGTCCCTGTACTATGCGAGGCAGCAGCGCATGGAAGTACCGAGTGTGTTGGACTTCTCTTGGACCGCATGGGGAATTCTTGGGCAAAATACCTCAACACGGTCGAAAGTGGAGGGGGACGAAACCCTCTTCTTCTGGCAGCTTCGGGTGGCCATACATCGACAGTTGAACTGTTGATCACACGTGGCTCCAGCATACTGAGTGTGGACAGCGAAGGAAATACCGCATTGCACCTCGCGTCCCAGATAGGCGATTACGATACTTTGGCGGTCATGGAGAAGCTTCGAGGGGACGACTTCAACACTGCCCGACTGGTGAAATCAGCAAAGGAGGACCTCACCCCCTTCAGACTAGCATGTCGGATAGGTTCATTGGCCGCATTCGACATACTCTTCAAGGATGACGAGAAGGAGTTAATCAGTCTCTCCCCTCCTGCCAGATTACCTAAAGCCGCTGGCGAAATTTTGGCTCATGTCACAGATGAGGAGAACCTGGCAACTATTAAGAAGATTCTCCTCTACCACGAAGGATCATCGAGATTACCTTTACCCGCTACCGACATTTTGGCCGATATCAAAAATTCTAGGAACCTGGCAATCATTGAGAGGATCCTCCTCAGCTACCCAGAGCCTCTACCCGCTGCCGATATCTCGGCTGATGTCACAAATTCTGGGAACCTGGCAATCATCCAGAGGGTTCTCCTGGAGTCAGAGAATTCCATACGTTGGGCTATGGGTCTCTGGGCTAGGGATTGCTTTAGCCTTGCATGCATGAAAGACTACTACGAGGTAGTCCGGCTGTTTGTTAAAACGGAACTGAAGTCAATCTCAGCCGAGATAGATTCGACTGAGATAAAACACCGCAAGAAAGCATTGAATGAGCGTATCCGACAAGGAATCCACCTCGCAATTGAGAAGTTCGACGATGAAATGGTGGTCTGGCTATGGGAGAAGATGGACGCGCCCTGTCCAGAAGACTACTTTGAGACCGCATTGTGGGCTGGGAATCTCAGCATGCTTGACTACCTTTTAAGCCGTGACAAATCAGTCGGTTACGATTTTGCCACTGAGGAGGGCATGCGGAATTGGATACAAGCTGTGAGGGGCGCATTGTATTCCGCCTCTCTCGACACTCTGAGATACCTACTCGAAGTTTTGAAGGGTGCCAAATATGTGGTTGACCAGAGTTGGAACACACTCAAAGCTGAACTTGTCATACTGTTCATCCGAGCTGTAAGAAGGGGTCACGTAGCCTGTCTTCGTGAGCTGTTCCGCGAGGTGTTCTCCCATTTCAGTATGTCGGGAGCTTGGGGTACGATTTTCGAGACGGCGGTTGAAGAAAGCAATTTTTCCTGCCTTGAGGAAGTGTTGAAATGGCAACCGACAAATATCTACTTTTCCACGTCGTTTTCCGAAAGAATTCACCGTCTGGCTATAGAGAGGGAGGATGACCAGGAACACAGACTGAAGCGGGTCCGCCTCCTACTTGCCAGCGGCATTTCGGCCAGTACAGGGGTCACAGGCTGGCAGGGACGCGCGCCACCGCTTCACGTTGCGGTTGAACGAGGTATCACTGATGTTGTTGAGCTGCTGTTGCAACACGGGGCCAGTGCCAACATGGAAAGACTACCTCTGCAGACTCCCGTGCACGTCGCCATGCAACATGGAAAACCGGAAGTACTCTACCTTTTGCTTCGCCACGGGGGTGATCCGAATGCGGTTGACTGGGAGGGCCGAGCTTCTCTGCACATTGCAATACACCGGCAAGATACTAAGTTGGTGGACCTCCTATTAGAGCCTTGGGCTGATAACGAGGATCCCCGAAGAGGTGCCGATGATGTTGAGAAACGGCGTCATGATGTTCGTCGGAGGGCGCCACGCAAAACCGACAAGTTTCCCGACCCCAAGCATCTCATAAGGCCCGACGTGGATAAGAGGGTCTCCGATGACCGCAGGGCGACACCACTGATCTTGGCAGCTGAAGATGGACTAGTTGATATCATTCGCATGTTGTTGCGAGCAGGCGCGAACCCAAACCTCCAAGAAGCGGATGGGTATACTCCGCTTTACACAATCCTCGTCTACGAGCACAAAAACGGGCGGCCTCTGGAAGGCACCCGGTTGCTTCTGAAGTATGGAGGAGACCCCAATATCCACGGAGGAAGATCAGACTGTCCACTTCAGTCCACCGGCGATCAACGGAGGGAAGGCCAACCCTACGATGACAGCTTGAGACCGTCTAGACTAGACGCTTTGAACGGATTGCCCCTTAACGCCGCGATTTGGTGGAGGTCAATCGAAGTATTGAAGCTGCTCCTCAACAGCGGCGCGGCTGCAGATATACTTACCCCCTTCTTGGGAACCCCGCTACACATTCTTATGCGAGTGCGGCTCCATACTTCTCTCAGATACTTTGAGATGACGATGAAGCTTCTTCTGCAGAGAGGGGCGGATGTCGACGCTCAGGACTCGAACGGCTTCACACCACTCATGATGTACATTTGCTGTCACCTGGCCCATCCTCTGCTTCAATACCGGTCACCACCGACTCATTTGGAGACATTGATATCGAAGACGAGGAGCCCGAGAACGGTCAACATCTTCGGCCGGACAGCCTTACATTATGCCGCGTCGTGTGACGTACCACCCACTGCCGTTGAAGGACTCCTGGCAGCTGGAGCACATCCGCTCACCCGTGATAAACTTGGACACACCCCGTTGTATTATTCTCTCCTACGTGACGGTACTGATGTTGAGCATGACTCGGAGGAAAAGACAACGGGGTGGCTGGCATGCTTCTCAACTCTTTTGAACGCCATTCCGTTAAAGGAGCGGCCTCGGCAGTTGTCCGAAGCTCTTCTCGCAGCAGTGAAGACAGGACTGGAGTCACGTTTGGACGCAATCCTTGCCGAGGTCGAGAAAGGCCACGATCTTGACCTTACCATCCGCGACAACAGCGGATACACGGCACTGGACATTGCCATTTTGTTTGGCAGCGACGAGGGCGGCATTTTTCAGAAGCTCCTGGCTGTGGAAGGCAAAGTTCAGGTTGGGATACAAAAGAAGGTTGCCACTAAATGGAGTGAAAATGACAGGAATGAGAACTATCATGTTTCCGAGGATGAAATGGAGGTGTCTTTTACCGGTATGATGCCCGAAATTGGATTAACTTTTTCTCGTTGTTTGGACCCCATGGGCGGATTCAACCTGCTTTTACTAACAAAACTTGGACATTCAGCAATTGCAGTAGATTCACGACCAGTGTTGGTTGTGGGAGCAGTACGCGCCAACCACCCGATACCAGTCAACCAAGGGCCTGTGTACTTCGAGTTGGAAGTCCTCGAGCTACCTGATAGTGATGAATTCTTCAAGTAAGTTATTCCTAAGGTAACCTTGCCGGCCTTCACCACTTCACCTACACCAACTCTACCCCTTCGGACTTACCGACCTGCTAACATTCGCCCACCCCACTGTAAGTTGCGTCGCTGTCGGCTTTCAAACCGAGCAGGCCTCACTCGACGAGCTTGTTGGCTGGGAAAGAGCATCCTGGGGCTACCACAGCGATGACGGGTTTGTATACAGTGGGAACAAACACGTTTATGACCAGAAGCAAAAGCCATACAATGAAGGGGACACAGTCGGCGTGCTGATTGACCCGTCCCGTCAAAGGGCGAGGTTCAGGAACAAAGATGGGTGGACTGGTTACTGGTTCTATGGGGTTTTCGGGCAGCTGTACCCGGCTGTCTCACTGCAGATTGCTTCGGACTGCAATGCCAGAGTCAAAGTCAACTTTGGGAAGGAAAAGGGGTCCAGATCATGGCCGTTTAAGTACGCCCCGCTGACGGACAAGGACTTGGAGTATCTGGAACCCGCGGTAGACGAGGATGATGCGAGTGATGTGGACAGGGAGGAGGATGTCGATTCTGAGGAAGAGGAAGAAGAACCGGATCACGGCCACGTGAAATTTGAGGCGGAGGAGGAGCACCCGAATAACGCGACACCTGAGATAAGGGAAAGATGATTGAATGACGTGGAATCTAAGGCAAGGGAGGAAGACATGGACGAAGTGAAAGCTGAGGACACGACACAGTACTGTGTGGATGGTGTACTGTGGATATGGACATGATGTAAGTTGGTTATTTCTTGGGTAGACTGCCATTTCTTGAAGGGTAACTTGGTTTTGTGGACAGAAGGATCTCGAACGAAATCTCATAGTGTTATATGTTTTATGTGCTTTACCCCTACCAAGCAGTTGATGAGTACTGAGCTAGTGGAAAGGTGGAGGTTGCACATCCCGCTCTCGATGGCGTAAAAGAGAGGCCGGGTGGACGGAGGATTAGGAAGACGCCTAACGGAATTGCAACCCGCATCGGTAAACCGGGTCGATATCGGACCCTTCCCCAAGAGGATCAACTCACCGGTAGCGGGAGGGAGAGAAACCTCGAGTCGATTATGGTACGAGAAAACCTCCGCGTACTCTAAGGTTAGCCTACACGTACTCTAAGACCTATAGAATCCCCAGGGTTAGGGTCTTTGGCACCCCATGATACCCTATGGCATTTGACATTCAAAAGTCCTACATTTAGCCGTGAAAATACCCCATTTCAATGCACGAAATTTTGACATGCATTTTATGAAATTTCTCGAACTTCGCGATTTTGAATAATTTGACACGCCGCAACACCACATTGCAACTAACAGCTCGCTGTAGATGGCCGCCAACCCTCCCCGTCGTCGTTGCGATTCTATCGATACTGATGCGATATTTGCAAGCGCCGCCTCCTTCTCGCGTAAAAGCTAGCGTATAAGAGAGGGGGATTCCAGGCATCGAGACTATACGGCTGTGTATGTAGCTACTATAATGGCGATATCGAGTTTGGGGGGGTTTATAACACTACGAAAAGTATCACGACTTTTACTCTAGTGGGGGCGATGTTTAGAACATTGAAAAGACCCCAGATTACTATATAGAACGACCGTATTTATATAACAGCTGTCATATGGGTCTTAGAGTGCGTGTAGGTTGGGCTTAGAGTGCGCGGAGGTTTTCTCTATGGTACGGCCAAGAGGTTGAAGGCACCGTTTAACACTAAGGTGTTACGATCCAATAAGGGACCACTTATGTAAGCAGCTAGGTAGACCAATCAGGGCCGCGCCGGGTGGCCGAGAATAGCCTCACCGGCGCAGCGGCGCACACTGAAGGACCAGTATATAAAGAAGGCCTTCCCAGGCCTTCTGTCTACTGGGCTCTTCAGCAAGCAATAGCTTTCACAATCGACCAGTACCTTTTGGCTACTACTACCGTTGATCATATTCCCAGCGATATACTCCTGTGCTTGTAACGGTTCGTCACATAAGGAAATATGAAATCTAGTATTGGGTAATCTATATATCCGCCCTTATCCCGTCCACGTTTTCCTCTACACTTCTATTAGGTTTCCATCATCCTCACCCCCTTTATACTAACACCTTCTCCAGCGTCTACACCTTCTCGTAACAACACGTATCCCGGCAGGACAGGGCATTACATCAAGATCGGGGCGTCGACGGGAGATGGTGCAAGACTTTCTTGGGTATCGGCGAACAACAGCGACTTCCTGCTGCCGGGAGACGAGTCCGTCCACGTCAAGCGACAGAACGGGCAAAGTGGCAGCGGAAGCAGACGTGGTTACGGGAGCGAAGTGCCGGCGGGTGGGAGTTCAATATCGACGGCGCTGGCGGCTGGCTTGGCAGGGGTTCTGATTTACTGTGATCGATTGACGCGGGCGTCAATGGCACCCAATGAGTCAGCAATTGGGTTCAACGATATCCAGAGCTTGGCGACCATGCGACGCGCTTTCAAAACCATGGCAGCCAAGTCGGAAGACCACAAGTTTCTGCGGGTGTGGAAGTTCGTACCCTTGCATTGGGAATCCCCCGTGAAGCCAGGGGCGGTCGATAGCAGAGGTGCTAAATCGGTGAAGCACGACTTGAAATGGAACACGGATTCCCACCCAAAAGACACGGAGGAGACCAGGAAAGTGCTCATGGAGTTCCTGAACAAACTGAAGGTGGAGGAGTAGTACATGTTGCAGAATGAAAGTTGGATATCATCGCAAGTCGTGTATCTATCACCAATCATGTCTATCGTAAGAAGCGAGGGTGTACCCCCCAACTCGGTTCCCTCATCGTGCCTATTATCATCTCCACAACCAAACCCTTCCTCCTGCAACTTCATCCAGCTGCACTGAGAGCGGTAAGACACCGCGCATAAAGAACTTTTGTTCATGTCGACCTCCGTATCTTTCAGTGAGCGTGAAGAGGCGAAGGCTGCAGAACTTGCTCTCGATGGCAGTGACCGGGCAGGTTCGCATATAAGACATACGAAAATGCGTAAAGGCCCGACTGGATGGACAAAAAAGAGAAACAGGAAACCAACGGCCATACAAACCGCAACGATAAGTCGGAATACTGTCGGTCCCATGGCCATTTCCGTAGCGGCCGATGAATGAGACGCGCCAAGTCGATCATGGCACAAAAAACCATTGAAAGACTGCATATGAACCCACAAGAAACATGTAATGCAGCATCCCGCGACGTATATATCGCACCCAGTTCCATGCACCTTTTCCTCCGCCCTTCTCATAAGACTCCCATCATTAGCAACCCCCTTCACACCCGGACCAACCCCTTCTCCAGCGTCTGCACCTTAACCGTCCCATCCGCCATACCAAAGTACGCCGCAACCGGCTTCTGCGCTCCGCTCTCCACCTCCAGTCCACTCTTTCCATAAAACAACCCATGCTCGGCCACGCCCGGAATCTCAATCAAGCGCCTCGCCAACCCATCCACCGTCCAAACGCCCTCCTCCCCATCCTTCTTCCCCTCCGGCAGCTGCGTCAACAAAGGCTTAAAAGCCGCATCCACAATCCGCAGTCCATTATCCGTCACACACGCTCCCGCCTTCCCCGGCGTGCCAGGTCTGATCTTCGCCCCCGTGCTCCCCAACCTCTTAAGTTCATCCAACACTCGCGGCACCGCCATCGGAAACACCTCGACGGGGATGCCCTGCTTCCATTCCGTTCCCAGGTTCTTGCTGATCTTCCTGAAGTCTGCGACGCAGACAAATTTTCTAGCGGCCGTGGCCACGATCTTCTCCTGTAAGAGGCAAGCGCCGCCGCCTTTGATCAGGTTCAAAGCGGGATCGACTTCGTCGGCGCCGTCGAAACAGACGTCCAACATTTGGCCGCGGGGTAAGTCTTCGATGTAACCGAGGCGGAAACCGGCGGCCTTGATCAGGTCTCTTGATTGGTCCCCGGTCGGGTAGAAGGCCATTTGGCTGGTGACGGAGCGGGGGAGGGAGGCGATGGCGTCGACGACGTAGACGACTGTGGAGCCGGAGCCGATGCCGATGTGCGTGTAGGTAGGGAGGAGGTGGTCTTGCACGGCTTGGGAGGCGGCGAGGCGCTTGGATTCCTCGATGCGGGCGGCGGCGGAGACGGCGTCGGTGGCCATTTTGGTGGGTGTGTGGAGGGGACGGTTACTGGGAGGTGTGAGTTGGTGAAAGGTGGTTTTGGGTGAGAGGAGAGGGAGGGAAATGAGGGTGAGAGCTAATGAGAGGATGGTGAAATAGAGATGGGAAACGGTTGGTTGTGGTGTGGTGCGACGACGGGATGACTCGGGGCTCGGATCCGGAGGGTTTGAGAAATTTGTTAAAAACCCTGGCGGAAGTCGGGCCGGGCGGACGGTGCACTAACAGATTTGTGTGTGATTGGTGAGGGAAATTGTTATGGAGCGCTGTTTATCTTGGTTAGCGATGACTCAGTGGATTCAGGGGTTGATGTAGGTACGGTTTCAGCTCTATCATCTTTCTGTGAACTCACCAGATTGGCCCTTCGTTTGCGCCCGTTGAACAATGGCCGGGTGACGAACTGATGTTGACGGGTTGAAGTTGGCAGCGGCTGAGTGGAACGCGGGGGCAGCGGGTCTTTGTTGACTAACAAAACTGGATCTGGAAGGGCGAGCACCGGACCAGCAACGACGAGCCGTCAAGGATGCAATACGATGGGTGTTCATGGATAACTGAGACGGAGGAATATTTGCGACCTCGAAGCAGCAGTCGGCGGATTTTAAACCAATGGAATAGTAGGTGGGGGAAAATGCTCAGTTGGTGGCTTGGTTGGAGAGAAGAGGAATGGCCGGCCAGGCCAGGTCTAAATACTCGAAGATGGAAAATCTAGGTGGGGTGCACCTTCCACTTGTAACAGTTTTTGTGATAAATACGGAAGTCCGTTGCATTTATTACCCACACATCCTGATGTCGTTGAAATGCAAAAGGTCATTGGCCGACTGCCGTGACGCACGGGGCACCAAATTGATGTCACGCCGCAGTTCGCACGAACCGGACAGCCGGATGAGGCGGGGTCAACGCGAACCGGAGGGGTCGTGCGGAGAACTCCGAATTGTCGATAAGAAGCAGTTGGAGAGTGCACTAACAATTTCACAGCGACTTTGGCGTCTCGCTGACTTTTCTTCTTTATTTCCTTTCTGCAACCACTATTTCCTTCACCTACCCTCGACATCAATCGTCAACCGTTTACACCACCAACGCCACCATGAGCGCACCCAAATCCGCACGACAACCGATCCAAGACTGCGAAATCAAACACCTCAGTGCTGGAACCTGAAATCCAACCTCTTGTTCCCCTTGTCGGTCGTGTTCGCCAAATACTCGAGTCTCTCCTCCGCCGTCATGGCCTCCCACTTGCGCGCCTTCTGCTTGTTGCGGAACATGTAATACGCCTTGACCAGAATGTACAGCGCAATGTTCATGCAGCAAATAGCCAACAGCTGCTTATTCCCACGCTTATACAGCGGCGCATCATCTGTTTCACGCCATCGTCAGCATCCTGTTCTCAACATCACATCGAACCCGAACCCTCAATCCGAAACAAACGAAACTCACCCTTCCGATAAATATTCGAACTCACAATCCCCCCCGCCTGCACAAACATATTATAACAAGCCGCCGACACCGTCCTCGACCGAACCGTATTCGAGTTTCTGCTATTCCACCCGACCTGAATAGGATGGGCATTGGGGTACCCAAGTAACAGCGTCGTGACCGCGTAAATCACCCACCGATTCACGCCCGCGGTGTCGACGCTGTTGAGGTAGATCAAGAACGGCAAAGCCCAGATCTGCCCTGAGGCAGCGATGAAGGTCAGCTCGTTAAAGATCTCCCCGAGATAGGTGATGCCCAGCATGGTGATCATGTGCACGACGGTGTACGGGATGGTGAGCAGGTTGGCTTGGAAGGTGTCGAAGTGTAGGCCTTTGAGGGTGAGGGTGAGGTATTGGGCTATGGGCGTCATGGGGATTTGGAAGACGAGGCCTAGGATGTAGATGGGCCTGTTTTTTCGGGGAGGGTTAGTATCATTCCAAGTGGAAGAGTAGGGACTGGAGGAGGCATACCAGAGATCAAAGTCCTTGAGACTCTGCCAGAGAAGTCTCGGCGTGATGGGCTCGCGGTTGTGCATGTCGCTCTTGCTTGGATCTTCGCGGATGACCCGGTTGACCATGATCTTCTCTTCTTTTTCGGTGAACCACCCGTTCTTGCCGCGGAACCAGCTGGCGGTGTGGCAGGGGCCGGCGGGCATGAGGACGAAGGCGAAGATGCCGATGACGAGTGTCATGAGGCCCTGTTTCCTGTCAGTCAGCATAACATCTTCTCCCCTTCCCCCAAGTGGACAGTCAGGGGCACTCACCTCAATCAAAAACAACCACCTCCACCCCGCATGTCCCTGCACGCCTCGCATATGCAACAACCCATACGCCAACAGCGCGCTCGCAATATCTGCAATACTCATCGCCGTCCAAAAGAAGCCCAATCTAAGACTCAGTTCGTGGTGCTTGTAGAAGTAACTGAGGTACAAGATCACATCGGGGATGAAGCCGCCCTGGAGGATACCGAGCAGGGCACGGCAGGCAAGGAAGGAGGTCCGGCCGCTAAGCCAGAATTGAGCAGTGGCGACGATGGACCAGAGAACCATTTGGGAGGGAATCCAACGGTCGGGACCCATCCATTTGGAGACGAGCTGGGAGGGAAGTTCGGCGCAGAGGAAGGCGAGTTTGAAGACGGAGTTGCCGAGGTTGTAGTCTGTGGCACGGGTTAGCAACTGCTGGGGTGGGTGATGGGAACTGTAGGGGAGGACAGCAAGAGAAGGAAGGGGTCCAATGGGAGAGAGCGGGAAGAGTCGAGGACGAGGTTCCGGAGGAGATAATGAAAGGAGAGGGAAAGTGGAAGGGGCATCCGGGAAAGGAAGGGAGACAAACCATTCGTCGTCATGTGCAAATCCCCCAAGAAATTGTCCGTCAACGCCTGGCTGATATTTGCCCGATCCAGCTCCAGCGCCATGAACATGATGCACGCCCACACCATGATTCGCCAGTCGATCTTGCGGATCAGTCGATGTTCCTCGCCCCATGTCCAACGCTCAAGGGGGTCAAACCGGTGAATGTTTTCCCTTTGCGTTACGCCTTCTATCAGCACCACTTCCCTTGCTGCCGGTATGTTTGGAGGGATGAGACTCACCAGTCCGGCCGAGGTTGATACTTCTCAGCTGTATCCGGGTCGTCGAAGACTGAGACCTGGGTGGCAATGGCAGTGGGATCGTATGACTTGGCTCGTTGGAACCAGAAACGACGTTCTTCGATAGCTACGCCTAGAGGAGGAATGGAAGAGAGGGAGACATTGATGTTGGACCCTTTCGACCCGGTCGGGGAGTCGTTCCCGTCTGAGGGCGGGGATATGGTTATGGGCGGGGAACCGCCCTTTGTGAGGACTGTCGCCATGGTTGTTCACTGGCCGGGCTGGGCGTCTGATGAACGGACTTGGTCCCTGCCTCAAGAAAAACAGAAGAGATGAGATTCGAATACAACACTCTCCAAACATCCAGAGTTGGTGGTGGCACAATCACAACAGAAATCTCAAGACTCAAGCTGGGAACTTGGAAGTCTATATGAGTTCAGACATCTTGGGAGGCGATCGACAAAGACCATGTCGCGATAGTACCCCGATACTATGAGCCGCTCCAGGGAAACGATTTCGACATGTCGACGAAGTTGCACATCACCACGGAGGGATGCATACAAGGCAGCACCAAGCACCACCACGGAATCCGACGTCGTAGCCAGCAATACCCTACCGAATAGGATGCCTCCTCCTGCAAAGCGTGTCATTGCAATTGGCGGCTTACCACTTGCCACGACTAAACCGTCAACCGAAGAACTGGTACGGGTTCCTACACGGCACTTCCGCGCGTCTTGGAGAGCTTGGGTGTATGGTTCGCCACGTCCCAAGATGTGTCCCAATTCACGTCCCAAGCTCTCGGCGCCATGATGTTGAGAGGTTGGAGACGTAAAAGACACGAAGAGTACTACACAGCGAAGACATCGTTGAGAGGTCTGGCCCAGCGCCACGGTTGATAGGCTGTGTAGGCGTGATCCTTGGCTGGAATGAGGTTGGCGTGGGAAGCGATAAGGGTCTACAACTCTACAGCGATATCTACCGAATGGGAGTGAGCTCCGCATTCTGGACCAAGCCACGAACGCTGCTTTTCATCCTCCAGCTGAAGTGGCCATGGGGAGTGCAGCCGCGAAGTAGTAGGTTTGAGCCTCAGGGACTCGGTGCGTGGCGGTTTTCAACCACACACCTGGTTTACACGCTCTGGACACTCGAAGACATCACCTCCATCACAGCACTTGATATCATAAAGCATACATTCAAAGTCAGCTGAAGAAGTCGATAATGGTCGAGAACCAAGTCATTCGAATGCCAAGCCTATAGTCTTTCAACTACAAGCAAGTGTCTGAACAAACTATTCTCAACACCCCATCGCCATCTCTTCGTTGAAAACCAAATCCTGCGCAAGCCCAGAAACGCTCGAAAAGGTTCATGATATCGGAGGGAATTGAAAGTCGACATCGTGGGGTCCCCTCATCGTCGCGTGGGGGAGAGGGGTAGTTATTGGCAATCCGCCAGGTGGTGATGGCGTGCTGGTGTTGACGTGCTCGACCCTGACCCTGACGCGAATGACAAAGGCGACGCAGCCATTGGTCAATTCCAACATCGCGAAAGCAACCTATATGTTGCGGGAGTCGGCACCCCTCATTACCAGATTGAACAGAGAGGTAAGCACTAAAGGACAACGTCCTCCGAATTTGGTGTCTGTTTGGCAGTCGTACCCGTATCCTCGACCTCTGGCCAACACTGCGATGCCAAGACGACCTACCCGACCAAGCTTTCTCCTTAACGCCGATGCTGGATGAATACATCCTGCTGGTTACGCTAGAACCGCTGCGAATAAACGCCCAGATTCACGACATCACGGCGCTCATGTTGCAATCCAAAACACCCTCATTCGGCACTTCCCCGCACACACGGCACCGAGACGGCAACGGACACCGATCGCGGAATCACAAAAGGTGCTGTTCACGAACAACTGAAGCATGTCGACACGAATTCGCCATATCTCGTCATTCCATCGATCGATGTGATTGGCCTCACGAAGCTGTTGGATGGTGGTCTGGGTGCGATCAACGGAGATGGTCCTCCTTCGAAACGCGGGGACCACGGACAATGCATGCACAACACTCCATGTGGTCTTGCGGGCTCCGATATTATACTTGGCTTTGGACCTGACGATCATCTGTATAAGAGGTTGACTGATCAACCATACCTTTGAGTTCCTGTTCTTCACTCCAGGTCAGTCATCCAACAACCACTTCCCTTCGATACATCAACACTCATCTCAACACTCTCAAACCAACAACCACCATGGCTCCTTCCGCGGTGGAGGCCGTCCAGACTGCCGTCCAAACCACCATCAACGTCAAGAACCAAGCCAACCAGCAGGCTACCCCTACCCAGCACGCTCAGCACGTTGAGCCTCTCAAGCTCTCCGGCGTTCTCGATCAGTATGAGCACTTCGACGTGACTCCCATCATCGGCCGCGAGTTCCCCAAGGCCAACCTCGTCGAGTGGCTCAATGCTCCCAACGCTGATGAGCTCATCCGCGATCTCGCTATTACCAGTTCGTCTCCCTTCCCTTCACTTCCTCCCGGCCCCCTCTTCCTCCCTACGCACGTCCACTAACCTCCATACCACCCCAGTCTCCCGCCGCGGCGTCGTCTTCTTCCGCGCCCAGCACTCCCTAACCAACGACCTCCAAAAACAACTCATCCTCCGCCTCGGCGCCCTAACCGGCCGCCCTCCGACCTCAGGCCTGCACATCCACCCGATCCTCAACTCGGAGCGCGAACTAGGCGGCAACGACCCGGAGATCTCCACCATCAGCTCCATCCAAAACCGGCAGTTTTACCGCGACGACGACAACAAGTCCGAGGAACTGTCCACCAAAAAGCAGTACACCGCCCAATGGCACTCCGACATTGCCTTCGAGCCTGTGCCCGCCGACTATACTAGTCTCAGACTAGTCCAGCTGCCGAAGACGGGCGGCGACACCCTTTGGGCTTCGGGGTATGAGATTTATGATAGAATCTCGGAGCCGTACCAGAAGTTTCTGGAGGGGTTGACGGCTACTTTCCAGCAGCCGGGATTTAACAAGGCGGCGGAGAGGAATGGGTTCAAGATTTATGAAAGGCCGCGTGGCGCGCCGGAGAATGTTGGGTCGGAACTCAAGGCTGTGCATCCGGTTGTCAGGACGAACCCGGTTACCGGGTGGAAAAGTGTGTTTCCCGTGGGAGGTCATGTGAAGCATGTTAATGGGGTTACGAAGGAGGAAAGTGAGAGGTTGTTGGAGTGGTTTTTGGAGGTGTTGCAGAGGAATCATGATTTGCAGGTTAGGTTTAGGTGGCAGGGGGAGAATGATATCGGTGAGTCTGGCAAAATCCTGTGGCGGAGAAGGGGAGAAAGGAACTTGAGAAAGGAAGCTAATGGATGAACAAAACAGCGATCTGGGATAACAGGAGCGTCTTCCACACTGCTACCTTCGACTATGATGGATTTGGCGAGCGCTTCGGTAACAGGGCGGTTGGGCTTGGTGAGAGGCCGTATCTTGATCCTCAGAGCACTAGCAGACGGGAGGCGTTGGCGGCGGCGGGTGAGCTGGTCTAAGTGGAAGGAAAGGGTGGACTTGTTTGGCTTCTGGTTTGGTAGGTATTTTGGCTTTGAAGTGTTTTAAGCATCACGAAAGGAGGGAATTGCCTTCGATATTATCCCACTGGTCTTGCCCTCATCCCTCATGACAGAGTGAACTGAACAATGAGTGCCCCAATATCTCGCCCGACTCAGCAACTTGTTATGGCTGCGTTCAAATACCTACCTACCCTGCCGTAACGTCCCATTGACGACATGGACTTCAACCGCCCATGAACCTCATCCAATCCACTCTCCCTAGAGGTACAATCCCCCTTTACCCTGACTTAACCCGCACCCATCACATCCCATCACATCGTGAACAAAGTTCACTCAAGTTCCTTACTGACAGGCAACCCAAAAAGCACAAGTAAAATGCTAGGTACGCTTGCTAGGACTCCATCCTGCCACCGCCCTGGGCCCCTCGACATACCGCTCCATTATATCCAGTCCAGCATCTCCACGCTGCTCATGGCGCAACAGTCTTCAAGGAAAAGGCGACTCGAACACGGCCCGCAAGACGACCATCCGGCGAAACCCCTATTCACACGTCTACTGTGCTGAATTGCAATGGGCATGCGTAAACCGAGCGTGCTGTGTGGATAACTAAACAGAGGTCGGGGTTAGATATCTTTGCTTCGTCAACTGGAGTAGGTACCTCTAATGTGAGTGAAACTTACGAAGTTGATCATGAAAGTGGGTCACCGGGGGAAGAATCCAGGAGGCCGGAGTGATGTAGCGTAGTCCGGAATAAATATACCTTGGGACTTGAGAAAATGCACTCCGGACCGTGGAGTCCCCAGAAGGCAGGGCAGGGCAACACAGACCAAGGTCTCGTAGAGCTTGTTGGACAGTTGTTGTAAGTTAGGTAGCGTGGGGTGGAAATCCAAACTCCAGGAACCGACTGCGGCAGGCCAGGCACGCGTTGACGTCCTCGTCTAAAACATCACCAGTCAACAATGACACAACAAAACACAAACATGTCTACATGGGATAGGGACAGGAAAAAATCTTACAGTAGGTGAAGGGCAGCGAGGCGATGGCGTTATTCACCGAGAATTGGTTGACCTGCTCGGCAACATCCACCAAGTTCAGAGTACATCTGGGACACGGGGGCCGCCGGTGCTCATGACGGGTCGGGGGCCGGAGGGGAAACGGACCAGGCTGACGGTATGGGTGGTGGTGGCCGGGACGGCGGGTGGGCGTGTAGGGAGAGGCGGCCTCTCAGCCCCAAGCTCCAGTTCGGACTTGGTTTTCTGCCATCTCATTTGTCTCCGTCTCGTCCGCATACGAGTTTGCCCTCTTCAATTTGATCTCCCACCGTGGGCCAGTAGTTCTTTTCAGCTTTTGACAGCCGTTTGTTGAAGAACATGATCGGCTGGATCTTGCTGATCAAGTTAGACTTGCCGTCCCATTTATTACCTTCGATGTGGAAGATGACAAGACCGAAACCAAGCATCTCTGAGGCGTCGATCTTGGTCCGACTTGGGTGATGATGAAAGATGACAGACTCCTTGCAGAGTTGCTCTTGCAGGATCTCGAAAGCCTGCTTTTAAGACTCGGTTGGTGTGAAAGTCACTGTGCGAGTGAATCGCTGCCTGACTGGCTGACTTTTGTTCTCGGGCATGCGGCCTTCTTTCTTTTTCTCTGCGATCAAGGCGGTCTTGCGGTCCTCAAGGGGACCGACTTTCTGAGCGAACCAGGGTACAAACTTCTTCAAGAAGTTGCCGATACCGATGTATCGTTCCAGACTTGCAAGGTCTTCGGGCATCTTGATGGCCGCAATGCGGTATTCTGTGGTAGACAGACCCAGACCGGTAACTCTGTGACCCAGCAGACGAATGGAGGGGTATGCCACGAAAGACTTCTTTGCCGCAATGTTGAGGCTCACCAAGGCGTTGGCGACGTGTCATCCTACGTGACATGGATCAAAGGAATCAAGGAGCACAACATGAAGTGCTGTCTGGACAAGCGGAGTTTGGACGGTGGCGGTTGTGGTGATCTGATTTCAAACATCGGACGGACAGAAGCTGATTTGCCTTGGACGTGAGACGATTTACCCGGAGTTTCCAGTGATGGGATGAAAGGAAGTTAAACCCGACCAACCCATATGCTTATTAGCATCACATGCAGCATCCGGTGTTTGAAGATCAACAGTTCCAGTTCCAGTTCCAGTTCTACCTTCTCAACACCTCATCGCTTTGGCTTTTGCTTCCAGTCCTGATTCCAAACCATCTCCCCTCTATATCTACCTAGAGGTAGTTTCACACCACAAGCAACACTTTGACACTCCTTCACAATGGCTTCCCCATACAGCCAGCCAGGAGCACCCAAGCCCGCGGAGCCCACACCTGCCCATCCTGATTCCTGTCCAGTCCGGGGTCGTACTCGTCGAAGAGGTAGACAAGACGACTGGGAGTCCGAAAGATAAAAGTGATGATTCCATCCGCGAGACCGGTCGCTACCTGGAATCGGGCGGGGTCCAGTGTTCCGGAACTGTCTCTGCACCTCAGGCAGGCACTTGTCCTGGTTGAGATTCTGAGTGAACGAGACAGGATTTCCCATGAACGTGTTCCAATCACAAAGTGGCCTTTGTCGGAAACCGCTGAGAAAAGATACCCGACCCAGCTTCCTCAAAGACGTTGAGACTAACTTAGATCAGGTCAAAGAACGGAGCCCTGACGGCATGCGAGACTTTGAAGACACTCACAGCTACGCCATCGGTATGAGATCTGATTCATATACACCGCGAAGCAATCACTCACTCATCTGGGTCAACTATCAGCATGACCAACATAAAGTTTGACACCGACCCCCTTCGAGGGACTTACCTACCTTGACTGCCGCCGCGGGCTGTTACTCTTCTCACCTTTTTTGTTCACCTCAACAATCTCCTGTCGTTCTCTCTCTCAACCCCAATGACTGAAGCAATTCTGCAACCCACGGCCGGCCTAGGCCATTTGAATGCTACTCCCAAATCCAAATCCAGATGCAAATTTGACGACAACAAACCCAAAATAGCATCCTCTCTTCTCGCGAACTCCCCTACAGTAATAACATTCTCAGACTCCCCCCGTAACTTCCCCAGCTTCTACTTTCGATTTCTACCTCAGCATCCATTGGCCCGCTAACCCCTCCCCTCCCCGATCTCGTCACGCTCCATCCACCGGTTCGCTCACAATTCCTCTAGGATCCTCTGTTCCCCGGCTTGCCAGCGTCAACCAGCCAAAACCAAACCCAACAGCAAAAGCCAAAAGGGTCCAGTCCATGGCCCCTGCAGTCCACTTACACCAGACACCAGTGACCAACCCCATTTGCCCTAGCAGCAATCCCCGGCCAATCTCGGTAAAACACAACTAGGTGAGCCAATCACTATTAAGAGTTTTCCGAGTCCTCCCCACAAAAAAACAGACCAAAATAGGAAGGTTAGGCGAGTTAGCGCGAGTTAGCGAGCAAGCCCAAAATGAATCTCTTGACCCCTTTGGGGACCGGACCCCCTTAGGCCCCTTGACCCACATGCGTTTAGTTTGGGCTTCGAGCTAACGAGCTGAAGAACCTGAAAAAGAAGAAAAAACAACTCCGAGTCCGACTATTCCTGTCGAGGCTTATTTCCGGGTGGGAGCCAGTCCTGGACTACTGGACATCCGGTGCTGGAAGCGAGCTAAAGAAACCGGTCAAGATTGTGGTTAGTGACCATCGGAGTTTTTTTGTCTTGATGTTTGTTGAAGACTTAAGCGTTGAACTCCAGTTGGGTCGAGTACGCTGCGAATGACGTTGTGAGTGAGGGCTCCCGGGAAGCTTCTGTTGACTGGACTTGAAGCTGACTGACCTTGAAGCTAACGAAGCTTGAAAAAGTTGAGAATGGCGCCAGAACCCACTGAATCCGTCGACCCGACCCACTGATCTTCGTCCACAACTGGGGATCTCCTGGGGAAAGCTAGAAAAAGCTGGAAAGCCAGGGTCCGCTACGCCTTGTGGTCCTTGTAGACGGTAAACCAGAGAACCCCGATATCTCTTCACTCCATGGCGTGTGGTTCACCGACTGGATCCAGATATCGTCCACTCCACGGGGTGTATGGTCATGGCCCCAGTCTTCGCGAAGTGGACCCCCCCTCACCTTCCCCGGAATTTGGGCCGCATAGCACCTACCGTACCAGCGCACCGGGGCCACCAAACCACACCGGAGAAATGCTAGATGCGGGTTGGGTCTCAATGGGTCACTTGATGACTTGACTAGAGGAACCCAGCACCAGCTAGAACGGGCTGATACTGCTTTAGCCTGCATCTCGCAACCATCAGCTACTGCGCACTTGCGTGATTTTTAGGGATTTGCATAATATGCTTGACTGGATTCTACGTGATGAGTAGCGTGTGCAATGGCGGATATGCGTGACGGTGTTGGGTGTATGCAAATCAAATTGGATCACTGGATCAGTGAATGATGACAGTGAACGTCAGCCCCGTTGTCCTGTCAGCTGTCAGCGAGGTGAATCATCGGGACGCGTAACGACTGTACATCATCACCCCGATCCGCCTGGTTCTTTGGATGTCTGACCGCGGCCCGACAACGGTGGGTTCCCATTCGCCTTGTTTCGCTGTCACTCTGTCTGCCATCAGTAGGAAGCATCATCGATGATCCCGTGCATCGCATTCTCTACAGCGAGACATCGAAGAAGCGGTACTGTAGCGTCAACAACGTTTTCCACGTGGTGATTTCCACGGTATCAGAAGCGTGACGCACGCTTTGAGTCGTGCGTCCATCAAGACGACTTCATCATCACGGAGTCGAGGCTCGTTCACCGGTGTGACCGGTCAGCAGTGGTCGGAATGAACATTTTGGAGCCTATTTCTCTTGATCCCTTTTCTTGTCTGCTGCTGTGACGCTTGTGACTTCCAAGTGCCAGCCCCAGATCCGATGGCGTTCAAGAGTTCCCGGTTGGGACTTGATCACAGCTTGGTCAAATGGTTGCCGCACCTAGCGCCCAAATGCCCTGGCAAAAGGTAAGAGAAGATGAGAAGTGAGCCAGGCATGCTGGCAAATGAGGGCAGCCGGAGCTGTCTTCCTTGAAGGTTGACCGGTGCCAACGAGCCCTTCAACACCACCTTTGCTCACCTCGCTTTCCGGTTCTGGCTCCTCGATAAGCCCAACATTTCCTAACCAGAATGCACATTCTGCGCAACATGGCAATCAGTCCATCGTCCGACAACTCGCGTCGAGGGGTTCACTGGACCGCTGCAATGCGATGGTCCGGAGAAGTTCTTGAAAGCCGATGAGTCCCATCCATCAAGAGAACCCGTACCCACCTCACCGAAACTGAGACCCGGGACCTGAATCGGCATTCAACTACCACTGCAGTGCCGGCAGGAAATTGATACCAAAGGTCCAGTATCCCATGCTCCGGATCCCAGGCTCAGATCCCCTCGTTGCAGCGTTGTTTGTCTTGCCTGTAAGGCGGGACATTCCGCCTGTGTATCCGCCCTGTTTGTCTTACCCCCTCCGCTGGGACTGACCTTGAGACAGTAGGATCTTCTCAAGTTCCCTCCCTGTCCCAACCTGAAGCCCATGCCCCCCCTTGGCTCTTGCACCCTACCACCTCCTTAGGAGGAGTTACGCACCATTGACCCACTTGAGTCCATTCGCTTCCTCAATCTCCCCCGGCCCTCGGTGGCTCCTCACCCGGTCCACTTGGACCACACCGGGGAACCACTTCCCATGTAAAATATCCCTTCCCGGAGAATTTCCCACACACCCTCGTCAACGTTACAATGCTCAAGAGGGTCTAATCCGAGCAACTGGACCCTCGATCTGTCCAGTGAGAATGCTTGATGACCACCCAGCAAGCCTGCAATGCCTGCAAATAACAAGGCCAAGGTAGCTAGACTGAGCTAGCGCCATCTACCGTGACCCGCAGCTTACCAAGGGCTCAAGAGATTGGCCAGAACATGAAGATGGGGTTGGCAAATTTGACAAGATGGGAAATGTGGATGTGGATGTGAGTGACGAGAGTGACAGTGACAACCCTCCCGCACATCCTTCTAAGGAGAGACACGGGTAGGCGAGTGAAGGTTCCCCGTACCTGTAACCTAACCCCTCTCAAACCTGTCTGTGGTCCCCATCCATTCTGGTGGGTTGGCAGGAGGGCATGCAATGCGTACGCGTGCAGCGCCTGTCTGGAAAGGTGTTATTGGCGCGATCATCAAATCCCCACCCTCCCATCACTCATCAGGGTAACGGGAGGAGGAATTATGGCGAAGTTCGAATCCTTGGGCGAGTAATTGCATGGAAGACAACAACCATGTCATCTCCATGCCTCTCACCCCTTCAGCGGCAGGCAAGCATCGATAATCCCCATGGTATCGTGATCAACATCAGATTTCTTGGCATCCAACTATCGATTCATGCGGTCCCATATACACTAGGTGGTGTAATATCGTGTAGTTGGGTTAAAAACCCCGAAAGAGATTGGTTACCATCCCTGACCGAGGTCGAACCGGCCAGCCGGCTTCCAGGGCAGGGCAAGGGGACCCCATTGCCAAGCGAGATCTACAAGTGTGATCTGCCAAGATGGAGCCTCGGCCGAACGTGGTGTCGGGGTCTTTTTTTTTTTTTGGTTTTTTTATCCCGGATACAATGTGGAAATCGGTGGTATGTGGGGTATTTCTTTGGTCGATATACGGTGTTTCCCTTGTAGGCCTTTGGAGATCAGGATGCAAAGGGGCGTTGTTGAGCTGAAAGACGCGTGGGAAGCCTGTACGGATGGACGTCAGTGAGGGACTCTCTGCTCTGCACCTTGGTGATATCCACATCCACCCCATGATAGTAGTATCCCATGCTGATGCACAGTGAACTTAGCCGACAAAATGATTGTTCAACATACCCACCAGACGGCACGTAAATGGTGTGGCTTGCGACAGAGTGACGGAATGACAGAACCCGAGAGATCTATCCAAATGTCAAGAGTGAGCCATCTTGCCGTGACGTGACATATGCAAGGCGAAGCCCCAACCCTTTCTTCTCTCTGGCAGTGCTTGCATGAGGATTGGACGAGATCGCTAGCGTCGCCGACGCAACCGAAGAGAGCGCATGAAAATGCGCCTCAAATATTCGAAGGCTTGGCGGTGGAAGTGGTTATTGAAGGCCTAGGCGGCAAAAGCAATTCCAAGTGCCCGGACTGGCCAGGGTGTTGGTGACCGGGAAGCTATTGCCTGCATCGCAGAGGGTTCGTTGATTTCAAGATGCAGTCGATGCATTTGATGACAACCGGGGGTTGCATTGTCGCTTGTCCGAGCCTCTGGTTCTCTGGCGGCAATGGTCAGCGAGTACCTCAGGTACGTGGACATGTTTGCTGAAGTTGGGTTAAGGTTTGGCGTTTTGGCGACATCGTCATCTCAAACATTCACATCCGCCCCCATGGGGAACCAGACGAGGTGCGCATCATCGCTGTGTGTTGACATTGCGCGGTTTAGGGCACGTCACGGCGGTTTGCCTCGATTCAGCGGTTTTGGCGTGAAGCCCCAAAAGAGACCGATCGCGCAGCAAAGTGACAGACCCCACGTTATCGCTTGGATCGGATGTTGCGGCATGCTCCAATGCTGATGCTCCATTGCGATGGTCGACGGCTTGGCCGGACAGCGGTGACGACAGCTGCGCGGTCTTGTTGGTTGACGTCGCGTTGCGATTCCCAACTGGTCCAGGGTGGCAGGGTGCCGATGCGCCAAGCCCCGCCAACGAGATCACCAGTGCCGGCGCCGGGGATCAAAGGAGGCACTAGAGGCTCCACATGTCCCCGACTGACGTGAAGTTCGGGCACCACGGTTCGCGAATGGCTGCCAGCTCTCTCAGCCAGTGGACAGCCAGTCCGAGCGAGCCAGCGCGAGCCAGCTCTTGGGTAGATGGGCGGACGCTAGGATCGGAAACCGCAGGAATCGTATTGCTCGATATGGTTTGGGGCACCATAATGCCAGGTAGCAACCAGGGCACCTCGTTCCTGGTCGGCGATCAATGCATCTAACCCCAGCCAGATCCGAGCGTGCTGGGCCATTTCTTGCGTCTCCTTCTGTTTCCATCAGCTTAGCACCCCCGGGGGTGAGCGAAGGACCACCAAAAAGGGGGCTCCGAGTGAACACCTCCTACCCTTGAGCAGAAAAAGCAACGAGTGCCTTAGCACCAAGCCCTGAGATTACCGCTACCGCCTTCTGTCAGGTCCGTCAGCGCTGAACCTCCCTCACCTCCTTTGTCAATCTCTCGTCGGTATCCGTATAGGCAAGTGCTAACCGCAGTGAAAAGGAAACACTAACACAGCTCAACAATCGGTGGCAGGGATACCCCATCAAGTCGTTCCGCACTCTCGCACGCACGAGACGAGAATGGAGAGGGAGAGAAGAGCCGGATGATCTCCGGAGGCGGCTGCAGCAAACAGGGCGCCTCTGCACCAAAGAGGCAGTCCCAAAGGGCGACACGGCCCAATAGCGGCAAAATCATGGGCCCAAAGCGCTCTTGTAACATCGTGCAAAGATCCCGTTTGGGATGCTTGGGGAAATCCCAGAAGGGACTCACCGATGTTTTGCGAGAAAATGCCCTCAGAATGGGTTCCCTGTGCAAGCCAAGCCACCGAGCGATAGATGGCGGGTGAAGGCCCTGCTGGGCCGAAGGGCCGTGGAGGGAACATGCTTTGCGGCAGGCAGTCTCCATTGTGAGAGGCATTATCTTCTCTCAGCTTGCCATCTCGCCAATCCATGAGAAAGTGCAGCTCCAGCCGGGCAGATTTTGCCAATCGCAAAGGATCTTCGGCACCGAAGTGCTCTTGTGCACCAAATAACTATGCACAGAAGGAGATGTGAATGGCCACACCCACAAAGGTGCACAAGAGTAAGAGGAGGCGGTCTCGGGCCCGTGTTTGGGGTGGCCAAAGTCGATGGAGTTGCACTCATCTCCCAGTCATGGCCCGTTTTGGAACTGTGCGAACGTCGGACTGAGAATCCACGTGTTAATGTCCGTTCGCCCTCCCTGTTCTGACCGCTTGAACCAGTGGGCGTAGTGTAGAAGCCGCAAGCACCGTGCCGTTTTGATCTGTTGAATAAGCAGGCTGTCCTTCCCCATGAGAGCTGCCGCATGCCTTCCGTCTGTATGAGATCTACAGCGAGACCCCACGCATTTGCCCTTGTCAACGATCCGGTGTCCATCCACAGTCGTCGGAAACAGTTCATGGTCGTGACTGCTCAGTGTTCAGAGCGTGACTTCTGTTTACCCATCATCCCAGCTGCCAAGATGAGCATGAGACCCGTGATATCCCGGTCGTTGAGGTAGAAAGCAACACTACGCGATCGTATAGCTCCCATGCTGGGCCCGTAAAACGTTACAGCGGTTGCCCACTGCTACCGGCGCGATTTAACTCCGCATTTGTTATTCACTTCTCTCCCGACAAGGGCTCATGGGGAGGATCACCTAACCGAGCGTGGTCCTCCCAGGTTTTGCTGGTACTCCCTGCCGCATAGCATGTACCGATACTGCGAGTCATGGGGGGACCTCCCGATAGAGCGCGTTTGCATCATGTCATGTATCTCGTCGGCTGGCCAAAACTTTTGCTTGGTCCGGGGAGATTCAACCCGGATATCTGCGTCTGAACGAGGAGACACGCGGGGACGAGCATGATCATGCTTCAAATTTGTGGAGTCTCCCGGTGCTTTGGTTATGGTTGAGTCGTAGAGTTTTGGCTAGGGGTTCATCTCGGCGGTTGACAGTGCCCTGGCCGCTTCGTCCTCCGTTTTTTGTCTTCAGAAACCGGCTATGATCGAGCCGCTGGATCCTGCCATCAGCGGAACCAAGAAATGTGTGCTGAGACACACTGACGGTCGAAACAAGACGGATCGGACGGCCAATCAAAGTGGTAACGTAGCAATACCGTTTCCCACGCACTGCTGCTTTCTTGTCGCTCCGTTTGAGCGTGATGCGCCCTCCCGCTACCCACCCCACCCCACCGTATCTGGTGATTCTGGAACGGCCCTTGACTCAGAGAAACAACACCATACCAGGAGGCCTTGGCCCTCCAGCAGAAACGTGATCGAACCGATCATTCCTTGTAATGAGACCATGCAGGCACAAGGAATAAGATCCGGTATCGCTCACACAACGGAATAATGTCTGAGATTTAGCGTTCGAGGCACCCGCCGTGGCATGGTGAAGGGTGTTGGAAAGCGGCATAAGGTTTTGGCCCTGTGTTTGACGAGCAGCACGTTGAAGAAGTTGATCAAGATGCTATTGTCTAATCCCGTGATATTGCCGATATCAATGTTCGCAGTGTTGTCGTCGAGAAGCCTGACGAGACCTTCCATGTTGGTGGCGTGTATAGGCTGACGATCGGGGCGAATGTCCGCTTCCTGGATTCCATCAAACCTTTCGATTGATGTTGAGAGAAACAGATACTAAGCGGCACTGTCTTGGGGGAGGAGAGAGCATGGCAAGACTTTGTTGCCCCAATTTGACACTGGATCAAGGTGACACCGAGGCGCTGCGGTTCCCGCTGAGCTGTGTCATACGGACGTAAGAGTTCGTAAGCAGCAGCTCATACACCCTTTATAGTGCTCGCATTACTGCAGGATCGAGGGGGGAAAGGAGATGAAGTGGGCTTGCGGCTAGGTGCAGGTTGAGATGACAGTAGTTAGTGCATTTTCGAGGTACGGCAGCTACTGCGAAGAACTCGGAGCAGTGTCTACGCATAATTCCACACCGGGCACTGGAGGCGTGCTGCGCGGCTCGACGGAGCGTAACTTTGTCCCAGGAACATGGGAACAGAGTGCCAAGGGCATGGTCCGAAGGCTCCATTAACGATCATCAGCAGAGTCGATGACAATGACCACAGTGGCACAACCGCTTGATTGGAAGAGCCGGCAACTTGTCAGATACACGGGAGCCGCGTGTTGATGATAGATGGGTGAGGAAGCTTGGTAGCTGACCCAAGGAATACAAGATGGTGTTTCAAGAACTGATGAGGCGCACCGCACGCAGATGGACGCTCTATCGGAAATCGACATGTGTTTAATAAGAAGAGGGCGCCTGCGCCTGCGTACGCGCCTGCATTGGTGGACTTGGCATTGCGAGGTACTCGATAAGTCCGGGATTGGGGGTTGGGTACGGCCGTTGATGTGTTTCAAGCCTGGTCTCCACGATTAACTGCCTATAAACGTCGATCCAGTCGGCATGCGAGCCCTGACAGTCAAAACTCGGTTTGAGGTGAAGCTGTGGCGGAAGCCCTAATCGTCATAACATGGCTTTGGCTGACTCGAGGATCGGCAACCGGTTAACGGGGGCGCGTTTCCGCCGTCCTGATGTGGCCCGTTGATGGGGTTGAAAGGCCAGTCGATTTGCCGTACGCACATGGCATTCAGCGATTTGAGCTGCCACGCCGCATCTTGCCCCAACTGGCCTGAAAGAAGCGGCACAGGGGTGTAATTCCAGGATGTCCGATGGCGGCTCGCAATGCGGAGGCGCATCTGACAACGGACTCGGCCGACCATGCCGGATGGTGACAAGGCATTGCTGGCAAGCAACCAATTCAGCGACAAAAACCCGGTAATTGTCTGTAGGACTCGTGGATGGCCGGTCTATCCAAACGGGCGGAATGGGCCACGTTCAGGATGCTGAAATATCAGCGAGCAGTCTCCTGGAAGAACCGGTTAGAGTCCTGGTCTGAGGATGAATCAGCGAAGGAGGCGTGTAAGGTACGTACCTGTACTGTGGTGGGTGCAGGACATGGGACAGATAGCAGAGTTGCGAAATCTGCGACATGTTGCCCTGGTGGTTGCACCGGATCACTACCGAACGAGATCTGCGCTAGTGAGTTTCTAGAGTTTGTCGAGGCATCTCGGCCACCAAGTCGACCAAGACCGCCACCTCGGAAATCAGCCAGATGAAAAGGCAATGATGGTGTACTTGCAGGATCTTTGCCCAGGGGCAAGTCCAACTAAACCGAGGCGGGAATCCAGCGATATGGTCCAAGTGAGTCTGCGAACCTGTCGAGGTACAGTTGCAGTGCACAAGGTTGAACGGCGGTGCAACGCAAGGGTCCTGTGTAAGGTACCAGTACAGCACCAGTCGAGTGCCTCCTCAGCGACAGGGGCAGCGGCCAGGGGCAGCGGCCAGGGGTGGCATTATAGGCTAGGAATTGCTCTTGCCCCTGCCGTCCCAAGAGCCCTACTGACGGGATGATACGTGCTTTCAGATTGAATCGAGCACCTTGCCGCAAAAGGCTGCTGGCCTTGGGTCCTCGCATAGTGGTTGGATCTTGATCTTCAAAGATAGCGCAGAGAGAGCATCAAGCATACGCATGTCGGGAACGTGTTGGATCTGAGCTGCGCGCTTTCTCTTCAGTACGGCCGTAGAATCGTGGCGAGAGAGCAGAGAGAGACTCGAAGGGATCTGTCTCTCTGTCATGCAGTAGTCTGTCTGCTGGTCTGGGATACTGCCTGCAACTGTTTGGATCGTGGTCTTCAGCAACGATTGATCCCGACATCTTGGGTGTCCCTGGTCGCCATCGCCCGTCCCTGGGCAGTCCCCTGGTGTTGTGGTGGTGCAAAGGCTGCAAGTTGATTTCAGCCAGGAATAGCTCGACAAATGTGTGGACAGGAGCACTCTGTTGACACTTGACGTTTTTGCCCTTTTTGTGCAATGCCGATTCCGTCCGTCTGTCCGCCCGTCTACTGTCTGTCATTCCCTTGCTAGCGTCCGTGTTGGTGACATTGGGCATGTTGACGCCGCCGTCCAGTGGAAATCGGTGCCGAGCACTATTTTTCGTGTTGCAGTCCCGACTTTGTTCTCGTCTTACGACCCGGGAGATGAAGGCGAGGGTGATGGCTTGGCACGTCTGCGTAACATGTCGCGCTTGTCCGTCGAAATAGGTTCTTTGATCTTGTCTTGAGCAAGTACGAGGAGACGGTGGTGTTGCGATGTTGCAAAATCAAAAAGAGAAACAGAAATGTGGTGGGGGTTCGAGCAATGACGGATGGTCAGTGGTCAATGGCTGGCAGCAGTCGAGAATGGAATTGTCCACTGAAAGATGAACTGCCAAGTGGGGTCATCTGTGGGCTGGCAGCTGACGGGAGGCCGTCAGAAGCCGTCAGTGCTTGGTCTGTCTAAAGCCGTACTTTGATTGGGCGGAAAGCAGCTTAAAGTGGATCCCTCCTTCTCTGCTGCAGCTTGTTGCTCTGCGAGTCTGCGCGAAGCTCCCAGCTCAACAAGCAGCTTGCCGGAAGGACCACTGCATGAGCGCGCCTTCCTCACCATGAGCTTCGCGCATTGAGAGTATTTGAGACCACAAAGATGGAAGGAGCTCAGTCAGAGTTTTCACGAAACGCAAAGCCATCGCTTGAATGGAAAGTACGACAATGACCACCAGCTGGCAAAAGGGAGGGAGTCTGCGGCAGATCGCCCATTTCCTCTTGACGGCCAGCTGCTCGTGTGACTGACGGCAGGTGGTGGTCATTGTCAATGCGTCTTTCTCCGGCAACATCACCACTCGAAAGAGTCCGTGCATTGATTGCAGGCCATTGTCCGACTCCCATTGTCACCACCAGGTCACCCACCACTGGACACCTACTCTCTCCGCCATGACCGAGATTTGGATGTTACCTGCTACCACCCAACTGCCAGCGCCGACGACGCCCATCGCTACACCAGCATCCCGAACTACCGAAATGACTTCTTTTATGACAGGCGGGAGACTGGAGGCGGCACTCCCGGCGACGGCAGCAACCTTGATGACGAACACTGCCGGCACCGTGGTTGTCAAGCAGGAGAGATCAGAGAAAAAGGAGGAGGGGAGGGGAGAAAGAGACTGAGGGATCCAAAGACGGGATGTTGGAATGGTACCCGAGGAGACGACTTGCCAGTCCCAGGACCAGTACCAGTGCTACGGATGGTCAGCGGCCCCTTGCGGCTCGGTCACCTCTCGCGATACACAACCCCGACAGGCAATGGACTATTCCCACAAGGCCCCCCGGCACCGATTGCTTGTCGGGCATCCTGGCACCCTGGCCTCCGAGCAGCACTACCTATGGAGCAAGGAGCATGGTCTACCAGCAGCATCTCTCCCATCGGCTTCCGTCTTGCTGTTGTTGTGCTTCATGGACCGCTGGTGCTGGACAGGAAAGCAATCCAGGCTGCACCCTCGAGAGGATATGGAAAATGGCATCCAACAAGAGACCGTTCTCGAGTGTACGTCCGTATCAGCCACAGTCCAATACTGCTTGTTCAACCACACCTGTGGTCTGCATTTCGTCAGTCCCCCCATCTTGCCCCAAGCCTGATCCCTGGAGAGAAACCTCAAGAGACATACAGCCAAGACGGAACCCTCCAGTGCAGTTGCAGTTGCAGTTGATCCAGATTTCAGCGGTGATGGTGTTAACGTTTTTTAATACAGACCCAACCCGTCCACCACAGGTCTAGTACAGCTACATACAGAACATGCAGCAACAAGAGCGCCTCCCACCTTATTTGCGACCATGGCTTGCTGCTCCAGCCCGGTCCCCAAAACCGCCGCCTTGAAGCCTCATCCATACCGTCATGTTGGGGGTTGCTCTTGGATAGTGCCGAGTTGCTTGCTGGGGATGGGTCGATGGGAGAGATGATGTGATGCGCTGCATCTTGATCACTCCAGAGCTGGCTTTCCCGGTCTCACCCCTTCCATGTCAAGTCATTAACTGCGCACCGGGATGCCTTTCCCAGCAACTACCGTACTCTGTCGGGTACCGTTCTCGAGTACCTACCCTTTGCCCTTCTGTGCTCGCAGATTCAGCGGCCCCCCTCCCCGGCTGGGATTTCATGCCCAGTCAGCGTACTTACTGCAACAGAACTCCCACTTGGGCATCGGCCTTCGATCATCGATTCCCTATATCTTGTGATCCGGCCCTCTCCTTCCTCCCAAAACCTCATCATCCCACCTGGCTATATCCTCCTCTGTCTTGTCTCGGCTATCGTGTCTGGAAACCACACAAACACCATCCTCTGCCAGACTGCCACCACGCTTCTCTCTATTTACACCTTCTCAACCAAACGTCTCCGCGTCCTCAGAGCAGGCCAAGAGACGACATCACCCCCACTCTTCAGTTGGATCTCGATTCCGAAAAGGCGGCCACCTGTGGATTGCCATTCGTCCTGTACCACCCGCACACCGCCTTCAAACAAGTCCTACGCAGACAATGCGTATCGCCTGCCAGTAACTAATCAACGACAAGGCATAGAGCTACTGCTAGGTGGCAAGGATATCGTCTTTTCCTTAAAAAAGAATTTCCAACAACATCGACAATCCAAAGCCAGCCGGTACGTTCCTTTCCCGGTCATGCCCCATTCCACATACTACCCATCCGGTGCGCAGTTGCGTCGCTGCATCACAGCACCACTTGACAGACGCCGTGGGATTTTGGCGCGTATTGGCATTGGCTTTTGGCGCAATCCTTTAGCGGCCCAGTCCATGCGCTAGGAATTACACGCGCGCTTGGGTGCTTTCGAGATGAGAGCAGCAGAAGAAGCTACTGCGTAATATTTTGGCAGACAGACGGGGGGTCGCGGGTCAAGCAAGTACCGGCAAATCTCTGTCTGGAAGCAACCACCTCTAGGGCTCATGTAACCTCATTTGCAGCATGCACGGGGGAGGCATGATCTTTGTCCCTCCCACCGCGCAGTTGCAGCTCCGTGGGATTTCCGATGATCTCCTTCTGTCGACC